GCTTATTATTAACTATTTACTCTATTATTTGCAGATTTATAATACTATAGAGTAAATAGCTATTTACTCTATTATTTGCAGATTTATAATACTATAAGAGTAAATAGCATAACTAAATAGAAGTAATAGCAAGAATAAGAACTAGAGGGCTTTACTAAGTAGATAGATTACATCTAAAATCTAGTAGAGCCTAGGCAGTTTATAAGGGGAATAGTAGTATAATATCCATAGATTTAAATTATTTACTACTATAGTTTCTATTATATTATATAGTTTCTAATAGATTATTTGCCGCCTATAAATAGGTAGAGGGAGGGGAGTAATATAAGAGGCGAGCTCTAGAAGTAAAGCATAGGCATAGCCTATGCTTAGCTTATTAAGCCTTAACTAGAGAGCGCTTACTTTTCTTTAGATCCAGATAAAAATTCTTCTCTCTCCTTTATTAAACTTGTTGAATACTACATTGAGCCTCTATATATATGTGACTCACCTGTGACATTAGCTTATATAAGTCTTTAGGATAAGGCTTCTAGTCCCTTAGCTCTTTAATAGTTCTTAGGTTATAATTATTTAAATGTTAGATTATTACTTTAAGAGTATTACTAGAAAGTTGATATAGCTTAGCGCATAGATAGCTCTTCTAGCTCTCTACCTTAAAAAGAATGCTTAACTTATAAGCTAGATATATTATAATCTTATAAGTAGAGTTATAGATAAATATTATATACTTATAGTCTATTTAAGAAGCCTATAGAGGTAGGCGAAGCAAAGTGCACTCTAATTTAATATACTCTTACCTGAAAACGCTTAGTCAGCCGCGCCTAGGCCTAATCGCGCAGCTGTCCCTCTATACTCTAACTTAGAGAGCGCTTTTATATAAGAGGTAAGTAGCAGATAACTATTTTATAAATAGGATTATATAAAAATATAATAAAATTATTAGTTAGCAGATGTCTATTTAAGAGAGGTAATAAAATAGTAGGCCTAAGAGAAATTATAATTTTACTAAAAACTTTTTTACTAGAAATATGCTAAGTTAGCCACGTCTAGACTAATCACTCCGCGCGATTTTATAATTTCGCCGAAAAAGAGCGCTTATATAAGAGGTTGAACTCGCCTCTTATAATATTTCTTAGAAGGCAGCTAGTAGTTAAGCGTTTAATATATTATACTAAGAGCTTTTATTTCTTAATAGTCTTAATCTAGAGTCTAGTATAAAGCTAATAGGTAGCTGTAAATCTATAATTAATTAAACTTAATATTATAAGTAAGTTATATATATATAAAGGCTTAATATTATATTTAATAAGTTTAATAAAAAAGAAAAGAGAATCTTTATCTAGATTTAAAAAAAAGTAAGCGCTCCCTAGTTAAGGCTTAATAAGCTAAGCATAGATATAGCCTATGCTTTACTTCTAGGACTCGCCTTTTATATATATTAATTTTAGGTATATTTTTATTATATTTTTAGAATAGCAAGATCTATATTATAATAGTTATAGCAGATAAGAAGGACTATATAGGAGATCCAGATAATCTAGTTAAATAAGACAGATTAAGATTATAAAAGAGAGAACTATTTATATTAGAATAATAGGCTATATTCTAACCTTTATAATTATATAACTTAGCTTAGTTATCTGCTTAGTTAGTAAAAAGACATATATTATCTTTTGCTTATAATACTATAAATATAAAGTATTATCCACTAGAATACTAGTATTATACTAACTACGCGTAGTAGCGCTGTGATCACGTATTAACCTGTAATACTAATAAGAAGAGATATAAAATAAAATACAGATATAGATTGTAAGGGTCTTACCCTATAGAATAATACTGGCTACGCCAGTACTAGCTGCCTTAGGCATACATGCAGGGGTCCGTTCCTTTAAGGACGGATTCAGGGGTAAACCCTTCTGCTTCCTCCATTGAACTTATTCAATCCTAATCACGAACCTGTCTCTGTGTAAACGTGGCAAACCCGTGACATAGATATAGATATAAAAGTAGAAGCAGATAAAGAAGAGAGAAGCGAAGCAGATATAAAGGTAGATATAGAAGTAGATATAAAAGTAGATATAGATATAGAAGTAGAATAGAAGAGGGAAGTATATATATTAAATATAATTTAATAAAGATTAGTATTAAAAGTGGATTTGCTATCTAAGGATTTATCTTATGAGCGAAAATCGGTATTTAGTTTTTAAAGTAATATTCTCAACCTATTTTATTATAATATACTATTCAGCATTATTAATAGTAACTCTTTAAGCCTCTCTTAGCTTTGGTAGTCCATTCTTCCATCCCCGATAACCCCCCACATCTCTTCCACAATCTGCTTTTGCCCCTTTGGCGCCCCCCTAACAGCCAAATACTTCCTCCCATCAACCTCGGGCTCCCAATCCCCTGGATTCCCACTCGCCATGATCCCACCAGCCTCGATCAGAATACACCACCCCGCAGCAACATCCCACGCCCAACAACCACCCTCCCAAAACACATCCTGCTGTCCAGCAGCAACATAGGCTATATTCAGCGCGGCACTGCCCATGCAACGCAAGCTATGTACCATGGCGCCACCATTCTCTTTGGTCGCAGCAAGCTTCCTGAAGACTTTGCATTTCAGCTCAAAGTTGTCCCCACTCCGATCACTCCCCCATTCCGCTCCAATCAAGCACGTACTCAAGTCCACCAACGGCTCTGGCTCCTTCCGTAATGGCAAACGTTCCTTCTCCCCACCATTCCTTGTAAGAAACGCCCCTTGCCCTTTGATTCCCGTGTATAGTTCATCTAGGAATGGGTTGTATATTACGCCGATGGTAGGTACTTTGTCGATGGTGAAGCCCAGCGAGATGCAGAATGCAGGGAATGCGTGCACGAAGTTCGTGGTGCCGTCCACGGGGTCTACGATGAACGTTGGCGCCGTAGTGAGGTGTGTTTTGCCGGGGACGTAGGTTTCTTCGCCGATGAAGGAGAATGTGGGGTACGGGGTCAGGAGACGGGTTGAGACCATTTTCTCGACCGCGCGGTCGGTTTCTGTTACGAGGTCGGCGGCTGTGAAATGGATGGTTAGCAAGGGGGGGGTAACAAATAAAGTAGAACGGCAAGGGGGTGGAATGGAGTGGAGTGGAGTGAGAGGAGGTACAATTCTTTTTTGTGCCAGAGTCGAGGTGGGAGGGTGTTGCAGTTAGCATCATACGGCCTGCTTCGTGGGCGACACTGATGAGGAGGTCCTGGATCTCTTGCAGATTGATGTCGGCCATTTTGAAGATATTGAAAAAGGTGGTATGGTACGAGTGGGGAGTGGATTTTGTTTAAGGCTGAAGAGAAGTAAGTTGGAGAAGGTGGAGGTGGAGTGGTGGGGGTAAAATGCAGCGTGGAGATTGACGTATCTTATCAACACGTGCGGGATACAGTAGGGAAAGGGAAGGTAGAGAAGAGAAGAGATTATCTGTTGTTGCACTGATAGAAATATGTAATAACAGTTGTACCGGTGGACGAATTGAGATGGTTCATGTTCTTGCACAAGTATTGGGAATGAAGCTAAAGGAGGGTGAGATGTTGAATACAGTCAGTCACAGCCCATTCCTATTTTATCGAATTTTTAATAATATCATTGACACAGCCAACTCCAAAGCAACAACAAGCCTGCTTCATCTGGAGATATCATAGCTTTTCAAAATCCTAAAATACAAATGTGGCTCGAAGCCGTAATATCCATACCCCAATACGCCCACGCCCATGTACTAGTAGTATTGCTGCACAAGCCCCCCATTCCGCACCCCTCTCCACCTTCTACATGTTCTCCCTGAACATCGACCTTCTTTCCGTAGGGCTATTATCAACACTATCCTTCACCTTGTGCCCCTGTGTCTCGATTGGCCTTGGACTGACTCCTCTCAAGCTGACATTGCTAGGCAGTTCCGCAGCATCATCAAATGGGTTCGCAGCAGGTTTCCTTCCCATCTCCTCGTCATATCTCCTATCCATCCCAGCCTGCGATCCCCCAATATAAGGTTCCGGATCGCGACTTAAACTCCTCCCTCTATTCTCAGAGACTAGACCTGGGGTTGGCGCAAGATGGGAGTGATCTGCACCATGAAGCCCAAGCTCTTGCTCCTCGTAGTATCCCCCAGGAGCATATGCATCCGCTTCCGTTCCTACGCGTGCATCCCAAGCATCATCGGGATCCAAGGGACCAAAGCCTCTGTTACTCGCGCGTCCTCTTACATTACTGCTCAGAGGCTCCTCATATGCTCCTCCCGCGGACCGATTGTTCTTGTTCGTCAGTCCCTTGAACCAGCCCACGATTCCTCCCGGCGCAGCGCTTGGTCCGCTGTACGATTGTTCCGATCGTTTAAAAGGATTGTAGGATGCGAGAGTTGGTGTAGGAAGGCCCAGCCGACGAGCGCGCAGATGTGTGTAGATGAGCCATGCGGCGCCGCCTACTACAATAAGGAATGCGACGATAATAAAGAAGGCCCCCAGGCCCGAGATGTGCGCCATTGTGTTGTGCGGGTATTGGTGTTGGTGTTTTCGGTGTCGTCGCCGTGAGGGCGCAAGAGGATTGAGTGAGCTGAACTAAACTGATGTTGCTCATGCGGATGCCTTGATGCTCGTATCAATCCAAGAGCGAGACGCGAAATTAGCGCTCATTGGCCTAGTCGCCGGTCAGGTTTATCCGTCTATCCGAGTAAAGTATGGCCATCACATGACCCTGTATGAAGCGTATCAAATTTTCAACACTCTAGTCTGCTTCCCATTTACAACAATAATTCTAATCATCACTGTAGACAATCTGACCCTGTTATAAGATTCCTTGCCAGTGCCAACTTCAAGTTTAGCCCTTGAGGTCAAGATCTGGGTGCCATAGGAAAGCATTAGCCAAAAGCTCATCGGAAGTGGACTTTGATGAAAAGTGATCATTTCGGGAGGGATAGTATTGACAGATATGGCACTTGAGCTATTTTAAAGACAAGGAGAATGATGAGTATGGAATATATTAGGCTATAGAGAAGTTTACAAGTTCTGGCTTCCATCACATTCCCCCTCGAATTTTTTATTATATATGGTGTCCTGCCTGCTTTCAGACTTCAGATAGTAATCCAGATGCTAGTTCATTCTGAAGTTTCGGGAAATAAGGGTATATATTAGAATTGAGCTTTATACATTTTGTCTACGTTCTTCATTGCTCTGCACTTTCCTAGCGTTCATTTTTATTACTTACTATAATGTCTTATTCACGTCTAAACTTAATAATGATTTGAATTTATATATATTATCTTAGGTCCCATGAAAGATGACTGCTGTTAAAGAAATAACTCCCATCGAGAACTTGAAACCTATTCACCTCTTCTTTAGAATTTACCGTTAAGAAATGCTCGCAATTTTTCAAGATTCTTATTCTATTATATCTTGAAGACCGAATATGGTGTATATGCGTCTGCCTTTTCGTGTGGTTCGCTGATATGAGCGCTAAAATTCCGCGCGGTTCTCGCACTTGTAATCGTATTCAAGGCATAAAAAGCCCTTGGAAGATTGAAGTTGGTTGTAAATATGGCTTGTCAGCTCTCCTTTAGCAGAATAAGTAAGTCGACACTTCCCAATCAAGCATATGTGGACCAAAAGCTCTGGATGCTGCGGGCCCATCCACTTGTGTGGACTATGACACTCCTCTTCGACTAGTTCTTATCTTGTGTACTTCTCGACAGATCTACCACGACTGGAAAGACCTGCTCTGGCAATGTAATTGCTTTTGCGTTTTCGACCGATGGTTTGAGATACCTGAGCTCTCTGCTAGCTTTAAGTTGCAAATCAAGTCTATTGGGGGGCGATCGACTTTCACGTGGGGGAAAAGACGCAGCGGACTGCTCTCACTCAAAGAACATTTCATCAATCTCCGGTCATTCCATGGTCTAACTGTCTTTAACTTGCTGCCCGATTTGAATCATTATTGCATAATCTATAAAAACTTGCTCTAGCGCCTGAGTTTGTTCGACGACCAACCCCAGCGTTCTCTTGTCATCAATCATATAATGCCCCACCCCAAAACGTCCTTTCAGGCGGAAATGGCAAGCCGAATGAAATGTAGGTGGAACTGTCAGGTGGGAACTCACAGCCGAAGCGAGCTCGCAATGGGTATCACATTTTAGTCTCTAGATTTGCATCGACGTTCTATACTTACAGTTATATCATAACCACCCATTACTCTCCACCGGTCCCAACACCCCCACGCCCAGTTCACCAACCCTCCCACGAATAAACCTCGTTTCACTATCCCTCAAATCCGGTCGACTGGGCCGTCTCGGGCTCTCCTTTACTCCTAGAGCACCAAAACTGTCCCCTCTCCCCCGCATCCCCATCAACTCAATGCCCTCATCCCCTCTCCCATCCGCCCTCCCATCTCCACCTCCTAGATCTAGATCTAGATCTAACCGCTCACCACCCCCTCCTGCCGGCGGCCACTCAGGCTTATTCACGATTCTGGGAGCTGGTCGGGTTTCATTGGATATAAGGGTTCGTGGCGGTCCTTTATATACTTCTTCCAGTTCCATTTTATTGTGGCGTTTGAGGAAGATGAGGAAGCCGGTGACGAGGAGTAGGAGGACGAAGACGGAGGCTCCGATGCTAGCGCCGATTATGACGGCACGGGAGACGGTGTGGGGTGGTGGGGTGCTTGTTGGGTCAGGAGTGGCGGATGGGGTTATTGTTGTGGTGGATGCTGCGGAGAGGAAGGATACTGTTGTTACAGGTGTTGGGGTTGCTGTTGTTTGTTAAAGGGGTGTGATTGATGGTATGTCGACGTGCGGTTAAAACTTACTAGAAAAGCTAACGATGTTATCCCCGGTTGTACAATTTGCATTTAATGCATTGGAATCATTCTTAGAAACAATCAATTATGGTAGGTACAAATGGGTAGGTAGTACCAGCTTAAGCATGCCTGGCCACTTACACAATAAAATAAGTCCTCCCCTCCAGGACACTTTAGCAATTCTTGCCCGCCCGTCTGAACATCATTGAACGGCGCATTGAGATTTACACAGAAGCTCGGACACTGCGACGAATTCCAGGTCTGGTCGGTACAGGAGCCTCTTGAATAGAGTCCAGGCTGGTCAGAGAATAGTGAAGGGTTTTGACACACGCCGTTGCTGAGGCATATGAAGCCTTGACCACAACATGAAGAGTCGCCTGATGGATTGCAGGGGACATCGGTTGATGCGAGATCGCCTGAGGGGTAATAGCAAGATGAAGAAGCATAAGTTGTGTGTAATGTAATGGAAAATATAAAGATCAACAGCATACCGACGAGCGGCATCTCAACGAAAAGAGGAAATTAAAGAGGGGAGAAGAGGATATTGGTATAAATGATTAGAGGAATAGATAGAAAGTGATGAGCCGCAATGCAACGGCGCTGCATAGCAATGTACTATACTGCACTGCACGACGGACGAGTCTGACATGCATGCAGATGGGTGTGCTGAGGATGATGACCTCGTGGTAAGACGGCAAACTTGCGACTTGGGAGGGATTACTAAGTAATATATTCATCGATCTTATGACAACCAAGATCTAGCATCGCGCGTATGCATGACATTTATTTAGAAATTTTGGGGTTGTTTCTTTCAGCATATCATATCGTGCGGATGAGGATGCCACAGCCTCATTGAAGGAGTAATGTTTTGCATTATCCTTATGCGCCGGGAGTTTTCGAACCAATTGAAATACGATATCCAGTAGATGGAGTGAACTGCTAAAGTGTAATGTGAGTGACGGATTTCGGCGTGAGCGTTCCTTGAGTTTGGCCAATATGGCGAAGAAATATTTAGAGTTTGTGATGAGTATTGTACTAGAGTATTGTTGCAGTGATTTGCCTTTGCGCGCATGTGGTCTGTTTCAGGTAAGCAGGATGCTAAAAGTCTTAGATGCTGAGGCAAAGATGGGGGATATGCTGAAGCTGGAGCTTGTATGCTGAAGCCTGGATGTAACGGTGCGTTCTTTTATAGATGACTGAGAAATATTGGCTAACAACTTAGTAAGTCCTGGATGTTTTTTGTTGAAGGAAGATCCGGCAGAGCTGGAAGTAAAGCGCTGAGACACTGCTGACAAGTACGACGGATTCCCACAAGGATGAAGGTGGCATCCACGTGACAGTGTGATGATTGGTCTGGGTTTCCAGATCATTGCACATAAACGATGCTATACATAACATTCAAAACTAGAAGACAGGTGGGTAAGAGACGACGGGACATGAAGGGAAAATATTAGATGGCGGGCTGAGCTGACTACGCATGAACTGGAATAGAAATGACTTTGTAAATGGTAGCCTGCGGTGGGAGGAACGATTGTATTGAAGCCAGAAGTTATTTTCAGACGGTTTCTCTTTGATCGTACAACGTGTATATTGATGCTTGAGATGAAGCGACGACAACGCCTCGGTTGCTTGTCTTGGGAATATGACGCGAGATGGAGAATAGGAAAAGACGGAGATTAGGGTTCCCACGTCACATTATGTGCCCCCAGGAAACGGATCTTGATTGTGGTGCTCTGGAAACTGCGGTGCAACGTAGCTGGCATATTGGATGACGGAAGATTGGGGGCTTGGGATGACAGGTCAACATTGGTTGTCCAGACTTGCACTGATTTCCTCTTCAATACCCGAGACAAAGAATGAGGATGCATAAGATGGTGTGTCGATGTTTGCAAAGAAACGAACGTGGCTTTCATGGGATGAAGCATACCGTACCTCACCTCGCTCACTCGTGTACCTCGTAGACTGAGGGATCGGCCCGCCAACGGGAGGGAATTGGGTCACAGGATAGGCCACGAAGCCGGCTGACTGAAGAAGGCTGGGTATTTGTAAGTTTTCGTTTTTGGCCTGGAGAGGATTGGAGGACCAATAACAATGATTGTAAGAATGTTGGACTTTGATATATAGAAGGATGGAAGACGCAGATCAAGGGAGAGATCTTGCGTTAGAGAAAGATGAGATGGATTATATGATTATGATTAACCCCTATTATATTAATCAATGCTCAGATATTTGATTATTGTACGGCGGAAAGGGCGGAAATAAAAGAATTGGGGATGGGAATGGGGGTTCCTATTTGATCTCGTAATCTCTGGATCAGATAACCCGTTTTGGGGCTACTGTAAGATGCACTTCAATCAGCGTGGGGCCTGGTGGACCTTTATTGATAACATCTCTCTGCATTATTACATGGGGCATATACGAAGTAACTCGTGCTTCTTCGACTAATATACTACTCTGCTACTATTACTCCTACTACCACTGCTACCATATAGTTTACATCCTACTCCCTCCCACCTACCCTGCGAAAACAGCAGTGCTGCCTTGTTTAATCCTTAGCGGGGGCTGCAACGACGGGCGAGGGGCACTACAACAGTACAGCGCAACATGATCTCTAGCTGCATATGACATCCCACGCAGAATCCACTTCCCCTTCCAAACCCGGTTCATCAATATCCCCGTCTGTCAACGAGTCACAGGTCACCCACCTCACTGACCTCTCCTCTTCCTCCGATGTCCACAGTCACAGCATCCCCAGCAGACGAGCAGGAGATATTCCTCTCTCTTCACTCCCACTCCCACCCCCACTCCATCCTCAACAGCAGTATTCCCACGACGACGACGACGAACTCGACCCCGAATCCACTGCTGCACTCCTCCGGAGACACCTCCACGACAACTCCGACGATGAAGCTGCCGACAGCACCGTACCCTTCATAAACCCCCTCCGAAAGCTTGTCGAACTCATGTCCAAGGCACCTCTCCTTCTGCGGTCGTCGCCTGGCTTAGGCACCGGGTCATACGGAGCGTTGCCCATCGGAGGCTCTACAGATAACAGTGAAGAGGAGGAAGAAGATGTTGGGAGGCCGAAAAAGCAGAGGGCGAGGAAATCTGGCTTGAGAAACGCCGTCAGCACAGGTGTTCTGAATGACGCCCAGTCCACAACCTCTGCCTCAGCCACTACCCCTACATCTTCACGCCAGCGAAAGAGTCAATCTGCCACCGTTGACGATCTGGCAGAAGATATTGGGCTAGAAGGGAGGTTCGCCGCTGGAGGCATTCCCATCCCCAATGCCGAGAGTTCGCTGGAGTCAACAGGCAGTTCCGACGCCGACGATTCCGAGGAGGTCATTTTAGACGATCTCTCTTTCTCTCTCGATGATGAAGACCCCCCAGACAACTCGCCGTATGCCCAAGTACGAGCTTCTGTTTCCGCTATAGACAATACAAGCCTCTCGATCAATACCCCGCGGATGTGGACCCTCTCCATGTTGTTTGCAATCCTCGGGTCCTCAACGAACCTTTTCTTTTCCCTTCGATACCCCAGCGTTTCAATTACTCCAGTTATAGCACTTTTACTTGTCCATCCTCTGGGTCTTCTTTGGGACCGAATCCTCAAACGACGTGACGACCCCAAAGAAGAATTTATAGACGGTGCCAGAAACGTAAATATTACCAGCGAAACAAATACGAGTCCCGAACTTAATGATAGACGACCTTTAGAACACCCTAGCACTATACGTGCATTCAGATTATGGCTCTCTCAAGGGAGATGGAATGAGAAGGAGCACAGCTGTGTCTATATCAGCAGCAACGTATCCTTTGGGTTTGCATTCGCCACGGATATAATAGTCGAGCAAACGCAATTTTACAACCAAAAGGTTAGCATAACTTATCAGCTGCTGCTGATTCTCTCGACCCAGATCCTAGGTTATACATTCGCTGGCTTAACCCGAAGGTTTCTTGTCCGACCTGGAGGAATGATTTGGCCTGGGACTTTGATGTCTGCCGCCATGTTCACCACATTGCACAAAGAAGAGAATACCGTGGCCAACGGATGGAGAATTACTAGATGGAGATTCTTCTTCACCGTCTGGATATGCGCCTTTGCATTCTATTTTCTTCCTGGTCTCCTCTTTCCTGCATTGAGCTACTTCAACGTCATCACCTGGTTCTTCCCAAAGAACGTGGTGGTTGCCAATTTGTTTGGTGTTGCCTCCGGACTTGGTCTTTTCCCGGTCACTTTCGATTGGGCTCAGATTGCATATATCGGATCACCCCTGCTGACTCCATTCTGGGCTGCAATGAATGTTGTTGGAGGTCTTGTTCTTGTCATGTGGATAGTTGCACCTATCGCATATTACAAAAATGTCTTCTTCTCTTCTTACATGCCCATCCTCTCTTCGGCCGTTTTCGACAATACTGGCCATGTGTACGATGTTAGCAAGATCTTGACCAAGGATTTCTTATTTAACAGAGACGCATATCATAAATATAGTCGGGTTTACTTGCCAATCACATATGTATTGAGTTACGGTCTACAGTTTGCCGCACTCTCATCCCTGCTATCTCATACTGCCTGTTGGCATGGAAAAGATATATGGAGGCAATGGACTGCTTCTTTGAAAGAGGTTGAAGGCGAGTCGAAGGGCTCGTACAAAGTCCTGCCTACAAATGGAGATTCGGGTAGAGCAACCAATGGAAACAGGTCAAGGAGACCCTCAAGAGCCGACTCAGAGAATATTATTAGCCAAGAAGATGTCCACAATCGTTTGATGCGGAAGTACAAAGATGCGCCTCTGAGTTGGTATCTCCTAACATTCGTCAGTATGACGGCTGTTGGGATATTTGTAGTTGAATAGTGAGTTTCTCTTTGCCTCTCCTCGACGTTACTAACATCCATAGTTACCCCATTTATCTCCCTTGGTATGGGCTTCTGTTAGCATTAGGGATTTGCTCAATCCTCTTTATCCCTATCGGCATTGTCATGGCAATTACCAATCAACACAGCAGCATCTACCTCATCTGTCAGCTCGTGTGTGGCATCGTTTTTCCCGGCCGCCCTGTCGCAAACATGGTCTTCACAACCTATGGCTACATCTCCTCGGCCCAAGGCATAAAATTCTCTGCCGACCTCAAACTCGGCCACTACATGAAAATACCACCCCGCATCCTCTTCTCCGTCCAAATGGTTGCTACAGTCGTCTCTTCCGTTACCCAAATTTTCGTCCTAAACTGGATGTTCGCCAACGTTCCCAACATCTGCACTCCCGAAGCAATCAACGGCTTCGTTTGCCCGCTCGCACGCGTACATTTCAATGGCAGTATCCTCTGGGGTGTTGTCGGTCCTAAAGAATTCTTTGGCCCAGATGCTACGTATAGAGCACTGGTATGGTGTTTCCCTCTCGGCGCCATCGCGCCAGTTATCCTTTGGCTCTACGCTCGGAATCGCAAGAAGAACATCGTCCGCAAAATCAACCTCCCCGTATTATTTGGTTCTCTATCTTGGATTCCACCTGCCACGGGCCTAAACTTCTCCGTTTGGGCGCTCGTCTGTTACATCTTCAATTACGTGATCAAGAACCGTGCGACGAAATGGTGGGCCAAATACACAATGACGCTGAGCGCGGCCCTGGACTCGGGGCTCGCATTCGGGCTGGTGGTGGTGTTCTTTGGCTTTGTATATCCTGGCTGGATGGACGGATTTAGCTGGTGGGGAACAGAGGTTTACAAGCGAGGGTGTGATTGGATGGCTTGTTCATATAAGACGGTCCCAGAGGGAGGAAAGTTTGGCCCGGATGTTTGGTGATTATTCATACGGGGATAGGTTAGAAAGAAATTGAGATGATGTTTTAACCAAGTCCCATTTTGGGCTCGTATGTCATCATACTTCCTCCGTTCTTTTGCCTCTTTTCTGTAAGCAACCATGACTATGAATATTGCACATTCTACCAGGTAACATGATGGCCACCGTTTTAGTCTATTTCTTTATTCTCGCACTACTATTACCAATTTAGCGTGTACGATTGGTAATGAGCCAAAGGAAACTGCTCTCGGTCTTGATCAGGTATGTATGCAACTTAATACGGCCAAATCAGACTAAGAGCCCAGGTACTGTTGGATCATTGACCGATCATGGCGGATACCCGTTGCCAGCTCTACTAATCGGAAAGGAGATCTAGCATCTCTTCCGCTGACAATTTCATTTTTTTGGGGGGGGGGGGGGCAATTGAAATGATTAATTTGGTGGGCCCAAAAATCATCTCCGAGAAAATGCGAAACGCAAAGTTCGTGAAAGGAATGGTAAACCGGCGGGGCAAAGTACCCGAAAACACAGAGATTTCATGGAGCTATTTCACGTCTGACTGAATATTCTTTTGGTGTGGGCTTGGACTAAGGAGCAAGAAACCAGTCAGACTATGGATAGAGATACCATTTCGTTGACCCGCGGAACAGAGCCTCACTCTCCCGGATGACTAGTCACACTCCAATTCCCTTGCAACACCGACTGATCGGTCAGTTTCCCACTTTCACCTATCTCCAAAACTCCAATTTCATCCCCAGTCGAATCCACCAAGGTTGTTGTAGTCCCAGGAGTCGTATGGTAGAGACGAACCTCAACATCGCTACTATAATCATATACAGTCTTTGTCTCTCCCGGTTTCCCAAGAACCAGAATCGAGTTTTCTCTCACGTAAAACGGGAGCGTATCAAATTCGTGCGTTTCTTTGAACCAAGCTGGTCCTTGTTTCGTCTCGCCGGAGAAGAAATTGGTCCAATGGCCCTTTGGTAGGTAGAACTCTACTTTACCGGACTCCTCGAATATGGGTGCTACGAGAAGGCTGTCGCCGAACATGAACTGTCGGTCTAGGTACCATGATGTCGGATCGTCGGGGAACTCGAGGCACATTGCACGCAGTGACAGGGGGATTCCCAGCTTGACGGACTGCTGTGCCTGGGAAAATATATAGGGCATCAGACGGGCTTTCAATGCCGTCCATTTTGACAGAATCTTGGAGCATCCTTGGTCTGTCGTGTCATCGTCGTCAACCGTCCATGGCACTCGGAAGGAATTGCTACCATGTAAACGACTATGCGAACAAAGGAGTCCAAAAGCAACCCATCGCTTATAAATCCAGGGTGGCGGGTACCCTTCAAACCCTCCAATATCAACAGACCAGAACGAGTATCCGCATAACCCAAGACTGAGCCCTCCTCGGATTGACTCGGCCATCGCCTCAGGGGTAGATTCGCAATCGCCACCCCATTGGAGAGGGAATCGCTGGGTTCCTGCTGTTGCAGAACGAGCAAACAGCACTGCTTCATTCTTCCCAAAGCGATCCTGCAATGCCTCATAGACGATTTTGTTGTATATGAAGGCATAATAATTATGCATCTTCTTCGGATCCAGAGAAGAATCAAACCACTGAACATCCTGCGATGGAATACGCTCGCCAAAGTCCGTCTTGATGGAATCGATTCCTTTGTCGAACAGTCCCTGCAGGCAACCCACGTACCATGCGCCGCTTCTGGATTGGTGAAGTCGATGATGCCCATTCCAGTCTGCCACAGATCCCATTGGAAGACATCGCCGTTCTTGCGCTTTAGGAGATACCCCTTACGGGCTGCTAGCTTGAAGACTGGTGATGCTTGGCCGAGATAGGGGTTTACCCATACGCAGACTTTCTTGACGAGTCCTTAAGACGTCAGCACAATACTAGTTGTGAAAGAAACGACTCACCGGATGATTTGAGACGCGCGATTTGTGCTTTGGGGTCTGGGAACATCTCTGAATCGAAGACAAAGTCACACCAGTGGAAAGCTTTCATCCAGAAGCAATCAAAGTGGAACACTTCTACTGGGATGTCCCGACCTTTCATCCCGTCGAGGAATGAGTTGACAGTCGATTCGTCATAGTTTGTGGTGAAGCTGGTGCTGAGCCACAGGCCAAAACTCCAGCTCGGCACCTTTCCAGGATTTCCAGTCAATATGGAGTATTTCTGAAGGATCTCCTTGGGACTTGGGCCATAAATAATGTACCTGTAAGAGTCAGTAGCGTATCGATACGGTGGTGATGATGTTAGCTCGGCGTTTAACTTACCATTTCAGGCGTTGACCAAGAACGCTTGTTTGAACTCGAGAACACCTCTCGCTTCCAACCTCAAGTTCAACCTTGTCTGGTGTGTCAATGAATATTCCATACCCCCGGGAACTGATCCAGAAAGGGACATTTTTATACGCCTGATCACTGGATGTCCCACCATCTGCATTCCACAGGGTAATAGCTTGCCCAACTTTATTAAAAGCCCCAAACCTTTCTCCCAGACCATGCACGGACTCGCCGACCGAAAGCGTTGTCTGTGTGAAGATGTAGTGGTCCAGTTTTCTCATGTCCGCCAATTGCATAGGACTGCTCGTCGCCGGACTGTATGCAAAACCAACACTTCGATTGAGCAGAGACGTGAGCTCTTTGGAGCCGTCCGTGGCATGAAACTTGATGTCGAAATCATGATCTGCAGTCTTGACTGTCGCGGCGATCGAACCAGACGATATAGTGGTTGACTTCTCAGCCTTTTGAATATTTACCTTACCCTCTGGCTTTTCCGCAGGAAAGAGTTCGAAATGTGGACCTAGATTGAGAGCTCCAAGCCAATGTGTAGTCTCAACAGAGAGAGCCCCATCGAACGGTGCTTCAATGTCCTACTTCAGGTCAACGGTTGCTGGAGCGAGGCTTCGATGCACTCACTATTGTAAGTGTACTGAGGTTCAAGGAATCAGACCTATTGTGGATCTTCCTCGTTGGACAAAACAAACTCAATCCATTCCCGTCTTCTTTCTCGGCGAGTGAGTAGACTTCTTCCGCATATTCAAGGCGCTTGCCCTCGGCGGCTAGCCACATACCATCACGGAACTTCATGATGAGAGATAGAAGAGATTGGAGAGATTTGAATTACTTCAACGATACAAACACAAAAGAGCTTTGCTTTCGCTCTACAAGTATCTCGAGGGCCATGCAGAGACAACGAGTTTGTGGCAAGCCAGCAAAGCTACCCCGCTATCCACAATAATACGGACGCAGGTAGAGCTATAGAAGACTCATCTGAATTTGCCTAAATGCATTTGAAGATTGAGATGCAATGTGCTCGTATGGCCAGGAAGGGATGAAGCGGGGAGCTTTGCATGCATATGAGCTGTTCTTGAAGTTCTTCCTCGCGGGAATATTGTTCCGAGCGGCCCGAAGAGGCTAAGCTTGTACCGGCCCCGTCCATTCATGTTCACATCAACCCATTCATCACTCTTTACTTACATGACATTATTCTCAAATTGCAATTCCGGAATAATATACTGCCATTCCATTACCAAGAAGAAGCCCCAGATCAGTATCTGCGGGGAAACTGGTCCCTGGTCTATGAAAGTTCAAGGTCCATTCGGCGCTCATCCGAAGGGCAGGGAGTCTCAGCTACCCTGAGCTATGTCTTGTTGTTTTTATCCTTTTCCAAAAATTCCACGATTCTCCAATTTGCGGGGGTGTTTATCAGAAATTTCAAGGCGAGATATCCTAATAAGATAAGATCAAGTGCTTTTCCTGTTATGGCTTTTGTTTTGCAACAGAACTTTATCCTACACTCCTTCGATTTCGTGGCGGGGTCCAAAGCCTCTTCCTCTCATTATGAAATTCCTACCTGTGGCATATGTGCTGCTTCTGCGGGCAGCCTATGCTGCTAACAACTCATCGGTTCCTCTTTACAAAAACCCCCATGCAAGCGTCGAGGCGAGGATAGCAGACCTGCTTCCGCGAATGACATTGGCAGACAAGACCGCACAGCTAGTGCAAGGAGATATTTCGAATTGGATCAATACAACCACCAATGCATTCAATGCCTCCGGATTACAATTTAACATGGAAAAGAGAGCCGGTCAATTTTACGTTGGGTACCCGGTCCCGCAGCAATGGATTTCGGAAGGCGTACGAATTGCTCAGGACTACTTGATCCATAACACCACACTGGGAATTCCAGCTTTGGTGCAGAGTGAGGGGATTCATGGGTTCCTAATTGGCAATGCTACCATCTTCAACTCACCCATCGCGTATGCTTGTTCCTGGAATCCGGCCCTGGTCGAAAAGATGGCTGCGGCAATCGCGCAGGAGTCTCTGGCACTGGGCGTGAATCAGCTATTTGCTCCTTTGGGAGACTTGGCTCGAGAGTTAAGATATGGTCGTGTTGAAGAGACTTTTGGGGAAGATGGATACCTCGCGGGAGAAATTGGCTACAGTTTTATCAAAGGCATGCAAGGTGGAAACGTCTCAGCTACAGTCAAACATTTTGCTGCATTCGGGACGCCGGAACAAGGCCTAAATACTGGACCAGTACATGGAGGAGAGCGCGAACTCCGTACCACATATCTACCATCTTACAAACGTCAAATCATTGATGCTGGGGCGTATTCTATCATGTCTGCATATCATTCTTACGATGGCGTTGCACTTATTGCAAACCATCACATTTTGACGGATATTTTAAGAGATGAATGGGGGTATAAGTACTGGGTAACGAGTGACGCTGGCGCTACGGATCGGCTTTGCAATTCATTCAAGATGTGCGAATCTCATCCTTTGGACAAAGAAGCGATAACATTATATGTATGTGATCCGATCCTGTTCCAAATCGTTTCTAATTAGTCCCAGGCTCTGCCGGCCGGCAATGATGTTGAGATGGGAGGCGGTTCCTACAGCCTCGAAAATATCCCCGATCTCGTTGAATCGGGGAAACTCAGCGTCGATTTGGTCGACACTGCAGTTTCGAGGCTCTTGCGAGCAAAATTCGAAATGGGACTCTTTGAAAACCCGTATCTTGGGGCACCCGCGAACCAAACTTCGTCTCTAATACACACGCATGAAAATGTTGCTCTTGCCCGTCAGCTCGATTCGGAGTCGATTGTTTTATTGGAGAACTATGACCAAACGCTGCCATTGTCGAAGACGGCAAACATCGCAGTGATTGGACCAATGGCTCATGGGTATATGAATGTAAGTCGATCTTTGATTCCTCCAAATAGTACTTACAATCATTTAGTACGGAGATTATGTTGTCAATGGAAGTCAATATCGTGGAGTGACACCTCTGGACGGCATCAAATCTGCTGGAAATGGATCTATTACGTATGCCCAAGGCTGCGAGCGATGGTCCAACGATCAATCCGGGTTCGCGGAAGCTGTGGCTGCTGCTTCAGCTGCAGATGTAGCTGTGGTAGTCGTGGGGACTTGGTCTGTAAGTATTGTCCCATTTGAACCAAGTCGGCTACTAAATCCATTCCAGCGTGACCAGAATCAGCTTTGGCAGGGGTTGAATGCGACTACCGGAGAACATGTAGATGTGGCTTCTCTGAACCTAGTCGGAGCAATGCCACATTTAGTGCAGGCGATCATCAATACCGGGAAACCGACCGTAGTCGTTTTCTCTTCCGGCAAGCCTATCACCGAATCTTGGATTTCAAGCAGCGCATCCGCACTCGTCCAGCAGTTCTATCCCTCAGAAGAAGGAGGTAACGCCCTCGCCGACATTCTCTTTGGAGATGTTAACCCAAGCGGAAAGTTATCTGTGGGCTTTCCTTACGACGTCGGTACCACCCCGATTTATTATGACTATCTCAATTCCGGGCGGCCTGTCGATGCCGGTAAAGTAAATGACAATGGGACCCTGGACTTTGGTCACCAATACGTTCTCAACTCGCCTTTACCACTATACTCCTTCGGTTACGGGCTAAGTTATTCCAGCTTTCAATACTCTAATGTGACATTGTCGAAATCGACTGCTAGTGCCAGTGATACGATCACGGCCTCAATTCAAATCACTAATAATTCAACACGGGACGGCACAGAAGTTGTCCAGCTTTATATCAAAGACCTTATTTCAAGCGTTGTAGTCCCAAACCTACAGCTCAAAGGATTCTCGAAGGTTGAAATAGCTGCTGGCAAGACGGAAACTGTCAATATCGACGTGTCTGTTCAGGATCTTGGCTTATGGGACATAAACATGAAATATGTGGTGGAACCAGGTGATTTTGTAGTCTGGGTTGGCAGTTCAAGCGCGGATTTAAGGGGCAATGCTACCTTCACTGTGGCTTGATACAGTGCAGGAAACATTTGCTCATACCTCGATAGTCAATAACAATACTCTAGCTTTTGACAATTCCGGAATATCATATGACCTTGAGATCAGTTAGCTAACTATATGAGCAAAGTTGACAGCTATTCGGGGCTTTCCGATAAAGTTTTCATCTTTGAACTTATTGATGGATATCCGGCCCGCGAGCCGTTCAAAAAGTAGAGACGAGGTACCCCTCTATTCTTCGCCGCAGTGGCGTTTTTAAACTTGTACAGATCGCTCCTGTCTTACCATCCATTCTGCAGGTAACAAGGGTACGTATTTCCTCGGTCTCATTTTTCCGGTGCTCGTGAGATGGCCTGTTGTGTCCAGCCAACCAACCACCTTGCCCTCCTCCGCATTTATCCAGAACTTGGCGGGAGAATCTGGGGAACTGCATGCTTCGAGAACATGGGGATGTAATTACCCAGAACCATCCTAGTCAATGTCCTGATCATAAAGGTCATGCTCAGTACATATAAGCTCTTCGTATACCTTCTTTCGTGGACCTTTCAATGTGCAGTTTGTTCGAGGATTAAGTACGCTAGTCTCTGGGACTGAATTACGTCGGCATCATGGGAAGGATCTTCAATGTTTCCCTAGCAGTTTTCGCTGCTACCGGGTAAAATTCCTGCTGCTAGTTTTTATCCAATTTCTGATTTCGATCTTTAGTTCCTTTCTTTTCGGATACGATGGGGGTGTCATGGTGAGCCAAAATCCTTAACAAAAAGCCATATTTCTTATCAGCTCAACAGTTGAGACTATCAATTGTTGAGCTGTGTTGGAACCAAAGGAAGACATCTCCACGTGGGGAGATAGCCCCCGAGACAGCTCCATACCCCAAATCCCCTCATTTTCATACTAATTCGTCAGTAGACAGATGTCATTGGTTCCAATAACTTCCTCAAGTATTTCAATACAACCGACACCTCTTCCATAATTGGCGCCATCAACTCAACGTTCAATGGAGGAGCCGTATTCGGATCCCTCATGGGAGGGCTTACAATGGATCGTTTTGGGAGGAGAATGACAATTCAGATAGGCGCGCTCATTTGTCTCGTTGGCGCAATTCTACAAGCGGCTGCCAAAAACCTCGGGATGATTCTTGTGGGAAGGATCTTTGCTGGCTGGGCTGTGGGACTGCTCAGCATGGCCGTTCCAGTCTACCAGTCCGAGTGTGCGCACCCTAAGATTCGTGGTTTGATTGTTGGCATGTCTCAACAGATGATCGGAATCGGATTTATTGTGTGAGTGGCTATGTTTGACGTCGACAGCAAGTTGTGCTAACTTTGGAAGTTCTACTTGGGTTGGTTTTGGCTCTGCTCATGCGGGAGACCAATCGCAGTTTCAGTGGAGATTTCCACTTGCTTTCCAAGCGGTGCCCTGTGTTGTGAGTATATTGACGACCTTAGTTTTTGCCTGTTTCTCACTGCATTTAGATACTGGCTATCGGTATGATCTTCTTTCCTGAAAGTCCTAGGCACTTGATGGCCACGGATCGTGAAGAAGAAGCCATGAGGGTTCTCAAAAAGCTGCATTACAACGGATCAAATGGTATGCATATAATGTTCTTTTTTGCCATTTCCTAGCCTTTCATGTTTAGAGGCTTATTATATTCCAGCGGATTGGGTTGAAACCGAGTTCAACGAAATCAAGCAAACTCTAGCGGCGGAGAAATCTGTCACTGTGCCAGGATGGAAAATCATGTTCACTGTTCCACAATGGAGAACTCGACTGTTCCATGGTGTTGCCGTCCAGGTATTTACACAATTAAGTGGTATCAGTAAGTCTTATTTACAAACGTTCATGGTTTTGCTTATTGATGCCAATATTGCCAGATGTGATTGGATATTACCAAGTCATCATGTATAAGGCGCTCGGATTCACGGGGGGAAAAGCTATTTTGATCTCGGGTATCTATAATTGCGTTGGCCCAGTTTCAAGTAAGTGCCTCGAATCCATTTTCGTAGACCAAATCCCCATTAACACCGCTTCAGATTTCATCTTTATCGTATTCATTCTCGATCGTGTCGGGCGTCGAAAGCCACTTCTGTTCGGAACTATTGGAATCACACTAGCATTAATTTGCGAAGGCGCCATCAATAGCCAGAATACTGAGGGAACCCGACATAGTCTCTCGATAGCCGGAGTCTTCTTCATATTCCTCGTGTCAATTATATTCTCCTTCTCCTTTGGCCCGATTTCGTGGGTGTACATGGGAGAAGTCATGCCAATGTAAGCTCCCCGCAATCAATTGGCTTTCTCTGGAGCCTATTCTAATATATTGCAGGCAAATCCGAGCTCGTGGAAATGCTTTCGCTACAGGTGAGTAGTGTGATTATGACTGTAGATGTGCAGGGTTTCTTTGCAGAGAATGGGAAACACCTATCCTGCAGACGGTCTATGCATCGCAAAGCAAAAACTAACGCCATATTAGGGATTGGAAACTGGCTCGTCGCAACATTCTTTGCGCAAATATCACCTATTGCCCTCGGCAATATTGGCTGGAAGTTCTATTTCGTCTTTGTTGCGTTTAACATTGCTATCACGTTTCCAGTTGTATTCTTTTTCTTCAAGGAAACAAACCAAGTGTCACTTGAGGATATCGATCTTCTATTTGGAGAGAGGGCGTTGGGAGCTTTGCCGGCTGATTTGCATAAAGAAGGCGCTTTGGAGGTGCTTCCGAAAACTGTCGATGCAGAGGTCCCAGACATCAAAGTGTAGTGCAGTTCATGGGAATAGTCAAGAACATTTTCAGCCACGAACTCCAAGGGAGGGAAGTAGAATGAATGGATTGTGACAAAGTCTCAAGTCCAGTCCAAGATTTAGAGATTAATATCCAAATTTCCGCAATCCTTTTATTGGCTCCAAGCTGCAGCTTACTTCGATCAGCAACTTTTAACGTACCATGGAGAAGCAGAAGCAGCTTCAGGTTCGGAATCAGAACGATCACATCTACAATAGCTATTACTAAACATGTATGCAGAGTCGATAAATGTCTGATCAATTGCATCTAGTTAAATGTTGATAACCAGGTACGATCGAGTTTACGACTTGGGACTGGACTGATAATGCCGATGGTAAATATGTATATCGAAATAGAGTCCCTATAAACAAGCTTTCGCCTTTCACCCGTCACCTGTTCTGTCTCCCATGCATCCCATCAGCAAGCGAACGACTGCCACTATGTAAGATCACCAAAGAAATCGATGCGTCCACTAAACCCCGTTACATGCGGCCTGGTTCACATTACCAGGATTGTTAGGAATAACCCCAGCAGCTACGGCATCTGATCACTGTTAGCTGACATTCATCTTAGTTCAAGAAGGTACTTACCTTGATATGACCATCTGTAGTCACCAAGCTGAGATTTCCACGTCCAGAATATCCAGCCATTGGTGTTTTTTTCGTAACTCAGTACTTGTGCTGCAAACCATTGCGTGTAGAAGCTCTTGTTGTCGGTCGGGTCCCATCCAGAAGTCCACTGGACGTCGTCAGGCACGCTAAGACTGAACTCTCCAACGATCGTAGGGGTTTCGTTGTCGCTGCAGCATGTTAGTTCTTTTCTAAAGCCACGCGTTTTCTAACTTACCTGTTCCGATTGTTGTTGCACGAGTCTGAGATATAAGCAGCTTGGCTTACGGCAACAGAACTGTCCCATTTGATGTATCTATGATCATCATACGCCATGAAGTTCGTATTACTCATGTATTGATTTGGGTCTCCCGAACCCCAGAGAGCATTCATTGTTTCTACGTGGACATAGTTATTCGACGTGACTCCTGCTGCCGATTCTGCGTTACGGATAGCCTGTAGATGTTATTCAGTAGATGCCACCGGTCGTTATTCATTGGTACGAACAGAGTAAGCGTTGGGATAATAGCTCGATCGCAGAGTCCCAATTGTGTCGGGATTCTGAACGGGTTCATTAACAATGCCAATCATGCCAACATTTCGGAATTCGTTTGTTGAGTGAATAATAGTTGTCAGCCTGTGAAAAGTTCTTGTGTTAGTAAGTGATTCAATGTCAAGGGCAAATCAGGATTCTTCCGCCAAGAATTTGAAAGATAGTCATGACTCTGCGCCAAGCAACAGGCTTTCGAAGGGATGTGGAATAGCAATGAGATGCTCATCAAGCTACATACCAGGAAAGAAACTGGGTAGCACGGTCATATTGGTAGTCGGCGTAGAAGCCTGGAGAAGAAGCATACTAGTGAAGTCAGTCTCAAGCTCAACATACTCCTTACAACTCTTTGGAAAGCAGCTCATGTAGGAGAATGACTCACTTGTCCCGTATCTGAGTTCTGTGATACTTGTGCTCCAGGGGCGCCGTGCAGATCAATAATGATATAGAACCCGGCATCACTCGCCCAGCCGCAGACTCTCTGCAGGTATGATAAACCTCCTTGAGGGAAGTGTTCACTATCACTGTACACCAGGGACTCCATCATCCAGTACCCGACTGGAATTCGGATGGTATTCAAGCCGTAGCTCTGCATCTGCGTGATGTCACTTTGGGTGATCCACGTGTTCCAGTGGTTCTGGAAAACACTGTTGGCTGTGCTCTGGCCCAAAGCCGACACGCAGTCAAACTCAGAGTTATATGATCCGCAACCCATATTGGACCATTCGGTTCCTGCAAGCCATGGTTCAAAGACGAATAGAGAACCTAGGTTGACTCCTCGAACCTTGCCTGAAGCCTGAAGCCATCTTTGGGAGATTGAGTTGCCCTGGGATGTATCATTGCCATTGAAGAGCTTTGTATCGTTGAAGAGGTTTGTACCGTCTAGTGCGAATATTTGTTTTTGTACTCCTGGGAACCATGCCGATGCATGAGACACAACAAGTGTGAAGAGGGCAAGATAAGTTGCAAACATTGTGAAGGAGTGTGACTGTTGCCAAATTTCGAAGGTTACTTTGGACTGAGAAAGTAATTACAAGAAACATATATAAGCTATATATAAGCAATAATTGAAAGAGGACACAGATTCAAACAAGAAAGAAGTAGAAGTGAATAATACTGTCCTCGTGGGTGAAAGAAGGCGAATGTGAATAAAAAGGAGATATATTCATTTTCTGGAGTATGACAGAGCCCGCAAGAAGCGGCCTGACCTCCAGAATACACCTTTATTTCCCCAAACCTTGTCATCCGACAATAGAAGAAGTATTTATTAGATAAAGCGAAGTTTTAAGTTAGTAACGTAACGTCGAACTTGGGGTTGGATGGACGGCATTCGCAAAACAAAACCAAGAGAGTTCCAGATTCGCCCCTATACAAGTCTGGTGTCAGTATGAACGAATCTGTGTATGTGACAGGTGGCTATTCAAGATTGCCGTGTGACATGCATAAAGATAAGGTGGCGTTTGAACCATTGCGTGGCAGTTGGGATAGTCCATTGTAGGCTTATGAGAGGATGTTAAGTCGGGGACATATCGGGCCTGTGATTTACCGATGGCACGCTAATGTTTCGGGCTTGTGATGTGGGGTAAGGTGCTCAACTCCGTAGATGACCTGCGTCAAGTGAATACCAGGGTAGCAACCAACTGAATGGATCAACTGCACGTAGGGACAGATCGAAATGACCCGACTCGGGCCTTCTAGACGCTTAAAAGAAGATTTTTACGGAAATCTTTACGCTCACTGGTCGGCTTAAATCTCCTAGGTTAAATCTCCAACCCTGTTTAGGACATTCTGCTTTAATACCACCTTGATCTGCAACCTTAAAATGTCATACCCATTGCACCGGCAATAAACATTCTTATAATCAGCCATCCCACAAAGTTTTCACTGGAATGTGATCTATATCAGCCATGCTAACGCTACTACTACTACTACTACTACTACTACTACTACTATCGCCTGATAAGAGCCAAAAGTTAAAATCAAAGGCTACACGTCTGTACAATAAATTACAGCGCACATAAACTTTATTGAAGTTGTACTTGGGTCTACTATATACCTTCAAGGAAGCATAAAATGGTAGCCCAGTTCGACTCTTGTAACACCGCACTGTTTCACACATCGACTGCCATAGGGCTTGCTCGCGTGCTCATTGGGGTGGGCTTTTATTGGGTGGTGAGTATATGTGTAGGTATGCAATGCTCATTGGCTAAGAATAGTTACTAGTATGTTCCCAAGTGCCCGCCGGCGTAGATTGTGACGCGTATGAGTAGCATTTATTAGTAAGTGCTCAGCTCAACTTGAACAAAGTAGATACTGTAAAGATGCACCCAAAGCGTTCGACTTGAGGCCTTCATCGCGCCCAGCTAAACCCCCCCTATTTTCAACTCTGAAGAGGGACTAGGCTGCACTAGTACGTATAACCCCTTTGCGAACTCAAACAAAGCGCCTCGCAAAGCTCCCACTCGCAGAACACTCTGACTTTTTTGAACCTAACAATCCCCATTGGCTTTTTTTTCTCCTAAGGATTACCCCAGAGTGGTCGATTGTGAGCACTATGTAGACCCCCCAGTGCTTACTCCACTATTGGCACCGTCGTGCAATTGCATATAACTAGTATTCTTAAGCGTCTTGTGGGATTTAGGCGCCGTAAAGCCCTCGCTAATATCAATCCCCCGCTCTGTACTCTCTTTCCACGATGTAGTATTTGTGGCGCGACTGTGGGTTGTAGGAATGAGGGACCTAAGGCTTTTGTAGACCGATGATCCATAAATTCTAAGTCGGACCAGGACGCCTGGCAAGGTAGACATGCAGGCTGCCATGATAGCGAGATTCATTTCTACAATACTGATACAAATTAGAATTTGTAAAGCGCAACAGGTATGACGAGACAGAAGTGAAAGCATATATCTTACGTTAGCGACGCAGTTATTGCGCTGTACCAAAATTTGTCTGCTCGATTGAGAGTTTTGACCGTGACAACCAGGCGCGCGATCGACACTCCGCAAGCCACGAGCCCAGCAAGAAAGATGACGAAAAGTCCGATTTTCTGGCGTTTGTTGACGCAGAGCTTCAAAATGCGCGGGATAGGTAAAGCGAAGATAAAGATATCAGATGCCACGTTAAACGCCGATTGGAATACGGTGAGGGAATACACATTCTTGCACAAGCTAAGCTTGGTTGAAACTGCTGTCATGCAATCCGCCAAGAATCCAGCTTGGACACCGAGATACGCAATGTAAAAGAGGGTAAAGAAGACGATGGCAAAGTAGCAAGACAGCCGTAGGGGCCGGTTGACGCCGAATATGCGGAGGTACAGGAGAAGAATGGAGAGCTTGACACAGTAGATTACGACGGGGTAGATGATAGACGTTGCAGAAAGTTGGCGCACGTTGGATAAGTTGAGAAGCGTGGTCACTCGAATATCCCAGATGTGTCTTCCGAAACCCAGCTTGAGGCAATTGAGCTCCGCGACCGTGTGTGCAGTAGATGCTAGGGCCGCTATAGCGCAAGTATCTATGTAGATGGAACAAGAAAAGTCAGGAAAGTGGATTACAACGGAGGGGAAATTAAGTATTGGATTCGCTCGATGACTTACAGTCATCCCACCCCATGGTACGGAGAATTCTTCCCTTGGCATACAGTCTCATGAGGACCACAATCCACATGAGGGTCAAGAAGACTGTGTTCAACACGATCAGCTCGGCATCGTGAGACGGCGGGTTGACAAAATTTGGCTCAACTCCTGGAGGCGGTGTTCCGGCAGGATAGTTCTCCAGAACGCTGTCAGGAATTCCAGCTATCGACATGATCTCGGCGGGTATACTTTGCAGTACGTTGGACGGAGACTTGAACAGGCTTTCGCAAATATTCATGTAAGATTCTTTCCAATTGAAGATGTCTTTACGAGAGAAAATGATTTGACATGAGAAGATAAAATAGAGAGATAGGAGAGCTACCCTTGTGGCTTATTATGGTTATGGTATGGCAAACACAAAGAGCCTCATGGTGGGCCAAATGTCTTTTGAAGATTTGCTATTCGTCTGCCACCACCTTCAGCATTGGTTTAAGCCGTGAGAGTTATTGTTGGATGAAATTGGGGGGGGGGGGGGGGGGGGTCAATGCAAGACTGCTAATTTGGCCGAGGAGGGTACCCCCCGTACTGTATGTGTTTGTGTGTGTGTTGCGAACCATGCTCATGCGAGTCGCATGCGTACAATAGCACAGTAATCCTCTCCCCCGGCCGGATAAAGTCATGGTAGGGGGGACCTTATCCCAAGAACACAGGTGCTAAAAGGAGAAATTAGAAATTCCAACAGCAATATATAACCAACCGAGCATTGCTGACCACCATCGCAGCACACACATGAGAATCCGAAAGGATACAGTATCAAGGTCCTGCAATGCAACCACCGTGAAGATGCCGCTACAGATGTGTTGCCATGATCCCACAAATCTCGACATGGTACCAGAGAAGCTTGACCTCAAAGCCCTCAAAGAAATTCGCTCCGCCTTGCTCTGTTGCTTTCTGCGCCTCCGTCTCATTGCTCTCATACTCGACCCAAATATCCAGCTCCATTCCCAATTCCCTCGCCACCAGCTCCCATATCCGGATCAAGCTGTCACGATCGTGTCTATACACGTTTTTCCTGGCACCTTCGGGCACCCAGGGCGGACGCAGCCAATGCTCGCCGGCTTCCAAGCTGGCGCTCAGCCCACCCATGAGCCAACTCCCCGTGCCTCGGGCTAGCGCCAACATCTGCTTGCATGCATGGACCTGGGTGTCCCAGTCAAAGCTGTGCAGAAACATGGTCGACGTTACGATGTCCTGCGAGCGCTGCAGCTCGGTCAGGCTGGAGACTGGGGCGAACAGATCTGCGGCTCTGAAGCGCTCTCCTGCCACGAAGCGGTCAGTGTCGCGGAACAAATCCTGGCCAATCTTCTCGAAGGCGGCGAAAACGTCCACGCCCATCAGCTGGGCGGGCGTCGCGCCATCGTGCACGAGTTTGCGCAGATCCTGGCCAACGCACGTCCCAATGTCGATGACTTGCGCCGGGCGATCTGCGGCGCCGCTTTGGAGGCGAGCGAGGAGCAAGGCGTAGCGAGGGTGGCTGGATAGACCGAGAGTGAGAAACCAGAACTCTCCAATACATGGGAAGGGAAAGATCTCCCATGCTGCCTCTCTCTTTCCGAATTGTCATCTCTGTCAGCGTGTGCCCTGTGTCCCAAACAAGAGACAAGAGAGACATCCAGCGAACCATACTGGCCATACATACCATTGCATATACGTGCCTTTCAACCTCTTCCGGGGCTATCCGGCTATACTCTTCAAACAGCTGACGGCATTCGGGGGTGAGTCTAGATCCAAATGAGACCTGATACCAGGGGAACTGTTTGGATGGTGGCAGTGTAGCAGCAAGCTTCACTAACGACTCTCCGGCGTCGACGTTTGTCGGCGTGGGTGGCAAAGGAGAAGTCATGCAGGGCGATGGAATCAGATGTGGATTTTTCGGTAAGGCTGGCTGTTGAATACTGGAAGTAGCTACATTTATAGGATTTCCTCGGACGATGCTCGCTGGTCACTGTAGACCTAGGTCACCTCCCTAAGGATGGGGCGCTTCGAGCGGTGTCGAGCAAGGCAATTTACCCCCTGCCCCTGACCTGATCCCAAAAACCGCATCTATACACTACAGGGTGCAACAGTCACTATAACGTCATCTCCCTTCACTGGAGCCACGACCCCCAAACACGGCTTCTTCAATTCCAACCGTGGAAAACCCAAAATTTGGTCGGCTTTAAATATATCAAAGCGGCTCAACGCTAAACCAATAAAAGTGAGTACTTCTTTCTGAGCAAGAAACCTCCCTGGGCAATGCGTCGTCCCGCTTCCAAACGGACGGAAACTTAAATTCTTTGCAAGAGACGGGTTTCTGAGGAAACGAGTAGCATCAAAGTCCGCTGCATTTGGACCAAAGACATCTTCGTCCATGAGGATTTGACGGTAAGGAACAAGCACCCTGCTTCCTGGCTGCAGTAGCTGGCCTCCCAATTCAAGGCAAGCAGTTATGTTTCGAACGGAAACTGAGGACGTGACAATCCGGAGCGTTTCTTGATAAAGTGCTACTAGTTGAGGGCATCGGTCCAGGTAATCGCTCAACTCGTTAGGAGTTTGGGCTTTAGATACCATGGGGGCTATTTCGCTCCGAATAGCTGAACAGAGATTTGGGGTCTCTACCAGATAAGCCATCATCCAAAAGCAAACTTTCCAAGCATTCCCATTGATACTATCAGCATTGTCAGCCCTTTGATTGTGCAACAATACATACTGGGAATACAACTTACACCCAGTAGGCCATCATTAAATTAGCAGCCATATCATATTCTCCAATGCCCGCAGCTCGCATCTCTCTCTCCATCGTCTCCACCAGCCAGCAGGCTCCCGGCCTTTGGCTCGCCGGCGCCTTGAAGTACGCTGTTAAGGCATCGAGCGATTTCTGTTTCGCCATTTGCATCTTTCTCGACCAGGGGCGCGGTATTTTGTAACTGAGCTGCCAGCTGCGTTCATCAAACTCGGAGAAGTTGTCGAGAAGGCCAGGGTTACACTCTAGGAGAGCTTCACCGAAGAACGCATTTGTCGCTCCTTCGAGAAGCGTCGCTTGGGTCCATTGAAGCAGAGAAACAATGTGTTTGCCATCTAGAGAAGATGATAGAACAACCTTTCCCCTAGTCCTAGTCCTTGATAGATTATTAGCGGTAAGGGATTGATGTATATTCCTGAGGAATTTATGTTGGAGCTTAGTGAGATGGATTCCGGGATGAAGTTGCTTGCGAAAGATTTCTTCCGAGAGCTGCCCCAGAGGCTTTCCGAATGGATTTGGATATCCAGTTCTGGATGGGCGGGGTTGCCACATTTTGGCAATCCCTGTTTCTGAGGAGCCCATCGAAGCCATCATCCCTTTCACATAAGCGTCGAAAACTAGCTCCTTTGTATTCTTGCTCATTGCTGCAGCATCCGCTGCCGAGGTCAATACGTAGATATTAGTACCGGCCACAGTAATCCCAAATGGCTTGCGAGTGTTTCGAAAATACAGTCGTCCATAGGTAAATGTCGAGTCGCTATCCATAAAGAATTTGAATGTATGACCTAGAACTATTTTGATAGACATGTATTAGCATGTTCTTACAGAAATTGATGAACTTAGGCTCCCCTTTCTCTTTAACGCACTCCGTATGAACTTACACGGAATCCAATAAGGGAGTTCCTTTGCATCTCTCGGATGAAGCATAGGAAAGATAGTAAAACGCCATAATCTCCATGACAATAGAGAAGTAAGTATGCTGAAGAAGCAGATTAAAGTCCAATGCGAAGAGCTCTGACTACAACATGTGATAATTTGCCCCAGAGAAATAAGCTGAAAAGCCAAAATGCTCGCAGCCATTTCGTATAGATTGCTGTCAAGGTAATTCGTGGTAAGTGAGCATTTGCATACGCACAAACATCGTATGAAAAGGAACCATCAAAAACAAAATGATCAGCTAACTGACTATTAATAGTAAGGCCTAAACATGCTTGCTTTTCTAACTCTCCTCAGCCTTCCTATTGCCTCGCTGAGTACTTTCAACAAGTTGCAGTGATATTCAGTGACCAAAAGTAATTATGCATGATCCATGATCCTGGCACACATTGCGGCCTAGAATCTCAAAGGCTTATCTGCAATGGTACTGTAAGCTGCCAACACTTCGCAAAACAGGGACAGGTGGTATGGATCAAACACGTAAAAGCCTTAGGCATGATTCATAACTCCAACCAACCGCGCTAGCACACTGACACTTTCTATCCTGGCTACATCTTTAGGCCGTCGAAACTGCCAAGTAGACTTCATAATACTTAATAGCCTAATCATGCAAAATCAGCCTCAGCCTCATTAATTTTATTGTGCATCCTCCCACCCTCGACCCCCTCCTCAAATCCCTCTCCCCTCCAGTCCACTTATCTATCTACAGGATTGCAAGCCAAATTCACAGAACGCGAAAGAAGCTCAAAGGTTTTCTTAACCATGACTTCAGTCGAGGTATCATGGCAAGAATGGTATCGACTTTGGGGAGATGATTTTCTTGGCATGGGTATGTTGAATTGCTATGCATTTGAAATAGATGCCCAGAAAAGATTGACAAGCTAAGTAACATCAATAGTGATGGCCATTTTCATCTCACAAGAGATTCTCAACTTCACCCTCAAGCTCTTATCCCTCGCTCGCCCCCATGCCCATACTCCAAGGACCTGGTTTGCCTTCTTTCTCAATCTTGACTACGCACTCGAATATCCTATGTTGTTCACATCGGTCCCATCCATATCCCAGACCACCCCGGATCGGGCTATCTCGAGCCCCGTCCCCGAACTTAGCAGCATAATCTTCCAGATTGTAGCGCTTCTCATCATCGAGAATCTCTTCTTCATTCTCCTGCTGAAGCATGTATTTCCTCATGGAGAGCGCGAATTTGCGGCTGCTATTGCTCTATCTTTGGAATTTCTGGCACCTCGAATGACGCTGTTGTTCGGAATTGCGTTACTGGAAGGTATTGATGTTTTGCGGATGGGGCAGTTGCATTTTGTGGGTATTATGGGGTGGTTGTTGTGTAGGCAAATTTTTGCTAGGAAAAGACTTTGAGAATCATGGTTTTGGATGGTAAAGATGCAGTGGGTGGACCGTAACAGGAAAGTAATTTAAGTCTATATACTCAAGTGTTTGGTTCAGGTCTAAAGACAAGGCCAGGCCTCCTGTTTTGAGGTAAAGCTGTTGTATTATAATGGTAGGAAAGCTGGACTTTCGGAAACAAACGAGCTATAGGCAATAAAAGTTTCTACCTTCTTCCAACTTCGGACCAGTCTTTCTTTTGCGAATTAAATAGACATCGGGGCCCTCAAGCTACTCATGCTTTCTTTTTGGATTCAAGACGATGGAAAGACTCCCCGCTCCGCTTGATAGCCTCTTGCAAGCTAACCTTTGGCTTATACCCTAAGACTCTCTTCGCCTTATCAATGCTAAAGGTCCTCGTCATACAACTGAACTTGATGCCCACTCGGTTCAGTCCCGACTTCTGCCTTCCAAAGGATATGATCCAAGTCACCCATTCAGCGATTGCTGCCATCATAAGTCCTACCACTTTCGGCATTGATCGTACATCCTCCTCCCTGGTAGGATATCCAGCCGCACTTCCTATTAGCCGAGCGAACTTCCAGAACGAAATGTGCTCATCGTTCGTGATGATGAATCCCTGGCCCGCAACAAGCATGTCCTCGGATGCTAGCATCTGGCCATGTGCGTTTAGCAGAGCTTCCGCGGCCAGGAACTGCGCATGGATCACATTCTCGTTGAACGTCCAGTCGCAGAGATTTTTGCCATTGCCAATCTGCCACTTATATTTTCCTTCTGCGGCGCGTTCCACAAGCGCTTTAGTGGTCGCGTCGCCCTCTCCGAATATCATCGAGGGCCGGATGCATGTTGTTAGCATACCGCCTGGGGTGGTACTGTTGGCATCAAGGACAAGTTGGTCGGCCACTGCTTTGGAGTGCGAGTAGATTTCTGTCTGGTCTGGGAGGTAGAGGAGGGGGAGAGAGTCATCACCCTCGGTCATGTCACTGACTGAGTCGTGCACAACGGAGGCACTGGATGTGTACACGAACGCTTTCACATCTAGCTTCTATCACACACTTTGTCAGCGTTGTCCGAGAGGTCGAGGAAATATGCGATGCTTCGATTTCTACGAGTTTATACTTGAATAAGCAGATAGGGAACAGCACAACTTACTCTAGCACACCCAACTAAATTACGTGTACCTTCAACATTGACTCTCATATAAAGTGGAAGATCCGATAGGCCAGCAGGTGGCGAGGCCGTGTGAAAGATGACCTCTGGGCGTGCTTTATTAAGTGCGGAAGAGATTTGGTTCTTGTCTGTGATATCTACATCGTAATACTCGACACCGACTACTCGATTGTGCCCGGTCTGGATATCGAACACGGAGACTCGAGGCACCGGCTCCAGCTTGAGAAGCTGCTTGACGGTATAATGACCAAGCGAGCCACAGCCCCCAATCACGAGGGCAGATTTGATCTTGGGCACACTACTAGACATGATGGGTGGTGATGTGGTGGTTTGTTTTGAAGAGCAGAAGTGTTAGGGGGATGCCGTTATAGAACATGTAGAGGTGGGAGACCCGCTCGCGAGGCAGCCAGCCAACTGGCGAAGCTGCCTGTTCAGGACAAAAACAGCACACCTCAAAAGCATTTCCTAAATTAAGACTTCTTGCCATGTTTCAATCAAATAGCATTGCTGATGGCTAGAATTTCGAGACCCCTTTTTCCCGCAGCATTTAAGATAAGGATTTACGACCAAGCCATACTGTAGGGATGCAATACACACCCATCCATCGAAAGAGTCGGGCGTGTTTCCCGCCTAATATTACATCTGCAGTGCGACACAAGCACACACTACGGCACACAAACAACGTCCACCCGGACCCTCCACCACCAACAATCCAACACCAACCCACATCAACCGGCCGTGTAGTGTGACGACTGAGTGACCATCCAAACCAAAGTCAGGCTCGCCACCGAGAATGGAACAGCCAATCCATTTGCAAACGACATGGTTTTGTAGAGAAGCGACTCGCTCGTGAAATGAGCCAAGGCAAGAGCATACGTCGACAAGGCGACCGCATAGATTCCCTTGTCATCAATGTTGTAGGCTGCGTAGGCACGCACAATCGACGCCAGAAGGGTCCATGTGCCGAAGAGGCGTGCGCTCAGAGGCGTTGCTTCGGCTCTTGCTGCGGGGCCTTGGTAGGTGCGACGCGCGATGGCGGGGGAGGTGTAGCAGGCGACGGTGTTGAAGACAGAGGCCGCCGATGTCTGAGGAGAGACGAAGAGAGGATGGGTTAGCTAACTCAAGGCTTGGACATGCGAGGAGGCGGCGGAGGAGGAGGACTTGCTAGCAAGAGCCAGTATGGCAGCGCCCCACCATGAGATGGGAGGAGCGAAGACATGGTGCTGCTACTCGTAATGATATCGCGATGGGTAAGCTGGAGTTCTGGTAGGGTGGGGGAAGTTGGGAAGTTGGGAAGTTGGGAATGAGGGAGCGAGGAAGTGAGACGGAAAATGGGGGCCTTCCGAGCGGTAGGCTTCTATCTGATTTTCAACAATATATTCTCAAATGGGATTGACGGGCACGGCACCCTTGAGCGAGCCTCGGTGAGTTTGCATGGGGTTACACCATACTACGGCCCGGAAATCTATCTGCATCTTCCGCCTCAGAACCAGCCTCCTTCATAGTCATGGGAACTACGAGTATTATCTGCATGATGCATGTGGCAGGGAACACTCCAACCCATGCTGTCCCCCTTTTTAAAATCTCCAGTAGTCTATTGAGCCGCCTAATAGCCGCCTAACACGGCGCCATGCAGAACGCTTCTATATATGGTTCAACTGTTAGACTGCATTGTCCCTTGTCTATGCACGGCGTCGATCCTTGTGCTGCATGAATGGCAAACTTAGTTACCCTTGGTCGCCGTTTTTGCTGTCACTTATACCAGGCTACGAGGCATGTGTATTTTGAGGCAACGGATAACCCCCAATTTTCTATGCTTTGGATAACGAGAAAAGCTGCTTCAACGTGACTACAGAAAGTAGTGTGAAGTTCGAGATGTTTCTCACAAAAGACCAAAAGTTCTTACAGCTATCTCTCGCGAAAATTCCGACTTCTAATATCAAACTCGCTTTCAGCCTTGTTGTACTGTGGTGGCTTGTGAGAACCTGCGATCTGTTTCGCAACTATTACTTCCGCCGTCCGGTAAGCACAATTCGCGAGTCCAATTTCTTCCACGCCAAGGCTAAAGATCAATAACCAAAACCTAGCGTAACGTATTTCTAGCCAGCAATTCTTCCTTCTTTGGAAAATGGTTTACGAGTCTTCGTGGCATTATGGGCACTCCTAATCTGGTCTCGCAAGCGTACTCGAAGGTCATGTACCAAGTTCACTACGAGATGGCTATCATTATACTGAGTTTCAAATAGGCCAAGGGAAGACCGTTCGCAATCCCGACTTTTGCCAACTACCATGTTTATATCTCCAAGCCCGAGCACATTAAAGATCTCAACAATGCGCCTGGACGCCAGCTGTCTTTCAATGGCGTGTTGTCCGATGTGAGTAAGATCTCAGGGTGGTAGCTTGCACTTGCCTGGCTAACACATCAGGTTGTCTATCCCGAATATACCATGCATGGTTATTCATACGACCCAGAGGATCCGCAGAACACCTGGTCCGTCGGAACTTTGAAATCGGGTTTTCACTCCTACCTACCATCTATGGGACCAGCCTTTCAAGAAATATTAAAACAAGTATTTGATGAAGAAGTAATGAAGGGGAAAAAGGAATACAACACAAACGGTATAGGTAACAGCACAAGAGCTATGTGCAGGAGCGTTTTTGTATACTTTGCTGATCATCCGCTTTTACTAGGATGGACAAATATCCGACCCTCCTCCGTAGTTCACAAAGTTACGTGTAACCTAAACACGCGTATGATTCTCGGGGAAGAAATTTGTATATTGGCACTTCTACCACGTCTTGTCTTTTCCATGGATCTAACATTCACACAGCAAAAAAACCTTCTATCGTGAAAGCAGCTTCCGATTATGCGCGAGATGCGGTAATTACAACGGAGGTGCTGCAGCGCATACCCTGGATCTTGCACTTGTGAGTTGAAAAAACAACAGCGTTTGGATTAGGTAGAATATTTGCTGAACAAACTTTTCATTAGTCTAGTAGGAAATGTTTTGATGAATTGGAGTGGAGCCAGAAAGCGTTTAGAACAATGCATTAGTACACTCGTCCACAATCGACTTGCACAAGGAAAGAATAGCGGAGTTGCCGCTGACAAGGAAAAACCTGTACCAATTCAAAAATCAATATACGAGAACACGCTAACCACTTTTCAATAATAGGTTGACTTGGTTCAATGGATGATTGATTCTCCTCGCAAAAACTCAAGTTCGATCGAGTTAGGCATCGTGCAGCGAATATTTGGATTTATCTTGGGCGCCGCATATCAAATGCCAATGGTTAGGCAACTCACTCATTAGCTTGCGCTAAGAGAGGACTACTCACTAAAACTGTAATCTGTTCTAGTTTATGACCTTTGCGTTGTATCGACTTGCCAAACATCCTGAATACATCCAACCTCTTCGAGGGGAAATTGCTTCATTGTTGTCACTTGACCCTGTTTCGGGTAACACCAAGAAGGACATGCCTCTACTTGACAGCTTTCTCAAGGAGACTGCCAGACTTCACCCTCTTACAAGTGGTAAGGAAATGAAATATACAAGCCTTCTCTCTAACCTATCCGTATCTTAACGTCTTGTATGTCAGAAGAACTAACAAATCACGATTATATAGGTAGTGCGGACCGAAAAGTCGTAACACCATTCACTTTCTCGGATGGAACTTATATTCCCGCTGATAACTACATTCGCATTGCGCAATATTCTTTGATGACAGATGCGGAGAATTATGCCAAGCCAACAGAATTCGACGGCTTCCGCTTCGTTGTCAACAACGACGAAATTAACGGAGCTGCGAATTCCCAGTCCCGATTTTGCCAGCCGAGCTCTGTATTTCCGTTCTGGGGAGCCGCTGGCCGCGCATGGTATGTATGAGTTCCCGGTTCTCTCATAAAAACATGATTTAGAAGGGAAAAAGGACCGAGGATATAGCAATAAGAAAGTGGATTTTACTGACAATTTGGAATGATGCGCAGTCCAGGCAGATTTTATGTCTCGATGCTTACTAAAATGATGGCTATACATGTCTTGACGCATTATGATATCAAGCTTACAGACGAGAAAACAAGACCAACATTTACTTGGGGTAATAATGTCGTGCCTAATCCGACGATGAGATTGCTCATACGTCGTCGTTGCAGCACAAATGATGAAGGTAGGTAAAAGATCCTAGAATTCACGCTTGGGAGAGACCGAGAAACTGATAATATATGAAAAATAGAATACGAAAAACCTGCGAATATTCCTCAGGAACCTCCCGCTGTTCCCCCCGCTGTTCCCTTCATAGGTCATGTCTTCGGGTTTCTCTGGAACAAAATGAATTACTTTGATAAAATAACGTATGGACAAGATTCCTCCTAATTATGTGTCCACATACCTTTATTATAAATCAGATTCTAACGTCCTAATGAACACATATTACAGCCAGCGGAATCCGCTTCCAATCTACACGTTAGCGATCCCAGGCTGCAAAATATACGTGGTAAACTCACCTGAGCTCATCACCGCCGTGCAGAAGCAAAAGACCCTAGCGTTCGAGCCTCTCGAAGCAAAATTAGCAAAAATGCTCTTTCACCCCAGTGTCAAAGGAGGTGAGATCATGCATGCGAATACGGATGCTAAGAAAGGTGAGCGGGGGCTTTATACAGAGGGGGCTGAAACCATACATGCTGCTTTGCTTCCGGGGCGTGGTCTTGATGAAATGAATCGCATCGCAATTCAAAACATTGCTGCTTCTTGCGATAGGCTTGACCTGCGAAACCATGGCAAGATAGTGGCATCACCAGTGAGGATCAAGTTGAGGCAATGGCTGCAACATCAAATTACCATGGCGACAACGAATTCCGTTTACGGCCCGATGAATCCATTCAAGGATCCAAAAGTTGAAGCGGGTTTCTGGTGAGTAATAGAAAACTTTCTCGTCATCATTCAAGTTTGGTTACAACTTGTAGAATCTATCTAATAGCTGCTGAAAGGGACTTCGAACGCAATATCGGCATGCTCCTGGTCAATATCTTGCCCAGTCTGACAGCGCGAAAAGGTTACCTGGGACGCGCAACAGTAGCCCAAGCATTTCACGAATATTTCTCCCAGAACGGCCACGAAAGCGCGTCTGTTCTCGTGAAAAACCGCTTCCAAATCTGCATTGAGCATGAGCTCCCACTAGAAGACATTGCGCGATTCGAAGTCGGCGGCGTGATCGCAACCACCGTAAGCACCGTGCCAGCGGCATTCTGGATGCTTTACTACGTGTACTCCAACCCTGACATTCTGGAACTTCTTCGTGAAGAGGTCGGCACGATCTTAAAGACAACCAGTCCTGATGCCACCCAAGGAACCGTCACGAGGACTTTGAATATTACGGAGCTCCGAACAGCGTGTCCGCTCCTCACCTCCTCATTCCAAGAAACGCTCCGCCACGCCTCCCTCGGCGCAGCAGTGCGGTTCGTCACCGAAGATACCATCATAGACGGGCGGCACCTCCTTAAAAAAGACTCCATCGTGGAAATGCCCGCCCACATCGTGCACTTCGACCCTTCTATCTGGGGTTCTTCAGTCACCGACTTCGACGCGTCCCGTTTCGTCCCCAGCACCAACGTGAAGAACTCAACGAACGCGACGAACGGGCAAGAGAATAGGAAGAAAAAGCTTCACCCCGGAGCCTTTCGTGCCTTCGGGGGTGGCAAGAACCTTTGTCCCGGTCGCCATTTTGCGGCTACGGAGATTTTGGCGCTGGTGGCTATGATGGTTATGCGCTATGATTTGCATGTTGCTACGACTACAACTGGGTGCTGGGCGCCGTTGACATCAGCGAAGAGCGGTATTGCGGCGGCAGTTAGGGAGCCAGATAAGGATATGGAGGTGGAGGTGAGGCTGAGAGAAGGGTATGAGGAGGGGAGATGGCATTTCGGTTGGAAGAGTCGGAATTAGTTTTTACAATTGATGATGTTGGTCGCTGAGGGATAGACTACACAGCATGGTTGAGGATGGCTGATATGTTGACCGAGGAAGGATCACAGTATGACAGTAGGACTCGAGGTAGCAGAGCATTGAATGTGGGCTTGGAAATGTAAATTCTCCTTTGAAAATAATAAATGCGGCAGGTTTTTAATTGTTCTGCACGGCTACTGGCTCAATATTACATGACTGCATATTGCCATCGAGACCGCGTGGATCAAGCAGCCACCGAATCCTTCCAAGTACATGAATGGCTTGCCACCTACCGCACGCGCATGTTAACAATCAATCTGAGTAAACGACCTTCCGCACTTGTCGAGGTTTGTTGGTGGCTGTTCTGGCCGTTAGGACTCTCGTTGGCTCTTGTGATCAATGTTCGCAGTTTGTCGGACCGGGTGTCTGCAGGTAATGCTATTATGGTGCATGTAGTGCAGTGCGGTGTTTATTCGTACAGTACTGTAACCTTATATTCCCCGTTTCCCACGTGGCAGAGCGTCTTCGCTCGTCCGCAACATGAGGTATCTATCTTCCAGACCATTAATTTCTACCAGGCTATCCAATATCCAACGTTGAGCCTCCCGCGCAGTGTGACCACTAATTTGAGTCCTATGTATCGCAGCTATGTCCCAATTTGCAGTCACCTTCTTGCTTGCAACTGTGCTTCTGCAAACTTCGATTTCGGCTGCAAGCCAGTCGATGGAACATTGTGTAAATAGGCTTTCGTTTTCCCCCCATACATTATGTTTCACAGTTCCTGATATATCCTTAGTGCGCGGCATTATCCGCTTCAATTGGATTGAACAAAGTACTTTTCCCCAATACCACGCTTTACGATGAGTCTGCAACATCCTATTTTGCTCAGCAGGAAGGAGAGCTGTCTCCTTACTGCTACGTCAAACCCACAAGCAGCTCAGACGTATCAATCATAGCCAAGACTCTCTTCCAATTGAACAGTGACCCCATTCCGGTGTGTCCGTTTGCCGTCAGGGGTGGCGGTCATCACACCGTGATTGGGATTGCCAACATCCACGACGGCATTACCATTGACCTCGGGAACATCAACCAAACAATTCTCAACAGCGACAAAACCATTGCCAGTGTGGGATCTGGTGCTCGCTGGGGCTCAGTATATTCGACTTTGGTCCCGGAAGGACTAGCTGTCTTAGGTGGTCGAGAATCGGGTATTGGAGTGGCAGGCTTCACTACTGGCGGTAAGGGATTGCATGGACGGCTCTTGAGAACAAAGTGTTTAAATGAATATTAATCCTTAAAATAGGTGGTATATCGTACTTCGGGGCCAGATACGGCTTTGGATGTGACCTAGTCTCGAATTTCGAAATCGTCCTCGCAAACGGTTCAATCAGCAACGCCAACGCACGAGACAACCCCGATCTCTTTACCGCTCTCAAAGGCGGCTCGAATAACTTCGGAATCGTAACTCGCTTCGACCTTAAAACCTTCGAATTGGGCCAATACTTTGGCGGCAGCATCTACTACCTCGGAAGCGAATCGCCGCAATTGATAGATGCCTTTGCTGCATTTACCTCCAACCTGAACTTCGATGATAGAGCTGGTCTGTTGCTCTCCATCATCTACACTGCTTCGGAGGGCTTTATCACTGCATGCACTTTCTCGTATACAGAAGCCATTGAAAATCCCCCATTGTTCGTCAATTTTACTTCGGCAATCCCGTCCTTGCTTTCCGAGACATCGGTTTCCAATCTGTCGTATTTTGCAGATGAGTTGGGAGGAGCGAATACTCCTGACAACCTCCGGTGAGTCTCTTTTTCCCGCTTCTCTTTCTATCACAACCAGCTAATAATGATTTCCCGTTTAGCCAAACATCTATAACCGCAACTGTAAAGCCTGTCGTGTCCCTTTTGCAACAAATATATCTCCTTTGGAATACTACTGTCCCGCTTATAAGTTCGGCTGAGAACCTGATCTGTTCGTTGACCTTGCAGCCGCTACCTGTCAGTTTCCTAAACGCAGGTCCTCTCCACGGAGGGAATGTCCTCGGTTTGAGCTCTTCCGGGGGGCCTTTGGTAGTTCTCACCCTAACTGTTCAATACACGTCTAAATCCTCGGACGAGCTCATCGCATGGACAACTAGGGAACTCTTCCGCAAGATCGATGCTCTTGCAAAAGAAACAGCGAGTTCGAATCCCTGGAAGTATTTGAACTATGCGGATGTAACGCAGGATGTTATTGGGTCTTATGGTGCGACCAATGTGCAGAAGCTGAAAGCTGCGAGTGCGAGCTTCGATCCGACCGGCTTTTTTCAGAGAGTGCAGCCTGGGGGATTCAAGGTGCGACGACCCAACTAGGCACTATATGGCTAATTCTGTAGTCGGACATATAACATGTGTCCGGGGATTTCTTTGGTAGCCATACTAGTGTAAACGTTTGATAGTATGCCTGAGAATATTATACAAGTCTTGCTTTTGAGGGACTTAAATGACAGGATCCTCGCCAAAGCGAAGGTTGGAGAAGAGTTTGCAAACAAAATAATTAAATATTGGAGTCTTGTGGCAGAAAGGAGTTGATTGAGTGCTTAACAGATCGGTTTGTGCTCGTATGCCGTGAAGTTGAGTTCGCAAATTTCGGTAATAGATGGGGGACTCAGTCGTCCACGCGTGCGGTTGCTGAAAGGGATCCGAAATCGGCTCTGTGAGGCATCCTCGTAAAGGTAGGCAGGGGAGCCAGAATCGACTCCTTGCTCAACGTCAGTACGATCTTGACTCGAATGCTGGCCTGCTGATGAAAGAACCTTGAGCCTCAATTCACCAACCTCCTCCCACAACGACTCTTTGGTGTGTTTTGAGCCACGCAAATCAACACGATGGCAAATAATAAAAAACGCTCCGAGCGACCTATTTCAGCTCAAAACGATACAACCAAGGAATTTCTCTGAACGCGAAACCAGCGTACTCGATCTATTTGCATCTACCATTCAGTCTGCTACTTTAGAAACGGCAGCGGAAGCCGTACGTCAGCTTGACTTTTCCTGCCCTCTTCTTGATCCCGAGAAGAACGAGGTCGAGGCTTATTTATGGACAATTTGGAAGGTCATGGCTGAATTGGCTGGTAGTCCTGATGTAATGAGATCGATTCTTATTATCTTCGTTGAAGACTTTCTGATAGTTGGAACAGATTGAGCACCGTGTGTGGGGAGATTTACCTCTATTTGGTCAGTGTTTAGACGCTTCTTACAGTGGTCATGGTATGTTAATCTTCCCTTAGGTCCTCTGATTCTTTGTTGCTTTTCTTTTTCCCAAATTGAAAACAAGGATTCTCAACAAGTCATGTCTAACATGCATAACAAAAGACCCTTACTTAATACCGGAAAAGGAGTACAAGCCAGAATACGTACAGAGTTGGCGGAAATTAAGCTCTTTCATGGCTCGATGCACAGGTGCAGGTATCTTGGTTACTTATACCCCGGCAACGGATGCATTGCAAGGAGCATTTGAGAGCACTCGTTTGTCACCAATACTACTAGTAACTGTTACAGCGATAACCATACAGAAAGCCACAAAAGAAGAAATTCTTCATCATAAGATATTTCGATAAGTTATATTGATATACTTACCTGATAAAAGACGTGAGATGCTTCGCTAATGGTATACACATAAGTCATTAACAAACAGTTCAGACGCAGCTTTTGTGGGCCCAATTCAACCCGCCAGTAAAGTGGCTGTCGGAGATTATGCGGGGATTAACGCCACCTTGCACCCATTCGTCACGTGGCGTCCTTCTCGTCACGAATTTCTAGTCCCTTGAACACCTTGAACAACTGCGCAATTCTGACCAGAGTATAAGAAGCCTCCACCAGTGCTTTATGCTGACCAACACAAGCCCGTGGTCATCGCGAGGAAGGGATATACTCCCACGGGCCAGGAGTGATAGAATGCCATCGGTCTGGATTGAAGTCTTCGACATCAGGCCCAAATACCGACTCAACATGATGCAAAGCATAGTAGTCTGAAACCAGGTTTGTGCTACGTGAAATATAGATTGGAGTTGTGCTTCTCGCCACCACCCAGAGGTAGAGTTGTGTCGTTCAGCGCGACACGTACTAGTATCGGAAATATAGGATACATGAGAAAGAGCTATACTGGCCAAGATATCAGCGGGGGTTTTGGTCATTGAAAATGACACTTACACTCTTTTGAAACGTTAGAGAGAAATTTGAATTCCTTGAGGTTATCAAATAATAGCAAAGATACATCGAGATCTATGGAAAGCGCTTCTTCCCGAAGTCTTTCGTATATAGCTGGGTGCCGTGACAGTAGAAACAGCGTATTGCTGATAAGTACTGATATTGTATCTTGTGCGGCCATCATTCCTTGCAATATCTATCTGATTGCGCATCGCGATCCGATCATCTGTTTGCTCTGCCAAACCCTCGAGGAGGCTGTGACCACGGCTGTAAGATTCCATTTGTTTGCCTGGGAGGCCTCTCCCCCGTGCTTGAATTTCATCGTGGAGCGCCGTATCGACGCGGGTATCGATAAAGGTATGGGTTCTTTGCCATGCTGTGGCTTTCAGCGCTTTTGGGATGAAGAACTGAAACGGATCCCAATCATGGAATTTGTGAACTGAACCGCCGCCAAATGAGCTGACTAATCAGTAGCCGATACTGCTGCTACTGTACCTACGCCAGCTTAGCTACGCTCGCTACGCTACGTACTGGACTGAACTGAGCTCGGCATCGCTCAACGACGTTAGTGAATACAACAGAAGGTACTTTAACATGCTGAATATCACTCCACCCACAGCACACCACATCACCCCCGCCAATGTCACAAAACAATCCCCCACCAGGTTCTGAAGCTCTTGTACAAGCACTTCGCCAAACACTACATGGCCTGATCCAGGACCCTTATCCTCATGTCCCAAACCCCGATAGCTGCAAGAAACGCGCATCCGTTGCCCTCATCCTACGCGTTCGACCACATTTCAACCACCGGCCCTCTAAAGCCTCCGAAACCTCCGAGACCTCCAATTCTTCCGCACAAGACTACCGCCAGGATAGACCCGCCGGGGAAGTTATCAATGGGTTTTTTGAGCAGTCATGGGTAAAGCATGGCGACCCGGAAGTGGTGTTTATAAAGAGGGCTGCGAGAGAAGGAGATAGGTGGACGAGCCATGTTGCGTTACCTGGAGGGAAGCGGGACCCGGAGGATGAGGACGACAAGGCTGTTGCGATACGGGAAACTGCTGAAGAGATCGGGCTGGACCTTAGATCTCCCCACGCGCTGTTCGTTGGGAATCTGCCTGAGCGGGTTGTCAGTACTTCGTGGGGAAAGGTTCCGTAAGTACCCTACTCTGATAGCCATTTTACCTTTCCCCTTCTGCGTTGAACTCAGCTGATGTCTTCCAGATTGATGGTGCTCTGTCCTTTTGTATTTCTCTGGATGGAGCCCGAGCTACCACCACTTAAACTACAGCCAGCAGAGATTGCTTCAACGCATTGGGTGCCTCTCCGAATTCTTCTGGCGCCACAATCCCGCACTTTCGAATACGTTGATGTATCCGATAGATTCGCCCGAAGAGGGGGCACTATACTGAAGACTGCAATTAGATCTGTGCTGGGGAAGATGGAGTTCTCCGCCATCAAATTGGTGCCATCGGAGTCGCTATCCTGTAGTACTACTGCCGAATTCTTCTCGCCAGAAACCGAATCCAATACATCATGGGGAGGGGGATTCTACAGATGGTATTTGGGAGACCATGCGGGATCATCTGAAAGAACGCGGCCACTGTTGCTTTGGGGACTGACTCTAGGCATGTTGGCAGATTTTCTAGATCAACTGCCGCCACACAACGCTGTCCAGTTGTGGTCATACCCCACATTTACATCGCTAGACGTCAGGTTTATCATTGGTGTTCTCACTCGCCGTCTGAAGCAAAGAAATCAGAGTCGCCTGCAAAGTGGGAATCAAACAGCTGTTGATAGTCAAACGGAAGCTGTTGCTACAGGTGATAATCCGTGGTTTATTGGTGATTTGAGTGATGGAATGAAGCATCCGGGGAAAGGGAAGAATGCTACCAAGTCTTATGCTGTTGGTGTTATGTTGGATGGCTATTATGACATGGCCAGACGTGGGGTTTGGATCGCTGCAAGTGTTCGACTGATTGCCACTACTGCAGTCTTATTCTATGCTGTCAAGAAGTTCAGATCGAGGTAGAAATACAGATAGACTCGGAGGTAACGCAAGATGGGCGGACTTTGCATTATAAGTCCGGAAGGCTTTCTCCACCCCGAGACTACTAGCTCCAATGAACCGGACCATCTGACATTTTCTATGGAGAATACCACATTTGGAAAGCTGGCCAGTTGGTACTTCGTACTTGGTGCACACTGGCGTAGTCGCACACTGTTAGAATCGTAACCCATTACACCTATTCGCAAGCATGTCTTCTACCCGCTATCAAACCGCCCTGCGTTTCATCCAAGCATTCGAGACCCTGTCCGTCGAAACCTTTCTCTCCCTCCAAACACCCACCTGTCACCACATCTTCGCACCCTCGTCTCTCTCGCTACACCCGAAGGACAATGCAGCTTTCGCAGCGCACATTTCCGGGCTCAAGCAGCTTATGGAAGGCTTTCCAGTGAGGGCGAAGGAAGTGATTGACAGTCAGGAAAGCAATCAAGTAGTCGTCTAGGCAACGAGTGAGACGCGCTTCCGAGACGAGGTGAAGGATACTGGCATTTCTGAGGATGAGTGGGCGTAAAAGGGGGAATACATGTTTGTGTTCACCATGGATGAGAGCGGGCAGAAAGTTGAGCGTGTTTTAGAGCTTTTGGATAGTAAGAAGACGAAGGATACATTGGGGGCGTTGTTGGAACGAGCGAGGGGGAATAAGGCGAGGATCGAAGGGGACGAGTCTGTGGCAAATTGAAACTGTAGGAACTTTGAGATGGCGTTGTTACTTTCTGGAGATGGATTTATTCAACTTCTCAGCTGCGGAAATTACTGTCTTCTGCTTCAAAACCTTTGCAATATCCTATGATTTGTTTTGTTTCTAAGTTGCGTAGTTGCTGGTTACTCAATCTTTCAATATTTCATGTGTGCCCACTCCCGATGGAACATACTACTACCACATGTCTCCAAAGTGTCTATTGAAGAGTGATTGAGTCAGACCTTTTCATCATCGTTGCCTGCGTGCCTTCCATGCACGCAACCCTACAGAGAATAAGGTCACCCGGCGATGCCGTCAACGCAACCGGATATAATCGCATCGATAAAAGGTCATATTTCAATCGCTCTAAACGGTCTGAGAGCGACCAACCCTTTGGCTTTTGGCAATTAGAGGATCCAGAACTTCAAATATTGGCTGAATCCATGCACTGACGAGGTTGCATGGTATATAAGGATCAAAGAATGTGTTGCAAAGAAGGGATTCTATGCCACGTCTACTGCAGCTCAAGGTCATATAGTAAGGCAGTAGCCTAAAATCCTGAAGGATCTCATCTTTCTCGTCGAGGGGGCCGTAGTGGTAAGCAGGCGCTAGCCTTATCAGGACTGAATAATCTGATCTAAATATAGGTTGCGGATGTAAACACTGTATCTGGTCAAGTCAGAAACCTTAACTCTACTTCGTATCTTCCAACTTCCTGCTCAAACCTAGAACAGCATTCAGTATCACCTTTTAGACATTCTCAATTCCAAAAGTTATGCCACCAGTAATTGCCCAGGTCGATTCTCTCTTCTTCACTCGACTCCCACTCGAGATCAGACTTCTGATTTACGGAGAAGTCATTAGGTCGTGGGGCTGGACAGAAAGGATACATATTACTCCTGAAAGATGTCCAGAACATCCTGGGTTTTCCGAAGTTGAAGGGCGTTTCACCAACTCGTTCACATCGAAAACATTCCATCATGCCCAGTGCACAATGGGGGATGCGAGTCACGGATTGCCTCGGGCCAGACGGCTCACGAATCTCTCAATGTTTGTGACTTGCCATCGCTTGTAAGTTGCTTTCTTTAAACCTGTATCTTGGCCGTTTCGTCTGAAAACATTTGTTTGCTAGAATGTTTCTGATAACAGAAAGGTACAATGAAGCCATTCCTTGCCTCTACTCGAAGCATACTTTTGACATGACTTCTTTTTGGGACGCCCATGCGTTTCTATCATCCCTGACGCAACACAACCTAAGCTATGTCAAAAAACTTTACATTACTGGATTGATACCTCCTGTGTTTCCATCATATGCAGCCCCACATCTCGAATCAAGTTTTGAGACAAAATGGCTGTGTCTGTGTTCGCTTCTATGTCAAATGGAAGGCTTGCAGGACTTGTGGATTGGTTTTGCGAGTCACACCTCGGGTGAGATGCAAGAAATGGAGTTGCTAAGACCGCTTATGGGTGTGACGGTTAAGCCGAAGAATGGAGTTAAAACAGCTTTCGTGGTCCAGATTCCTGTGGAGAGAACATCCTTGGAAATGGGAACTAGAACTAACGATGAGAATGAGATGGCGGTCGACCGGCTTGAGGTATTGCTGGGTGGAAATGGAAATGCGGTGCCATTTAAGATTGATCGAAAACCAGTAGATTACGGGTATAAATCCAACGAAGAGGTTGCGGTTGCTATCCCTACTGGGCATCCACGGCGACGAATGACGATATGGAAGTATATGTGCATTCCATGTATTCCATGTTTATGTATCTACGATAGTTGCTGCACCTGAGACACTAAAGTATGGACTTGATTGGGCAAAAGGATCATAGAAAAATAAGGAGGAACCGTATATCAAGCCGATGTGTAGGGCAGAATTTAAAAAGATGGAGACAAAAGAGTATCCATCTTCGCTATCTCTTCTACCTTTATACTTAGTAGCAGGGCAAGAAATACTCAGAATAGATACAAGTATAACTACGTAATCAAAATCGGGCGCTTAAGAAGCATAAATAAGATCATTGAAGTTTTACCCAAGCAATTTACCACCGTTGCCTAAATTACACACCAGATACCAGCCTGAAAGCTCCAAAGTTTCACGTACTGCAGGTGTTCCCATTTACACATTAATATTACTTCCGCGCAGTATCAACTGCTGCAGAGTCTGTTTATGGTCAAGAGATAAAGTCCATCTTCTTTCCCAAAGTCAACGCGCAAGTGTGTTCCAATAATCATAACAAGTGTTTCATACATCCGTCATCTCCACATCGCTATTTTGCCTTGCTAACTTCTTATTTGCAGCCCCTTTCTTCTCCCCCCTTCTCTGCACTATCTTCCCCCCTCACCCTCACACTTTCAACTCGCATCTTCTTCGTACTACCTTTCTTCTCCCCCTCTTGCTTCACCATCTTCGCCTTCTCCTTCGCCTTCTCCTTTGCCTTCGCCTTCTCTTTTACCTTCGCCCTCACCCTCACACTCTCAACCAACTTCTTCGTCGCATGCGCCGTCAGCCGATACGCATCGACCTCCTCTCTCCCAAACCCATACAGCGCCAACACCCTCAACTCGACAGCATACGTGCGGCGAATCCCCACATAACAGCTATCCCTCTTCATGCCCTTGCCATCTCTCAACTTCAGCACGTCTTTAGCATGTGGTTTCGACGCTGTGACGACGCGCAAGTGCCCAGAGCGCTTGGCGGCTAGTGTGCCGGATGCGGTGTGTATGCCTTTGGCGGCTAGGTGCGCTTTTACTGTTAAGCCGTGGAAAGAAGTCATCTAGGCTCCAATTAGCTTTGCACGCACGGAAGAAAGGAAGGGGTGGTGGGAAGGAGGGAGAAATATACGATGGCTATCTCGACATGTGAAGAATGTTGTATTTCCTTCGGCTGCGGACATGATACAATGGCTACTGGATGGTTGAACGCCCCGTCTAGGAGTTCTGGATCTGTCCAGGCGCTTTTAGGGATTTTGTCTTTGGGAGGGAGAAACATGATTGTGCCCGCTAGGACTCGGGGGACTTCTGCTTCGGCGACTAGGCGGAAGTTGGTGGTGGTCGGTGCCATTATGGGTTGGTGAAGAGCGGGCATTTTGGGGGGGTATATGAGGTTCAGTAGTTGGATCGGCCTTTTTCGAGAAGATTGAAGCCACGAGTAGGCCATTTTCATGACAAGTTCCTGTGTCTAGAAGTGATTTCGGAGACTCAAAGGAAAAGGGACGGATGAATATACTAGAGTGAACAAAGGGGGGTTGAGGATTTGTTTGCATGGATGCAAACTATGATTCAGACAAAGAATAATCATTCATAAAGGATGTGGAAATTTGATTGTGGGAATCATAGATACTGATTGGGATATTGTGTGAAGACTTGAAGGAGAGACTGACTGGCGTTTGGACAAAGGTTCATGGTGAGCACATTTTAATTCTCATATTTAGTCACAGTCCGTCTGGAATACCAATAATCCCCCGTGGTATTTCTCATGACCCCTGAGGCCCGTCCATCGGGATCGAGGTAAGCATTACCCTCTACTAATTGACAAAAGCCGCGAATGCCTCAAAGGGACGCAACGATGCGGTTTCGTCTGCCACGGAGACCCCATCGTAGTTTGATACCAGTACCTGATCTTGCTGTATGGTAATCTTTTGCGGCAGCGACCATTTCACTGGTCTTTTCCGAAAGTTCGTAACAATAATAACGGTCTTGCCCTCGAAAGTTCGAGTGTAGGCGAAGACATCCTCATGATCCACATCAAGCAGCTTGAAATTCCCGTAGATGAAGATGTCCTTATGAGACTTTCGCAGCGCAAGAATAGAGGCCCAGTACTGGAATACGCTCCCTTTGACGCCAATTTGAGACTCGGCATTGATGTCGTGGTAGCTTTCGTTTTCTCGTTGCCACGGTTCGGCCGTTGAGAAGCCAGCGTATTTGGAGGTGTTCCACTATTCTTGTCAGGATGCGAATTATTGAGGTTTGCGTAAGATCTTACCTGCATAGGAGTTCTTGCATTGTCTCTAGACTTCAGTTGGATTTCTTCGTGTGTGATTCGTTGTCGCTCCTTGTCGTTTGGGTACCTCTCGAGTAATCTAGGGCCTGATTAGCGGGGGGATTTGGGGCTTTGCGTAGTAGACTTACTCTTTCCAAGCATTTAGCGTCTCAAGATCTTTGTACTCGGTAACTGGTCTGCTAATGGGGATATTAATCATTCCAATCTCTTGGCCTTGGTACACGAAGACCGTCCCACTTTGTAACACAAGGAAGGTTGCAAACATCTTGGCGGCAAGAGTCCTAAATTCCGGTAAGTCAGAACCCCAGCGCGAGACGCATCTGCTTTGGTCATGATTCTCAAGATACAAAGAGTTCCATCCATCATTATCTATCATGAAATTTTGCCATTTGTCGACAATGCCTTTGAGCTTAGGCATTGTCCATGGCCTTCGAGAGAACTTTCCTTCTTTGCCAATGTCCATGTCGACACTGGATATCTATTAATTTGGGAATTAGGTTTTGGCCAATAGACTTACATCTCAAAGTTGAATATCATATTTAGCTCTCCACGGTCATACGCAACAGCGTTCAATATTTCCTTCGGATCTTGTACCGACGGCATTTCTCCCACAGAAAAAGCGTTGTATTGCTTAAGAATATTTCCAAGTTGTAGAAGATACTCATGAAGCCTTGGACCACAAGCGAAATACTTGTCGCCAGGTTGGTAGACCTGGTCCTTTCGAGTGATGGGAGCATCTGGAAGACCGGGAACTTTGCTGATGAAGTTTATTACGTCCAATCTGAGGGATTGTTAGTACAAAATTACACAGAAACTTAGATCTCACTGTACCTGAAACCATCCGCGCCTTTGTCTAACCAGAAACGCATGATATCGTGGACTGCATCTCGAACGGGAGGGTGCTCCCAATTGAGATCGGGTTGCTCGGGAGCGAAGATGTGCAAGTAATATTCATCAGAAGCTTCATCGTACTCCCAAGCACTTCCTATTCAAAAGTCAGTCCCAGCTTCAAGCAAAGAGCAACTTTTGAATTCAAATTGCGGGGTACTTACCGCCCCAAACGGCTCCCCAATTGTTGGGCGGCTGACGTTTGCCTTCAGCATCATATTTTGGTTTCTTCCAAATATACCAATCACGGTACGGGCTATCCTTCGAAGACTTTGCCTCTTGGAACCATTTATGCTGTGAGAGGTGAGCTTCAGTCAAAGCACATGACGAGCAGATATCATCACCTGATCAGATGTATGGTTCACCACCAAATCCATCAAAAACTTCATTCCCCGACTGTGGCACCCCTCGATAAGCTTCTCGACGTCAGCGACGGTGCCGTATGGAGCGTGAATGTCTTTGTAGTCTGAAATGTCGTAGCCCATATCGATTTGGGGGGATTTGTAAATGGGGCAGCACCAAATAATGTCGATTCCTAAAGCTTTGATGTAGTCTAGCTTTGAGATTATGCCTGGGATATCTCCGACTCCATCTCCGTTGGAGTCTTTAAAAGAGGCGGGGTAGATTTGGTAGACGGAGGACTCCTTCCACCATGCACGTTTGACGGTTGGTTGGGCCATGACACTGTTGGGTTTCGAATGATGGCTCAAGAGTAGCTTTAGAGATATGTAAAAATAGAAGAAGGAATGAAGTGAGGTGTAGGATGAAAGAAGAAGGAACTAAAGAATTGTTGTTGAAGTGAAGTGGCATGCGTCAGGGACCCACCCAGAACAGCGGGGTCCATCGCGGGGAAACCTCGTCTCGTCTCAAATTCTTTTACTATACACATATCTTCAACTGTTCAGCACAACCAACACAGCACACAAAGACGTCAATATATGGGTACTCTGCATGTTGGCCGTCAATTCAAGTGTTTTTTTGTTGGCGACGATCTTCAAGAGAGACGTGCGAGCTGTGCGCTTATCCATTCTGCAAGACGGACGCCTGTTTACTTTGTCATTTAGAGTAATTGACTCCGTTAGCAAGCGCTACTTACGAGCCTCAAAGTTGACGGTGCTTTCCAATCTATATAATTATAGTGTGATGGGGCATCGAATCTTGATATTTTGCCTCGCTCCGCATTCCTTGTTTCATTCCCTCGAGCAGTTAAGCTTGTCTTGCCAATTCGTTACGCTATGCAACGAAGGACATGCGGGCTGTTTATGATATTATTTTCTTCAAAGAAGAGTCGCATGTCGCGCAGTCAGTATGATTTTCAGCACTACTCTTACGTCCCAAATAATGCCATATCTTGGTACTTTTGCCTACTTAAAACTCGGGGGCGCATGGAACTTGACGAGCTTGCAAGCTCTCTGTATTTCCTACCGTATTTTGTCTACTTCCAAATTTAAGAAGAAACATCTTCCATAGCGGCCCTCCCCAGCCCAAGGAAAAAGTCGGGAAATTAGTATAACTATGTCGAAAGTTCGTTCATACCCCTAGACGAAGGAATCTCAAGTGATTTTTAGGGTCTGTACGTGCCGAGCATCCTCGATCAGGACCAGGGATGTTTCGAAAATCGTGACCTTACAGGGTTTTTTCATAAATACTGCACCTTTCCACTTAAAACCAGGACATAACCAGAATAATAGAGGGTTTCTATTGGCTGAAATCCCCCACTTTCTACTAGAAAAAGCGTGTTTCCGGCTGGGGGACTCCATACAAGCCTTGTAAAAGCATATTTTGTAGAAAGTTGCAGTTTTTATGACAATACCCTATAGTTTTAGAACGGAGAGAAATCAGCATATACGGTTTGTATTTCACTATTTACAATGCTAGAATATCCGTTGTATCCAAGTTTCTGGTTCTGCACGTTCGGACCGTCTCGCCTTTCCGGCCAGCCGCTTCCACTCCGCCCGATCCAAACTCTATGACGAGTCATAATTATCAGACTTCGAGATTTATTTCAGCCTAGCTTTGCAGCGTCAGCAAACCGGGGCGATAAGGCTGGAGGTCGTAAGAGGCGCTGGAGCTGGGAGATTTCCCCTGATAGAGCAACTGCAGGTTGCACGGATCAACGGTCATTGTCTGGTCGGGGTTGCTACGAATCAAATCGCCGTGACTGATATCATTGGTCCAAGTAGCACCACTGTTGGCTTTCCCAGCAAAAGGCGCCGTCTCACTCGTGGCCTGCGGCGTCCACGAACCGCCCAAACTGGTGGCCGTGAATGAGCGGAAGTACCGCCCATTTGCTCCAATGGCCTCAACGATCATGAGGTATTGGTTTTGGCCCGAGACAGTGTAGACTTGAACGGCTTCGAACAGGTTGTTGGTTGAGTCTGTCAAGATGACCGTCGATGAGCTGCCGAAACTGCCGGGGAAGTTTCCAATGGGCATACTGGCCCGGTAGATATTGCCGTTGTCTCCTGCGAAGAACAGGTACATGTCTGTGGCGTCGCCAATAACCGTCTGGTCGATGGCTCCGGTGCTAGAGCCGGAGATGGTCCCGGAGAACAACGTTTGCGCTGAAGACCATCCATTCGTGTTTGTAGGATCACTCGATGTCTTGTAGGAGAAAGTGGTTGGACCCCATTGATACGCGAGTACCCAGATGCTCTTTGGGGCGAATTGGAAGAGTGTAGGCGCCACGGTCCCAGCACTCATCGCATTCTGGCTTGCTGAGGCCATGCTAGACCAATTCGTGAAGAGGCCGAAGTTCATGGAACCATAGCTTGATCCAGTATCATGGTCCGAGGCATATACGAGATGCTGGCCGTTGTAGAGGACGTGGGTGAAGTCTTTAAGCGAAACCCAGCCTGACTTGGGGGTTGCCAGCGAACCTGTCGAGGTCCAGCTGTACGTTGATGGAAGGGTACAAGTGGTCTGCGCTATGGTAACCGCTACCAATGCAACTAACACGTATATAAGTTTCATAATAAAGATTTCTTCCTCACAAGATCAAGCTGAATTGAAGGAGCAGAACAGTTGAGAGAACGATGAGGCCAGATACGAGTATGTATATACTCTAGAGCATGGCTATACCCCAGAAATGGTCACGGAGTCCTGGACAGTGATATAACCTTTTTTCCGTAACTCAGTCCACCTTTTGATTAATATGAGGTTAATGATACCGGTAAACTCTAATAGCCGACACAGTAACACCGCAATTCAGGGAACACCCCTGGAAGCATTACTATATTTACGACGGATAGAAGGTGACCATTCCGTTGATACTACTTCCAAGTATTAGGCATGTTACTAGAGTGTTTTTGAACAATTACCCGGACGGCAGTGCTAAGTCCGAGTGATCAGATGTCGAGTCTGATTCTCGACCCCACTGCGGGGAAAAGAACCTACCATACGAGATGTTTTATACGTTCACTACCGATCGATGGCTTGATTTCGTAAAGCCAAGTCACATTATACCAAAGGAACTGCTCATGGCGGATAAAATAGGTAGATTTCGAGATCCTTCCAAGTTTATATACTAGTAGTCGAACATGAAGATGATCTAATTAGTTTAGGGGTAAGCTTAGCCAAAATGAAAAACCAAACATGATTTTTTATTCATCCCCAAACACTTCTCTTTCCACTGGGATTTCATTCATTCATATACTAAATATACCTCTACATACATATACCTTTTCTCCCCCAGTTCTATCGGAAATGCACATGAGAATGCCGTTTCCGGTTAGCGTTGCGCGGGGATCCTAAATAGGAATAGACATCTGAGGCCGTGTAAATAAGAACTAAGCATCTATATTTGTCTTTTCCTGTCATATGATGACGGAAGATAGAGCCTTTCTTCTGGTAGGGTATTTCTTATAAAGAAAATCTAGGCTATTACGAGCTAGTGTTGCGCTGTGTACTGCTTTGGGGTGTGTTTCGGGCTTCGGATCCTACAGTTAATAGGAAATGCGTGGAATAGGTATTTGTAACATTTTCGCGGATTTAAAGATGATGTATGAGCGATGATGGTGTGAAATGATTTCAAATCTGCTTAGTATCTCCGAGTTTGAATGCGTGGGAATTGTATAAAAGGCATGAAGCTGTACTTCCATACATCCCTTTTCATCTTCTCATCATCACTCCACTATACACAGACTTTTCAAATCCTCGAACCGCCTTTTCAGACAACACAACTAGCTTTCATACCTAGAGACTTCTATCATATTCTCCTCCCACAATGTCCACCCAAAACGCTCTCGCTCTCACTGAGCTCGGCAAACCATTAACCAAAATCACCTTGCCAATCCCATCCAGCTCTGAATTGAAAGACAACGAAGTGCTTATCAAAATAACCGCAGCAGGCTGTATGTCTGAGCCTATCCCTCCTCCCTCATCACGCCTCATTCTAACATATTATACCCCCAGTGGCGCCTCTCGATCAAAAGCTCCGCGACAAAAACATGTTCAATATCGGCTCTCGCCTCCCCGCGATATTTTCCGGGGATCTTGTCGGAACCGTTGTGTCGAACGGGGCGAAAGCCAAATTTCCAATTGGTGCTCATGTATTCTCGCAGACGCTGTTCGATAACCCGCGTGGTGGCGGGCTGCAAGAATACACGATCATAAACGGTGAGTACGCGGCCGTTGTGCCGGACGATGTGAGCGATGAAGAAGCAGCTTTGTATCCCATCAACGCTGTCACGGCTGCATGGAGCCTATTCTCCAGCGGAGGTTTTGATATGCCGTTCCCTGAAACAGCTGAAGCTGGAGCTTTCGATTATGCGGGTCAGAAAATAGCCATTGTTGGCGGCGGGTCCAATCTTGGAAAATTGGCTACCCAATTCGCGGCATTTGCTGGCGTGGGTACTGTTATTGCCATTGCATCGCCAGATGGTGCGGAGCTGCTGAAGAGCTTTGGTGCTACGCATGTTATCTCGCGCCACGATACGAATATCGAAGAGCAGGTCCGTGGTATTGTGGGTGATGAGTTGCTCCATGTCTTTGACACTATTAATATGGGCGAGGGGCATACTCTAGGCGTATCTCTCCTGTCTGATTCTAAGAAAGGGGTGTTTGTAAGCGCGCTGCCGGGGAAGGCAACTGAAGCAATGCTTGCGAAGAAGAAAGGGGGTATCGAGGAGAAGTTCATTCGAGGCTTCTCCCATTCGTTCCCGGATGTGGCAGAGTTATTTTGGAAGGAGTTTCCTACTTGGTTAGCGAAGGGAAGCATTCGGCCGTTGAAATTCAAGGTCATTGAGGGTTTGGATGCTGATAAGGTGAACCACGCGTTGGATGAATATGCAGCGGGGAGAAGTGGAGAGCGTTATCATGTTCGCGTTTCGCGTTGAGCAGTGCTGAAAATATGTGCGGGTGAAAGGAATCATTGGAAGGGTTGAGCTAGGTAGTCTGAAGAGGCAGTACACAAATTGAAAGTTGCTGATCAAAAGCCTGAGATCTCATATGCTCTTCTCGATTGTGGTGAACAGCATTGCTGCCCATATAATGGCATACCCATTAACGACAGACTTGTTTGGAAAGGTCATTGACGTCTGAAGTTACAATTAGCAGTAACACCTAAAGTATGGCATGATTCTTACCTTTGACAGCAAAGTGGCTTCGCCAATGCCCATGTTTGTACCAATCCATGACAGACAATTCTTTAAGGAATCCTGCAGCTGAGGAGAGGTTACAACCAAACTCGAGGTTACAAACAAAGGATGCATTAGAAGCAAGCCTCCGAGTGACTTTCCTGGAGTAATGGCAGAGTATATATCAGTCTCGACTTGTATCATGAACTTTGCTATATCTTGACAAAGGTGGAATGGAATAGATGCCACCATATCATTAGACAGCTCATCAAACTGGAATTTCTCGTCATGATAGCCGTTTGGTTCCTCCAGTCGTTTCGAACACCGTATTATAACGTTTAGAATCATCAGGCGAACTTTACGGTAAGTATTCCACACCGCGGCGACGTAGACTGTGTTGATTTCAATGAGTACTCCTGCTGTCGCGAAAGCGGTACTTACGGTCAAGGTAAGTGTCAACACGTGAAAGACCCTCGGAATTCATGGACTGACCACGTTTGGGGCTTAAAACCCCAAGCGTTCGAGGTCTCCACTCTTCAATCTGGCTGTCTGGCCACTTTGAGATTTCCTCGTTCAAGGACCTTGTATTCTTCAGTATCTGTTGAAGGTCGTCTACAAGTATTGACGTGCTAGCCAGCAACGTTTCCGCCGTGCGAAAAAGTGGACAGGCCTTGATGACCAAGGCGTCGAGATTCTGAGCACCCGGCGTACAAAATAGGTGAACCGCCTGTGTCTACGTAGTACCGAAAAGACAGATGAGCTATTATGTGTTTTAGAGCAGCGTATATTATTTTACCTTAATTGGCCCCTTGAAGAAGAGGTTTGGGGGGTTATTCGATCTTTGGAAGCGACTAGCCCAGTTGAGTAGATCTATTGGAGAGTTTTCTGTAGACAAAACCGCGTGTATCCCACAAGAATGAGAACTGTGATTAGAAGGATACGTTTCCGTTGCGGTAATTATCTGCGTAAAAGTTACCAGTTGACCACAACAGTATGCTCCGGGTTGTATTCAAACCTCGTATAGTCCTAAGAGTACCGCAGTCACGAGCGTTTCGGTCGCATTTGCCATGCCTGCTTTTGAAATCATTACTTGTAAGGAGTGCAGCATTTTTGAATATCTAATCCTAGCTTTGTGAACAAGAGAGGCTCTGCGTAACTTGGTCCCTATATTTGCCAAAGCCACGATGTTTGCAGCTTCAGAAACGTCCGAAGATGGTCCCGCAGCGGCTAATAAGGTCTCGAGGCCATCGAGATAGCCACGTGAAATGGGGCAGTAGGTTGGGACAAGACAGTAGTCGTTGAAAAAGGCTGCTAGGGCATAACTCTCAATTTCAATATCAGTGGTGCCTGTCGGAACGAGACTGGATACAGTTTGGGTTGGTTGGTTGAAGGATCCTGAGAGTGGCGAGTCAGACGAATGGGGAGCACCGCGATACCGCCGGAAATGAAGATCGGTGTCATCATGATAGCCAAGGCAAGTCCGCTTTGCCTTTGCACATTTTTGGCATGACTATAGTTATATGAATGGCTATTCAGTCGAATACATATCAAAATGTCAAAAAGCGCAAGGGGGAAGACTCGTCCAAGGTGAGGGGTATCAGATCTTACAGGACGAGTCTCATCACACTAAAATGATAAGTTAGTATAGCCGTGGTATGGAAAGAAATCAATTACCTTTTTGCGTCTTAGTTTACAAGTCTTGCAAGCTCTGGAAACCCCGTAGTTAACCATCTCTCCAGTATCAGTACTGAGTCGATAAGCTATAGCTTTGCAGGCGAATTGTGATTCTAGAAAGAATCTTCAGATCCTATTCATACAATCGAATCACTATAGATGGCATTGGGGAACGAAAACTTCGGAGAAAGATGTTTTCCTGTATGATGAGATGAGGTTGAAGCCGACAACACCATGGTAAGCGAGGTTAAGGGGCGCTTCCTTTGGGCTAGCGTTGCGCGGTTTTCCAAATTAAGCCTAGCTCTATACTCCTAAGGGCCATTATATTACGAAAACACCTTGAGCCCAAAGCTATGAGGTTCTCAAAAGTTTCTAGACCGAAGGAAACAGTAACAGTATTAGTCATTTGGTATCACAATTCTTAGAACAGCAATGATCAGACGACTCTAGCAGCGCTGGTCTAGCCGTTTAGGGAACCCCTCTAAGTGAGACGACTAACCATCTCACTATTCACATTTACAAGTATCTCTTATTTACTTCTGAAGCAAAATCTCCCCATCAACCCTAACCCACTCTAATCTACCTTTTAATCACCAACCCCTCGATATTTAATGGCCATCAAGGCCTCAACCACAATCCCCTGGCTCTGCCGCTTCTTCCTCCTCTACCTTGAGCCCTTCTGCGCCCTGGGTGGAGTCTTTCTAGCCCTCTTCAAACCAGGCGATTACCTCTCTACTATGACCCGCGAGAACCTCACATCCATCCAGCCGGCCTCCCACTTCATCTATACCGAGCTTGCTGGCGGATGGCTGCATTTCGCTTTTACCGAGGCTGTAGTCCTGCGTCTCGTCGATGATGTCCGTGTCTGGAGACTCCTTTGTATTGGCATGCTGCTCTCAGATGTGCTGTACCTGCATTCAGCTGCTGAGGCGCTTGGGGGATGGGCTGAGTATGCGAAGTTGGCGGAGTGGACGGTACAGGACTGGGTTGTTACTCTCTCGACACTGCCATTTTTGCTCACGAGGGTTGGGATTGTGCTTGGGATTTGGGGGAATGAAAGGTCATTGAAGAAGGAATGATGAGGCCATCAGGGTTCATTCTTTGAGACTCCATCAAAATATCTCCGGGTTTTCAGTCTTCAAATCTCTGTGGACTTATCTTAAGATCAATTGATCCCATTGTCGTTCACTCGCATCCAGTTGTCAAGAAAAAGAAGAGTATCGATCGAGAAGGGTCATAGGCCTCTTGGAAGTGGGCGAGATAGCAAAGAAACTTCAATTGGAGAGACAACGATATTTCAACACATGTCAACTTGAATTCCCACATGCTAAGCACTTCCGGGCAGGGTCCCTTCACATGTGCGACTTTCTACCCTTCATCCATATTTCCCGGGTTTCCTCTCTCCACCTCCATATAATCTATGCTAAGGAAGCTATCACCCCATGCACGATAACACTACACTACACGTACCTACTTGTAAATTGTCTCACGCTCGAATATACCCTTTCTTTTTCTTCGAAAAAAGCAAAACGGGGCCGAGGGGCTAGACTGCTAGTACCAGACCAGAGCGAGGTATGCGGCCATGGCGAATCAAAATTTAGCGGAGAGTGAAATAGAGTGCGGGGAGTGAGTGTGCCATAGCAGCGAGCGGAAGGATGCTTGCTGAGTGATAATCACGGGTGAGTAAGTAGTAGGATGTTTTAATTGGTTTTATTGGAGAGTTAGATCTTTCTTTCGCCTATGAGGTATTGATGTACTGTGTGGGCGAGGGGGTGATACCTCTGGGGTAAGGTGGTAATTATCAATATCTTCGATATCTTCAATTGGCATGCAATTCCTGCGTAATTTATAGCGGAATGAAATGAAAGGCGCGAGAAAACTGACTTGATGGTATGATATTCCAAGTGTATAGTCTCATATATACCAACGCCAAACAAGGCCTAGCTGTTTCAAATGATGCCACCCATTGGTATATGACTGAGAAGAAGGAGAAGCATATTCACGAGCTCGCGATATCCTGAATACGCCCAGTATTCGTACGAACGCCGTTTAAACATCACTCGCAACCAACACGGCCTCGGCCCCTCGTGGAACGACCTGCACCTCCATCCAACCACCTTCTTCCACCCCAACAATCAAGCCATCAATACAGCACCTCCTCCATTTCCACTCCGTTCCCTCTTCGAGGAAATTTATCCTCAACCCCTCAACAGCATCATATCCCACTTCATCCATCTCCACATGAGCCCCATCGGCATACGCCCCCTTCATAACATCCATAGTCTTCTCTCCACCAAGCGGTCCAAATTGAAGCACGCGTAATTGTCCATCCAGTGGTCTGCTAGCCGGAGAAATCGCGAATGTCTTCTCGAGATTCGAAACCAGACTTGCAAGGACGTAGCCATGTTCCTGGGTACCAACTACCTCGTCTTTGCCGCTTTTCACCAGTGCAACGTCCGCTTTGTATGCGTGGGGAGACTCTCCGCCTTCGGGGAAGAGGAGATCTTTAGCGACCAGTCCGAAGCGCTTGTCTCCATGTTTCCGGTATTCCGTGGTATCGGAGTCTGCTACCAGCGTTGCGTGGAGACCGTAGCTCGCTACTACTGCTCCGTACAACGTGTTATTCGAAAGAGCAGTCGCTGTTTGCCCTTCGTCTGTGACAAGTCTCGCGCCAGGGGAGAATCTGGCTTTGAATATGGGGAGGGGCTTAGGTGTACCGTGGAGGAGTGTTCGTAGGCCTTGGATGTAAATTGAAGGCAGGGGAGAGGGTCGATGGAGGGAGTGGAAGAGGGCATTTCCGGTTCCGAGTGGTAGTTGGGAGAGAACGGGAGGGACGTAGTTGCTAGAGTAATTAGCTAGAGCGCATGGTGAAGGATGAGAGACATACCTTGATCTTGACTCCTCTTCCAGCAGCCCATTGATCGTGTCCACCATCCCCCCATCTCCGCTCAGCATCAACACAGTCTGCTCCGATCCCGCATTGGCCCCAGCCAGCAGGCGTGATCTGGCAAATTCCTTGACTGATTCTGTACTCTTGGTCCGCAGAACAACGTAACTAGGGTCTGCTAATCCTACTGCCTTCAAAAGTGGGTGTAAGACTTCATCAAAAAAGTCCGGCGCCAGGCCCGTTCCTGACAGCGTCGAGATAAGGACATGTAGGGTGTTTGGTGGCAGGAGATGCTGCGGCAGAGTCGTAAAAAGATGCTTATCAAGGAATGCCTGGGGGAGCAGCGTCGCAAACGTTGTTCGCAGTTCATAAAGGCGGCCCTTTCCGTCAGGATCTGCCGGCGCCAGACTGAAGATGGTGTATTCGTTCCCCTCATCCTTGGTAACAGTGATTATATCCTCATCCTTCAGCGTGGATTTAGCCCAAGTCAGCGAGCCTTCGCGATAGACAGGCTCCTCTCCCGAATAGCCATAGTGTCCGTAGTTTGTCGTGCTGCTCTCGGTATCGCTGTCGCTGGAGGGGTAGGTTCCATCAGAGCTCGAGGAAGGGGCCGTCATGGCGACGGAAAGGCAGCAGCTTGTAGAGAGCGAAGAGTGAGGATGCCATGGTGTAGTGAATAGTCCGCGGGTTGATTACTATTACCTACTTGAGGTGTGGTGGGGTTAGAGGTTCGGGGTTAGGATGTTCCCGAGTAGGTGTAGCTTTAGTGGGGGCAAATGATGCGATCGGAGGGCAACACTACGACCGAGGTTGTTTTGTATATGAATTTATACAGAGATTATACATCATCACCTAAAACATTGATGAAGGCTGCAATTGCCATATCAAGCAATTCTATTTCAATAATGGCGTCTCGCCGCAAATGCAGGACGTCTGAAGAACAATTACTATAGTGCTTCATCAATGGCTTTTCTAAAGTCCAGGTCCTAGGTATCCTGTTGTCCTACCATAGGAAAGAGCATTGCCATAGCTTTTACACGCGCTTCTATAATGTGATATTTGGACATTTCAAGTAAAAAAAGACCTTGTGATATAATTATACTTTTGCTTGTAGAGTTTGTATCTTCCGAAACTCCCGGTCCATAAATAGTTCAACCCCCTTTGAAATGGCGAGCAAATTCTGTGCAGTATGCTTCTCTTATGTCTTTCGTCGTTTTGAAATCACATGTATGAAAGTTATTTCAGAACAAACATTCCCTCCAAAAGACTATGTCATACTTGGATGCGCGTATTAAGACTCCTGTACCATCAGAATGCAGATACTTGCACCGCTCGCACCTGAAGTCATAGCAGCGGGGCATACTTCTAGCTAGGGACTTGTAGTTAAAGCCTTACTTTTGATAAACACGCAACTACTACTCGTATTCACAACTCGACCACTAGGACCTATGTATAAATTGAACTCATAGGAAAAAGTTTAAGAAATATCACCATTTCAACTTACTTGTGCCAATCCTCTTTTAATTCAGCGAGAGTCTTTATGCCAAAGCATGAATAGTAACAAAGGCCGTATCCGTTTAATCTATCTCTTATCACCTACCCGTCGAGCTAATTGTTTCTTTTATAGATTAAAGTATGATTAAGTGTGAGCAAACTCAGTCCGCAGTGGTGTAATGGTTAGCATTTCTGCTTTTCATATAGAAATACGCAGGAGACCAGGGTTCAATTCCCTGTTGCGGAAATTCAAGTTTAACTTTTTTATCTTTTGTACGCTTTATTCTTTTTCAATTTGATTTTCTTGCATATGCTCTACTAAACTGCGAAATAATGGTGAACACAGGCGGCCCGCTCCGAGCTTCAAGCGGTAAGGCTGATGAGGTTAGAGCTTGTGACTTTAGTATTGAACGTAGGAGGTTAGCAAACTCTACCTACCTCTATGAATCATATAGATGTGTGAATAGATAATAAGACTAGTAAAACATCTGCACCATTGAAGCAAACCTCGTCTGCTTTTGTCTACCTAGTCCAAGAGGAAAGTAATCATCCGCTTCGCCAGATCAAAGCCTATGAAGGTATAAACTAGCTAATAGACACGTGAAACTTATAGCTATCCCATTCCCGAACAATCGATAAACATTGAGAATATACCTGTTGTGTGGACAAACACGTGATCAGCTAGTAGCGTATGAATCGCTATGAATATGAGGTCCAAACCTCCTAGCCCTGAACATGTAATAACAACTCAATCTGCGCTACTCTCTCTCTATCTCTCCCTTTCAGACCATAAGTAGAAAATTTGAGCTGCATTAATAGAAGACATATAGCATAACGTGACTCAAGCGACACTATAGGTATCCGGCCTGGCGCCGACGCAACTTTGCTCTGATTGACTCCCGATAGTTCTATGCGACATTTTGCCTCTTGTCCAAGACCAAGTGTCATTCCCTATCGGATTTTGCAGAAATAATAATCCGGAAGGAGGATTTGATGTTGCAGAACTTCGTCATGTTTGTTGGGCGGAGACGCAGAAGTCGGCCAAGTATAGTTCCAAGGCAAGGTACTGTACGAGTAACCCCTAAGAGCTTAGCCTAATGGTGTACACCGACACCAACACCAACACCAACACCAACACCAACACCCAAATCTCACTGAAATCCTGTTACTGTCTTCCTTCACTATACATGTTTTCCCACCAGTTCCACCACGTATTGTCATTATCAGGCCACGCAAGCGGATGCCCTACCACAGATCACATATTTCAAGCGGAAATGAAAGTTTCCACGTCCACCAATTCGTATCCAGAGAGCGTTCCAAACAACAGACCTGCTACGGAGGTACATCCAGATGGGTAGACACAAGCATCGATGCATGAAAATTTGCTTTTATCCATTTCAAGTGTATCGGACGTCGACCATTGCGCTGGGACTGCGACATACGCTTTTACCAGACTTTGCTGCCAGTCTATACGAGTAATTCGAGCATGGTACGGAGTATAATTGATTAACGGATAAGTGTTGAAGTGGGCCTTCCGTGCGTCCATGCTTCCCCAAACTGCCAGTAGGTGTCATTTCAAGCCTCAAACGGCTGCATGCTTCAGTCGCGCGAGAGGCTTCTAATTCTGTGTTGCTGTTACCCTTCGGAAGGATTTCAAGCTTCCTCTTCGGCACGACCTTTAGGTTTGATCATATCAAGCGAGTATCTCCATCGCACGGCATGGAGTGTCAATAGTCTTAGCCTTTACTGTGTTACATTTACACTATATATAAGCACTATATGGTAATAAGAGCGGCAATGAACCACTTCCAGAGCGCCACACATGTTCCTCGTGTGTTTGATTCGATGGGATCTTTCTCTGGTTTCACTTTATACTTCTTGAAGTGCAGCGATCTACATGGGTATTTGGCTGAGGTCGATCCTGGCAAATCTGGGGTGTGGAGTGTGCCCAACGGCGCTTTCGCGCGGGCATGGAACTACTCTCCCGGCATACTGTTGTTCTTCGGAACCCTGATGCAATCCAGGAACATCCAAATCCTCTTTCCAAACCCCTCCCCCGACTCTGCATACTTCTATTTCTTCATGTCACATCGGGCTCAGGCACCGCACCACCAGTGTCGCCAATTACTGTAAACGAGTAAAAGGGAAGTTCTGTGAATCATAGGAAATTCACTCCCTTCAACCTTCCGCCAAGACTACCTTCATCGTTCTTTCCCCATCAATACCTTTTCTTCCATTCTTCATCCTCGATTTCCATCTCTGCTACATTGCAAACATGGAGTCCAAAACCCATGCTCGAGTAGAGAGCGACCGAAGTTCTGACGAGAAGAATATGGGAGAGGTTGCGAATGCTATGCCAGTCAATCTGCCTGAAGATCCTGATGCGCATCTGAGCGATGCTCAGCGAAAGGAGATTGTGAGTTCTTGAGCTTCAAAGGTCTATTGATGTCCTTCTCACTGTTCCCATAGGATCGCAAACTTGTTCGAAAGCTCGATTTGCAATTGATTCCATGGGTGAGTTCTCCGTCTCCAAGCAGAAAGGCAGCTTCTGATACCTTGTCAGCTCTGCCTGCTGTACCTCCTCTCATTCTTAGATCGAACAAACATTGGCAATGCGAAAATCGCCGGTCTACAGAAGAAGTTGGGTAATATGTCTACGGGCAAATACAATGCGGCTCTGTCCATTTTCTTCGTGTCCTACGCAGTCTTCGAACCTCTAGCCAATATCCTCCTCAAACGCCTCCGGCCATCAGTCTTCATCCCCATCATCATGTATGCATCACATCTCACCCAACTGCTCTGTCTAACAAGTAACAGGATCATCTGGGGTGTCTGCATGCTCTCAATGGGATTTGTTACAAGCTGGTCTGGTCTCATGGTCTGTCGTTTCTTCTTAGGCTTGGCTGAAGCAGGTCTGTTTCCTGGTGTCAACTACTTCCTATCTTCCTGGTATAAACGAAATGAATTTGGTGTTCGAGCTGTGAGTCAATCCATCCTTCCCACTTATATTTCTAACTCACCACCAGGCCATCTTCTTCTCGGCCGCCGCACTTTCAGGATCTTTTGGTGGGCTTCTCGCTGCCGCTATTCTGAATATGCATAACGTAGGTGGTAAGCCCGGCTGGGCTTGGATCTTCATTCTCGAAGGTCTTGCCACTGTTCTTTGCGGGTTCCTCTCGTTTTTCCTAGTCCACGACTTCCCGGATACCGCAACCTTCCTATCAGAGCAAGACCGCGCTCGCGTCATTCGCCGACTCAAGCTCGACCAACAGTCCAGTGCCGAACACGAGGAGTTTAAGATGAGTTATTTCTGGTCTGCCGTGAAGGACTGGAAAATGTATATGGGTATGTTCATCTATATGGGGGCAGATATGCCGTTGTATGCGTTCTCGCTGTTTCTTCCGTCTATCGTTGCCGGGATGGGGTATAAGGGCAACCAAGCACAGCTCATGACCGTACCACCATACGCTTGCGCTGCTGTGCTCACTGTTGCCGTTGGCTTCTATGCCGATCGTACCAGACAACGTGGACTGTCTAATATCTTTGTTTCATTGATCGGAGTCGTTGGATTCGCCATGCTTATAGGATCGCACAAGCCTCATATCAAGTATGCACTTCCCCAGTCCAGACCTTCTCCCTCAACTCTAATACATAGACCTAGGTATGCGGGAACTTTCCTCGGTGCACTTGGTATCTATCCATGCATTGCGAACACGATTTCTTGGGTGAGCAATAACACGGAAGGGGTGTACAAGCGCGGTATTGTTCTTGGGTTCGTCATCGGTTGGGGTAACCTGAATGGCGTCGTGAGTAGCAACATCTTTTTCAAAGGTCCCCAATACACCGTTGGCCACGCGACAATCATCGGCTACATGGTTGGATGCCTCGTGGTAGGTAGCACAGTTATGCATTTCCTGCTTGGGCGGGAGAATGCAGCTAGGCGGGCGGGCAAGAGAGACCACTGGGTCCAGGGCAAGACGGAGAGAGAAATCGAAGCTCTTGGCGATAAGAGGCCGGACTTCTTGTATACCACATAAGAGTTGTGTATAGGGACATTGAACGTGGAAGTTTTCGGGGATGAGGAACTTGGGGGTTTAATTGTTTGCTGGATGGCTTTTTTCTAGACCTGAAGGGTGTTTTTTCCACTGGGCTAATGCATTTCAACAACATACATAGACACGAAGAATTTCATATTTTCACTGCCATTGTAAATGTAAATCAACGACGTCCATTTATTTCACTCTGCGTCTTGTCTTCTCCACACGTGAAGCTGACAATCCAATCCCACCGTACCTAAACGCAGCCCACGTGCCTACAGTAAATCCAACCCGAAAGCCAGCTTCATTTCACTTGACCGCAAGTACAGTGTAGTACAGCGTCGTATAGTGCAGCCAGCATCCCAGAATAGGCTACAGTGAGGATCGTTGGATGGTTACATGCTGTACCCTAGGCTAAATACCTATCGTGACACGGGGGAGTGTTCTATTCTATTTTTTATCTTATTATATTCTATTTTATGATATTCTAATCCATCCTATTATATCCTATTCTACGTACTGTACTGTATCACACATCCTCATCCTCATCCATGTACATTTACATGTAGTGCGTCGGAATTAAGCGAACGCCCCTGGTGCCCTACATGCACATTAGCCCGAGGAAAGCATGAGTGGTGTGACAATAGGGTTATGCTAGGATGCATGTGTAGGTATGTGTGATGGACATAGGTGCCTAGTACTGTAGGTATTTCCTTTCATGCTCGCTATGGATAGGTAGGTAGGTAGGTAGATAGGTAGGTACAGATATGAATAAATAAATAAATCCGTCCAGCCGTTCCTTGCCTGCTACAACCTTACACTACACTACACTATACTACACTCCAGACAAGCGACATTACATCCAACCGCCTATTGTGAGGTACGTCAGCAAAGGTAATTTTTCCGGAATTGACTTTTTCTGTGCAACGCAACGCATGGGAAAACAGCAGGCGAGATGTTCTGTCCAAATGGCTGTTGGGCGTTGGAAAGCCGGTAAATGGACCGCGATGCTCGTATAGCTGATTGTGACATAGATCCTCCCGGGGCATGTAAATCTTACATGCACATGTATATGTACAACCCCGCGCTGGGGTATTCTGGGGTGCGGTGCGGTGCGGTGCGGTGCAGTGCGGATAGTGCTTACGAGGGAGGAGGGGAAGATCAGTGGTATAGTACGTGTGTGTATCCCAAAGCGCGTGTACAGGGCAAAAAAGCCGCACCGTTTTTATCCTCGAACGGAGGCGATCCTGTGGACGATCCTGTGGAGTTTCGGCAGGGCTGAATGGATGGATGGATGGATGGATGGGCTTGCACACGTAGGCTTTCATTTCAGCCTCCGTGTGAAATTTGAACGGATTGAGTTGAGTTGGAAAGCTCGAAAAGCTTGGAAGTTTAATTAAGTGCCGAGGACTCACTCGCTCGCAACCAACGTTTCTGGTTCTACAGTAAATTAGGGGGAGTGATACATAGGTGTAAGCGAGGACAGACAGAGAGATAGATAGATATATGCCAGTTTCTCTCCGCATATGCAGAGAATCTCCTTACTTGACACACATCATGCTCGAATATCATGGTAGCAGTTACTGATCTCTGCTCACTGCTGTTGAGATTTAACTACAGCAACTACTACTGCTCGTTACCATGGGTGCGTTGACCAAGCAAGAAATCGACGTGCTTATCATCATTGAACGCACCACAGCCTCCATCTCGGTCACTGGAACACTTATTCTGCTAGCAACGTTTATATTCATCAAAGAGTTCCGGACGCTTTCGAATACATTGATTTTCTATGCCTCGTTTGCCAATCTTTTCGCGAGTGTGGCTGTTCTTATAGGAGGGTCTGCACTTTCGCATGTCGACGGGGCGTTGTGTCAGTTCCAGGGCTTTTTGTTGGAAATGTAAGTTTTCTTTCTTCAGCTATGTATGTGAGGATTAGTGAGCTGACGGAAATGAAATAGGTTTATGCAGTCAGATCCTATGTGGAGTTGTGCCATGGCGGTTAATGTTTACTTGGTCTTCTTCCGGCGCTATGATGCTCATCGGCTAAAGAAACTATATTGGGTGTATGGGCTTATATGTTATGGGCTTCCCTTTGTCCCAGCTCTGTTCTGTCTGGTATACAAGACGGAAGTGAAGGGTAAGATGTATGGAAATGCAACTGTACGTACTATCTGCTCCGCACAACCAAAGTTTCAGTGCTTTGCTAATCACATTTGTATACCTACAGCTCTGGTGCTGGATAGACAACGAGTGGGCCGCCATAAGAATCTATTCCTACTACGCGCCCATCTGGCTAGCCATCCTCGCAGCCCTCATAATCTACGTCCGCGTCGGCGTCGAGATCTTCCAGAAACGCTCTCAGCTCAGAGCCATAAGCGGTCCTGGCGATGGCGATGGCACCCTGACATCGACCAGCCACGCCGAACCAGCCTTCACCGGGATCCGCACCACGGAAATCGAAGTCGTGACCACGGCCGAGCACGGGGGCAGCTGCAAGTCTCCAGTCGGCACAACAACACCAGCAGCGACGTACACACGGCCCGAGAAGCCAGCCGCGGGCAGAGACCAATACACCATCACCATTTCCGCGCAGGACAGCAGCCGACCTCCGCCTCCTGCCACGACGCCGAGAGGAACCTTATTCCCCAAGCGGCCGAGCGGGGTGGACAAGATAAAGTGGGCGTACACGAAATGCGCGCTGCTGTTCGCCATCTCGATCCTGATCACCTGGGTCCCAGCAAGCGTGAATCGAGTATACGGACTGCGGTACCCCAAGGACCCGTCGTTCGCGCTGAACATCTGCTCGGCGGTCGTGCTGCCGCTGCAGGGCTTCTGGAACACGGTTATCTATTTCACGACCAGTCTGTCTATATGCAGGGGCGTGCTGTTGGCGAGGGTTGAGAGCAGGAAACAGGCTAGGGGGGTTGGCTTTGCGGTCTTGGAGGGAAATGAGAGGGGATACGGAGGGAAGAGGAAGACTGAGAGTACCATTGAATTGAGCCATAGTCGGAGTCTGGGGAGCATGTCCGAGTCTGTATAGATGGTGTGAGAGACATGCTGCTGTGCCTGCTGGTACATATTCAAGGAATTGAACTCGGGTCATATTATTATTTGGATGGTTGTGATGCACATGCCACTTTTGAACACTTGAGCCTCCCCCTGAACAAGCATAGCCGAAGAGGCAAGAGATCGTCAATGTGGAGTTACTAGCTCAAAAGCAACGTTGCTAGATTCAAACCCCATCATTAGATTCAGAGCTCTAGCGACATTCAAATATCCCAATGCTCGCGGTGAGCGAAACTCTGATAAGTTGAAGATAACGGATGAGAGAGGAAGTCGGAAGTGGGATGGGACGGATGCGAGCGATGTTAAAAGGCCGGGGGAGCCTCTGTATCCTATCCTCGAAACCCTGTCAGAATTACTCGTACAATATAGATATCTTCTTTCTACTTCCCCTCACAATCAAAGTCAACGGTCAATTGACCGTATATCTCCCTCGACATGAGACTCCAATATCGCCATGTGCTAGAGCTTCTGCTCGCAGTGCCGGTCTTTGGACTAAGCCCAACGGTCAAACCCGGACTCACAGTCTTGCAAGAATCCAAATACAAGCAGCTGGCAGGGCGCAAGGTGATTATCCTAAGCAACCCAACAGGAGTGACGCTGGACTTGGATCTAGGGGTAGATGTGATGTTCGAGGCGGGCGAGGTTGACGTGGTGGGGGTGATGGGACCCGAGCACGGGTTTCGAGGCACCGCGCAAGCGGGAGGATCAACTGGGACTTTTGTGGACTCGAAAACTGGCTTGACGGTTTATGTGTGCATCCCGATATCAAGCTGGCAGATAGATTGTTGACCGTGCTGGCCGTAGGATGCTTATAATGTGAACACAACGACGTTGGTGCGCTATATCAGCGAGTCGGGAGCTGACACGGTGGTATTTGATATCCAAGATGTTGGCGCTCGCTTCTATACTTGTGAGTGTAGTATTCTGGCTGCTTTGATGAATGCAAGTAGCTAATCTAATCACTCTTAGATACCTGGGCAATGTACGATACCATGGTTGCGGCAGCTCTGTGCAATGCCAGTTTTGTAGTACTCGACAGGCCGAACCCGCTCACTGGGCTAAACGCTTTTGGACCGGTGCTCAACGAGAGCTATGCTTCGTATGTCGGGCGTCGACCGATCGCTCAGGCGCACGGAATGACAGCAGGAGAGCTGGCCACGATGTTCGTCGGGGAAGGCTGGATACAAGAAACGGCAAATGGCTCGGCGCTGACCCTGGAAGTTATAAAGATGGAGGGGTGGCGGAGATCCATGTCTTGGGAAGATACTGGTCTTACCTGGGTCATGCCCAGTCCAAGTAGGTCCTCTTCTATATCTCTCAGGTATGAGTCTTGATATTGACTAGATTTTAGACATGCCGACACCAGATACTGCACTGATCTATCCGGGCGCGTGTATGTTTGAGGGTACCAGTCTATCCGAGGGGCGAGGAACAACCCATCCTTTTGAAGTAAGCATGAACAACTCCCAGTACCTTGAGCGCTTACCGATCTGCTCTATAACGTGATATGCTTACATTGGTATTAGCTTGTCGGAGCACCGTACACGAACGAGTCATGGTCCGACACAATGCGGTCTCTAAAGATCCCCCATACGACATTCCGCCCCGCATGTTTCACTCCCACGACCTCCAAATTTGTATCTCAAACAGCGTGTGGACTGCAGAGCTATATATCTCTGGATTGCGAGCAGGACTACATGGAGTTCGATCCTGTGTACCTTGGTGTTGCTCTGCTGTGGAGTGTGAAGCACTTGTATGAAGTGGCGGGCAACGACACCGGCTATGGGAACACGACGACGAGCTTCCATTGGTTGTTCAACAGTTCCAACGCGACGGTTTACGATGTTGACGTGTTGTCCGGAGGGTCACTTATTAGAGAAGGGATTGAGTCCGGGTTGTCTCCTGATGCTATCAAGGAGACGTGGGCTGGTGAGTTAATGGCATTCAAGAAGCGGAGGGAGTACTATCTGTTATATTGACATTCCATCTCCTAGAGGTGTTTGTACAGTAAATAAGGTAATCAACTAGAAGTTAAAATTGATTCAACTATTGAGGTTTAACTTTTATAAGACTTGTCTTGATAAATGGCTAGAATTACACTTATAGAGTTATAAATGACTAACCCAACCTAACCTAAGTCGACTTAAGTAAGCTTGGGTTTTGTAGATACGCTGAGAATTATCGAACACGTCTCTCTTCCTAATGATTGAAGCGTGATTAATCATAATTCGTCAGCCTCGACCACCTGAACAGAACTCTTCTCTGGACTTCCAGCCAGAGGAGCCGGCGCAATGGCAGCCGGTGCAATGACCGCCAATACACAATCATTAAGGTGCTCGTAAAACGCCTGTGGTCCACTATATTCCTTCTTACAAATCGAACACTTTCCCTTCCTCTCTTCCTCCCTCCCCAACTCTACTGAATCCGAAGCCACGGAATTCCACATATTCGGAGGTGTCTGATCCACGCGATGCACACTCGTCAAGTGCCTCTTTAACACATCTGCTCGTGAGAAAGTCTTTTCTGTAGGTGTGTCTACACCAGGGCAGAAAGGACAGGTGACAACGCCTCTATAGTGCGAAAGCGTGTGTCGATTTTTGTCATACTTCCGGGCGAAACCTTTAGTGTGGTACTCGCAACTTGTAATGGGGCATTTCTCTGGACGTTCGTTGTAGTGGGTTATCATGTGTGCTTTGAGATTCGTGAATTGTCTTCCGCAGTCCGGGTATGGGCAACGTTTCGGTGGTGAAGCTTGATAGCGCTCTTCCGCCCGCTGCTCCAAGGACCCTAGAAGGATACCGGAAATTGGATTAAGATTGTTTGAAGCAGTTGTCGTATTCGTAGGTGCTGGATTAAGATGCGGATGAGAGAACAGCGTTGTACCTTCATTGGCATCAACGAATCGTTCCTCATTAGTTGGCACTCGTTTCTTTTCGACGGGCTCTTCGATTTCCTTCAACCAATGTTTGAGTTCTGACATGGGCGGCCAGTCTCCTCCTTCGTTTCCCCCTTTCTGCTCTATATTCTTCGGCCTGACCTGTGCCTTTGGCTTGAAATGAGCACGTCGAAGATGCGCAGCAGCGTTATAGTATGCACCGTAACTTTTCAGTTGAAGACAGGACTTGCAGTTTGGTAACGACAATTCCGGTACTGGATGACTTCCGGGATCGGTAGGTTGAACACAAATCCACTTCTTAATCGTGCTCTTGTGCTCACGATCTTCGTGTCTCCTTAACTCATGTTCTCCGCGAAATCCGTCAGGATAGTCTTCGCACGACTTGCAATATACACGATCATGTTTTGGCTTTTGATATGTGGGCTTATTGCCGATGGTGTTTGCCGTTGATGCGCCTTCCAGGGTCACGTTGCCGGAGGTTGAGTATTCCAAATTGAGATTTGACGATGCACCTGGATTTCTCTCTGATACTCTCGGATCTGATATTGACTCCAAACTTATTTCTGGGGATTGGATTCTTATGCCGGCAGACTCTGGTCGGATGCATGACCTGGAATGTTGATGATACCGGACATAAAATGTAGATATCAGGTCAAGACCCCCGTTTGCGAGTTCCATAAGGAAATCTTTCGTCGTTTGTATGCCATGTTCTTCCCATAGGTCTTTATAGACCAGCAGTCTAAGAGAAGATAGTAATTGTCCGGACTCATAAGGCATGAAAGCAGCCTCGTCATCTAATAGTGAGGGAGTTGACCACATGAAAGTGCTGACGAGCGCTTTGTAGACACTTTGGAGTCCAATATTGTTGAACTGCGTCCACTGAATTCCTTCATCTCTTGCCAGTGAGACACCATCGCCCAAGAAGTATATACTAGCATGCAGAAAGCACAACGCACAAAAGGTTGCGATCCAATCCTGGGGGTCCAAAGAGCTCCGCCGTAGTGTTATGTTATCAAATGATAGCAAGAAATTTCGAGCGCATTGATGAAGAATGCTATATCTGTCATACAGCGGAAAACCTTGAGTATGAAGTTCTTTGCTCCACGATTGGTGGCTGCGATTAAAGATAAAAGCTTCGCGCATCATGTCTTTTGCGTGTGAAAGGACATGAAAATGTTTGAGCTCGATTTTGCGGGATACTGAAAGTCTAGCACTGAGTCTGAGTAGGCTTAATATACTAGAGCCTTCCCCGCATGTCTGTATAAGTACGTATGCTGGAGGTATAAGCGGTGGGCCCTGGGACCGAGCTTCAGCGTTTCCCAGCCATAAGAGCCCAAACTCGTCCTTGAGTTCAGCAGAATTAGGTCTCAGAGACTTCAATTTGCTTTTCCAATTCGCAATGAATCTTCTGCTGGCGGACCATGCAAATGCAGGTGGTGGCGGATCACGTGAATATTGATCTTGGATTGGTTGTCCATCTAGGCATTGTTAGCGCTGTGACTAGACAAATTTTATCCTCATACCTGGGATTAGAATTTCTACAAGGGAAGTAAGAGGCCCTCTGTAGCAACCCAAAACCTTCCAGTAATCACCCTCCGCCAGACTGTCTTGTTCCGGACAAAGAGAGCAGGGATCTCCAGCATCGCACTGATGTGGTTAGCTGTCTGATCGCACAAGACTTTTGGATAGATAAAGAACCTTAATAAAATATAACACTAAAAAGGAAGGTTAAGAAGGATACTTAGTAAAAAGTAAATAAGAAAAGGAATTAAAAATCGTTATTAAGAAATAGTTCAGCTAACTAAAGATCCTATAAGTAAAATTCAAAATTGAATATAGAGAACATAAAGAGGTTAAAAATTCTTGGAACTATATATATACCATGAAGCAATGGATTTCTAAGGAAGGGACGTGGGGTGGGGGAGGGTTGAAAGGAACCTTACCTTCTTTTTCAATATTTTGCACCTTAGGCAAGGGCCCACTTCTCTCATTAATCTGGTATCATCCAGAATTTCCATACCAAGACGGACTCTTTTCGATGGATGCTGCGAGTTTTCCTTTTGCAAGCTAACAGTGTGCTCTGAAGAGGCGGGATATTCAGGTATGAATGAATAGGTGAGCTTGGAACGCACAGAGTTCTGATTAGAGACCTCTTCTGCGACGGGCTGCATTGGTGCTGGTGCACTATATGGGGTAGTTGTGATTTGAACGGTGTTTGGGATCCCTCGAGGGTTGATATCTCGGGACAATACTGCCGAACCCTCCGAAAACTCCCACCGAGGGCGACTGCCAGCAGAAAAAGGGTCATTGGTTGCTGTCGTTGGTTGATTCCGTTGCAACACGTGATTAGGAAGCGGAGAAGAACTCTGTTGTTGTCCAGTACCGGGTAATGGCTCTGATGTATTTTGAGATAGACTGGTTTGAGCCTGCAATGAAGATGTTGGTTCCTTGAGGATCTTGTGGTGTTGCCGCTTGTGACTCTCCAAATCGTCCTTACCGTGAAAGCCATATATATAATGTATACACTCAAGCTCCGAGCATTTGAGAGAGGGCATATATTTCAGATGCTGAGTAGCACCATCAGATGCCTTGGCTGTGAGGATGGGGTCATACTCTTTGGCGTTCGTGCGAAGCCATTCCTCGAACCCAGCGGGTTGGACGGATTCAAGAGGCAATGCTCCCTGGTCAAAAAGATGGTTGACAGTGGGGTAATCTCCTGATGGAGAAATGTTAGTAATATCTTAGGTACATAGGAATGTCATACTTGACTGGAGGCAGGTAGCCTCAAGGCATTCGCACTTGTACTGTAGGAGCCGGCATTCTTCTTCGGCGGACAAAACTACAATAGGAAGACCTGAAAGTATGTCAGATATTTCCCACAGCTATCCAGTGCCTATTTACCTGATTTCTCTTGACATGATGTCAATATCTTGTGTTTGTGGTTCAGCATAGCCAATTCCCTTTGGGTATCTACACCATTTTGGGAGGGCAGCAAGGCCTTAATCTCAGCTTGGATTCGAGCTTGCTGGTCCAAGAGAGCCTTCAGTCTGGCATTGGGTTCATCCAAAGAAGAAACATTTTGAGATCCGAGAGTAGCGATATTGTCACTGCTTGGATTCATCGATGATGGATCCATCTCGCCTTGCTGTCGGTTATGAACGTTCGTTATCTCAATATAGGCGAGATGAGAGGATAGAGAACAGACATAGTCGGTGGATCGAGGTCGTAGGCTTTGTATTCGGTTTCTAATTTGTGTTCAGCCCTCAGTACTGCGCGGTTCCCACGGGCCATCACTGACTCGGCGTCGTAGATGAGGCGAGATGGTCGTTCCAGTTTGGAGATGACGAGGCTGCGATGAACGGCAGGTTTCGGAAGACGTTAGCGCTCAGGGCTTGATCAGCGGCAAAGGCCGCAAAGCGACAAGTCTAAAGCAGCCTGAGTGTGATTGGGGATTGCAGCAAGGCGCAGGCATGGCGGCATGATCAACCTGGTTTAGCTCGTCAGCAGTGGCAGGCAGCAGAATATCAGGTCTTCGCCTTATAAATGTACACCATCATGCACGAAGCCTCCTCACAAAAGCCAATTAAATACACAGCATGACCGACGCACAGGGCGAATGGTCACACTCCATGGCGGCTTCCGAATCGAGAAAATGCCGCACTCGCCTTGAACGCTAACCTGATTCGTTCATCCTGAACATATTTCAAGCAGCAAGAGTTGAGACGACTCACAGGGCCAATGATTTCCTCTTCTCAACAGAGAAGCAAATTTCTTCGTACTATGCTTGTGCACCTAAGCCATGAAAAGTGATGGATGGAGCCCAGGGGGGGTTTGGGGGTGGATGGCCCTCCCCCTTCTTAAGTTACCTTGCCTCTCTGAACCGTTTCCCTTCTTGTCTTCTGCTCTCTACACCCTTGATTTCTGCTCTCTATACTCAAACAAGCCACTTTCAGAAGTTAAAACATCATTTGGATTCTTAAAGAGCATACGCTTACTGCTATGTTTCCATTTCTTGGTGTTCTATTGCTGGACTGGATCTCCAACTCTTCGGGTAGCACCCCTCAGCGATTGGACAAGGCTATTTACGCAGCGACTATGGTGCAAGTACTCATAGTTGCGATTGTCTTCTTTTTGATATATGCTTGTTTGAGAATGGGCAGGGTAACCTCCAATGTTGGTGTGGAATTTGATCGTATGCACTTTCCTCTCCTCACAACCTTCAGCATCATCCCTTCTGCAACCTCAAGAGGAACAATAAAAGTGTTGACAACTTCCAACAGAGTATTTACTCATTGATGCAAGACCGGCAGATACTTCAGAGTTCACTAAAGCTCTGGTTCTGCCTCCCAGTCTCATCCCATCGACGGACTACAATGACAACTTTAAACCTTCCACTGAGACCTACCATCCCCCAACGACATCGCAGCTCAATCTCGACTTGAGATGTATCATCCCTAGCCCTCGCATCGATGTCTTCTTGCTAGACTCGCTCGCATCACACTCTCATGCTACAACGTCATACACGCATACCGGGATCGGCTCTCAATTCGATAGCATTGATATCAAACAAGAACAGAACACGAACATCACGACGACACTTGAGATTGACGAAGAGCTTGACTTGAGCATAATCGAACCTTTGAAACTAGACGCCCTCTCATCCTTGATGAGGAAGCAAAGTGAGGATGTATGGGACTTCATGGACATCTAGGTTTGCGAAGCAAAGATTCACACCGCAGGAGTCAAGCAAAGGCGGTGACAGACGCTACTTCTCAATTTCGACAATACTTTCACTTAGATTCAGTTATTCCTGCTTTACGAGCATATTTTACCTCTTCCTTCCATTTCACAAACCCATCACTACCTATCTCACTTCCTTTCCTTGACGTCCATCACGACCAACAGAAAAGCTAAAACAAAGAAGCTAAAACTTCCTCCCCACCTTCTTCTTCCTAATAGTTACTGGTTAGCTCCTCTGTGCGACCATCAGCTTCCGACTGCCCTAATCTGAGTTTCAAAACTTCTTACCTACCATCTACCTCTTGTCATATTCGATGTCCTTTCTCTCTAACCCATCCCCCCTCCACCTCCCCTTCTTAACACACCGCAAATTAACAACCAATCACCCTTATCCCCACCAAAACAAAACACAACACCGTAAACAACACCCCTCTTATATCATATCTTATCTTCTAACATCTAGGAAAGACTCCTAACCCATTCCATTCCACTCACTCACTCACTCACTCACGTACAGGTCATTCATCTAATCAAACATCAGGATTCAATCAACACTGTAACACACACATACACATAATATACAATTCATTCATCTCAAGCTACCACGCCATGCCATTTCAATTCGATCGATTCAGTTCAGTTCCATTGTGTACTTTATTATCAATTCATACTCCATGCCCCCATCCATCCAGCCATCTCCCACCCTCCAAACCCAGTCACCCATTGATTCACCCGTTCGGACTAGATAAGATAGATACCCAATTACCCACTCGCCCGCTCATTCACGGGCAAGTGCTGTGCTGTGCTGCTGCGCTTTTCTATGACATGCTATTATTACAATAAAGTATTTCTTTCTTTTATTCAGACAATGAAGGAGAACAAGGGAGTTTGGTTTGGTTGGCGGTTCTTTCTCTCTTTCTGTTTCGAGGGCATTAGGTAAGGTACCTAGGTAAAATTCATGCTGCGTAGAGGGCTTCGGCTAGGTAGATGACACCGAAGATTAGGAAGGCTACTGCGCCGCCTAACGTGACTGTTTTGTTTGTTAGTTGAATGGGATTGTATAATTGGGATGTGTCAGCGAAAGGGAGAGAGGGGGGGGCAGAAAAGACAAGGCAGCATACCAACTCTCAAACTAACTCTCCCAGCAATAGCGCGTCCCCCAATAACAGCCACACCTGTACACACAGCATGCCCACTCACAGCACCACCAGTAACCCACCAGTAATCCGCGCCCGCAGCCATAGCAATAGTAGCGATTTGACTACGATCACCCCACTCGCCCAGAAATGTCATGACGAATGTCTGTACCCACGCCGGACTGAGCAATAGGCTAAACAAATTGGTCAAACCTGACATAGCGCCTTTGAAATTTGATCGCTTTGGTGAGACAGAACGGTCAGGAGATGAAGATGGGGAACGAGGAGGCGAAGGAAGACGGGACCCAGAGCGTGATTTCCTCGTGCTAGCTTTTCGTCCCAGTCCCATTTCCAAAGCATAAGGAGAGATCGACGAGCGTCTACGGTTTTGTTTCCGCGCTTCATTTTCCTTTTCTTCGAGCTCCATTTCCACTTCCTGCATTTCTGCGCCTACGCCCTCTTCTTTGTCCATTGCTAATCCTTCCTTTAGCATCTTGCCGCCAAAGACGAGGAATAGTCCTGCGGCGAGGAAGTGTGTGAAGCGTTCGGGAATCAAGGTTGGGACTGCGTGGCCGAGAACGGCGGATAGGACGGTCATGACGAGCAGGGCGGAAAAGGCTGCGCTGAAGACGAGGAGACGGTCATGTTTCATGGCCATGAGGGCTGCGATCAGAAACGTCTTGTCGCCTATTTCGGAAAAGAGGATCATGGTCAGGGAGAGGACATAGGAGTGTAGGGGTTGAATGATCCCTTCGTTGCCCTCTTCTCCCACACTGGCAAACTTAGAGGGGTCTTTGGCTGAACCAGTATTAACATCGAGGTGATTCTTGTCCGCCGAGCCGGGGATTGGATTTGGAAGCTTATTGGTCTTGTCCGGGAGGTCTTTTGGTTTCTGTATTATCAATTAGCATAGATCATGGAAATTTTGATTCACCGTACCTCAATTCCTGCTAACCCCTCCGCTGTAGTGTCATGATCACTATCACCACCATCCTTGCTCTTACTCTTGTCTTTCTCCTTTTCCTTCTCCTTTTCCTTCTCCTTTTCCTTTACCTTCTCCACCTTGGTCTGCTCACTATGGGGTAGTGGAGGCGCTGTCTTTGGAGAATCTGGCGTCTTCTCCACCTTCTCTCCTGTCTGACCTTCTTGTGCTTTCCGCGCCTTATCCTTCTCGCTCACGCCACCTTCTGTGCCAGTAGTTCCTGTTTTTGGTACCGCTCGATTGTGGTCATCCATCACACCATCATTGGAAAGCGGTATCTTGGTGCCACCAGGACCGACCTGTGTCGATTCCTGCTTCGGGTCCTTCTTCGCATCCAGCACTAATTCGGCGTCTTCTTTTTTCGTTGCAGGCTTGTCAGAATCTGGTTTCTTTGAATCTTTCTCAGTGCCAACCCAAGGGCCAGCATGCGGCTTTCCATCCTTTCCGTCTACTGGCGCATCTTTCGTTCCTATCTCGAATTTCGATTTTGTATTTAGGTCGACTCCCCGTGCTTCGGAGTCTCCTTTGGAAGAATCTTTGGCGTCTGTGTTTTTGGCGAGAGTCGACTGGACGGTGCTGTCCTGGGCGGCGACAGCGAGCGCCGAGACCAACGAGGGGAGAAGGAGAAGGAGCAAAGGAGAAGGGCGTTTTCTGAACTTCATTGTCGTGTAAAAATTATGTAGAGCTGCGAGAAAGAGACGCGGGAGAGGTTTGTAGATCGAAAAACGGTTTGTGGGGAAACCTTGTCTTAGGGGTAAGGGGTGCGATGACAGGCGCCCTTATTCGGAGAGATGGATTCGGATGATCCTGAAGTAGGAGGAATTAGATATCACAATGCTACCTTGACATTACAAACACAAAGAGGTAGGAAGGAGTGTCAAGAAGGTGGAGTGTATTCGTAAAGAGTCGCAAGGTGAAGTGAAGTGAAGTGATTTATGATGGTGGAAAGGGACGGTAGGGTAGATCTGGCTGTCTGGGCTAGAACTAGGCCTAGGTACAGAGTAGGTGTAGTAGGTTGTGGCTATTCGCTAGGGTAAGGTAAGATGAGGTGAGGGTGAAAGTAGTGTACGTCGTACTCACTCGTACTCACTCGTACTGTACCCCGTAGTGTGAGGGTGAGCCTGTGAGGGTGAGGGCCGCGCCTTCTTTTTTAGATGCGGATGCGGCGGACAGGGTAGACAGGGTAGACAGGGAATAATAAGACGGGGCACACGGCGTCGGTGTTGCAGAATTGCGTGGCGGAAACCAATTGATGCGCCCCTGATTGTTGATGTTCTACTCGTTCGTATACAGAGAGCATTGGGATTTGATGCGGTACCGAGGAAACCTACACAAAGAGGATTGAAATCTGTATAAGGGTTACATTACATTCCTACTCGTATTATAGGAATGATATATCTATATTATATACCGTAAGGCATACCGTACCGTATACATACATAAGTATACCCCTATTGTGCTGCTAAATCCGTACGTAATACAATGCTTGCTCTGGACTGCATGCGGAGGCACTGGCCTAGGTCTAGGCTGTGCTGCGCTGGGGCTAGTACGGCAGACACGTGAAGCGTGATGGCACTAGACCGCAATTGCCATTCCGAACAACAACGGGGGAAGGCATTCGCGTCTTTCCCAACGATAGGCGCACGCGCATCCACCACCCCACCAGACAACCCACCCTCTCCATTGAAAGGGGATACAACTCCAATTGATTGCATCATGACGGGACGAACATCTGCTCGATCATCTACAAAGCGGAATCAAGCTGCATCACCACCCAAGCCAAGTCGCGCATCGCAAAGCCCCCGAAGGACCCGAACAACACGAAGCCAGAGCAAAGACCTGGGAGAGAGCGATGGCGATCCAAAGAGACAAAGCAGAAGAGGGAGAGGCACACGCGCAGATAGCGAGGAAAGCGTGAGTAGCGTTGGGCGCAGGACAAGCAAGGCGTCGAGCAGAGGTGGTCGCACAAAGAAGGCTACGCGCGGCGCTGTAAACAGAGGTTAGAGCACCACGAGAATATTGACTAGACAAGTTCACTGATCGCACGACAGACTTGTCCATTGTTGCTGAAGATAGAGAAGGAATTGAAGAAGAGGGGGACGACGAAGACGAAGACGACAATGCCGACAACCTCAAACCAAGCAAGGCGCACCGCTCACAATCTCCAGGTGCAATGTCAAGCATGTCAGGGACAACAGCCATCACATCACAATCCGCCATTACATCTCACTCAGCTAGGGCAATGGCGGAATTGGATCCCCCCCAAATGGCTAAAATACTTCCAGAGCTGCTGGAGAGCTCTGTTAAAATTTTGAATTTGCTTGCACCAGCTGGTGCAACACACGAAATTGTCGCCACCATTGTAAATGAATTGAAAGCTCCGGGATCTAGGCGAGCAAAAAGTCTGAGATACGAGGAGGCCAGATTCATGCCGAGCAGGGAATACTACGGAACCTCGAATGCTTATATCACGTCTTCTTTCGTGCTGCAAAAATTACTGGGCAATGATTATGATGAAGGAGCCTTCCGTCCCGACGCAATCATTCATGCCGCCAATCTTGCAGTCCTAGTCAAAGAGTTTGCTGTCACCCCCAAGGAAAGCCAAGCCGTCAACACACTTCTCTCAGATATGGATATTCTCTTTCCAGAACCTTTTGTTCACGGATTCGATGACACTCTACAGTATGGAAGCAGTGCGCTGGTTGATGAATCTTTTGCCCTCGGTTTAGACATTCGAGCCCAGTGGACGATTTACAATTTACATAAAATGCAAGGCCAGGAAGATTCCCAATTGGAAGATCTGTTAGTGAATGATTTCTTCGAGGAAGCGGCCGAGGGCAACTCCGAGCTATCAACCATCGACGATTTTCTTCAGCATGGGCGCCCTAAGGATATCTTGAGAGGAGGTCCCGCAAATTCCGAGGATCAAAATGCACAAGTCATTGAATATGTGACTCGAATTTATTCAGCATTCTATAAAAGCAACGATGCCGCTGAGCAGGATGACTTAGTTGATTTCGACCTTTTGGACGAACAATTTGGCTGGTCAGACTTTCTTGCAGATCTAGTCGTTTGGAGCCGAGCGCGGTTGAAAGAAATCTTCAGTAGCATCAACCAGCAAGGTGGAATCCAGACAATCACCGAGGCGCTGATCGACACCATGAATAATAACGACAGCCAACTCGATGCGACCTATGAAGACCCCCCAACAATCATGAGGACACAGCTTCCGATAGATATTATACCTAGTGTTCCTCGTAAAAGGTGAGTTCAATTATCAGATTTGTGTGCGAATAGCTTGCTTACTCATAAGTAGCTTATATGAAAGCAAAGATGACATTCGCCGATTAAAGAAGATGAAAAAGTCAATGTCTCTCGGTGACCCTTCCTCGAATCAGAAATCTACTGCCCCATCTTCATCACACCCTACAACGCCCAAACCGATAGAGGTATATCTCAACAGCTGGAAAAACGACAGAAACGACAAAAACAAAGAGAACCGGCCCCTAGATGAGAGCACGAAGCTTCCAGCAAAACGCAGACTTGTCGACCCTCATCCAGAGGCACGCAGAATGCAATGGGAGGATGATAGCCAGGAAGCCAATGGCGGTCCATCGAACCGTAAGCGTACCCATGAAGAGGCAGAAGAGGAATCAGAACCCGAAGAGTCGGAAGACAACGGCTTTGAGCAAGACTACAGAGTTCCAGATCCAACTCGTAAAGTGGTTCCTCCACCAGAGCCGGCCTCCAAGCGTCATCGGAATACAGCTCCTGGCGAAGACGAAGCAGCGTCCCATGGGTCGCGAGAGCGAACTACGGGGCTGTCACAGGGTCAACCCGGAGAAAATGCAAAGCGCCCGGCTGCAAGGAGAGGAATAGAAACAAGGGCCGCTAAAGTAGAGGACTCTGATGAATTCATTGAGGAAGAACATGAAGAGGAAGAACACGAAGAGGAAGAGGAACGACCATTCCTCTTATCTCAAGTCGCCTCTTATGCAAAACTAAATACCCAGAGAAAGAAATTGGCCACCGCGCGGCCTCAGAAACGGACACCATGGTCAGAAGAAGACTCGCTAGAGCTGGTCGATCTTATCAAGGAACACGGGTGTAGTTGGGCTGTTATTCAGAAATACGGAAAATTTGAGGTGGATCGAGACCAAGTTGCGATAAAGGACAAAGCTCGTAATATGAGAGTCCAGTTTGAGAAGTACATAGGACTGATCTAAAAACTCTCCGAGTGCAACTGATTAACATGACTATAGGGCTCAAATACAATTGCCGGAAAACTTCGAAAACATTGCTTTGGGTGTCAAGGAAATAAGGAGTATTCGAAATACGCTTCCTGGTTTTCAGTACGAACGGGACTAGCAGGCTCGGGCTCGGGGTTGTTCATATAGATTTGGTCAGCGCAAGCTGCTGGCGTAGGTAATCTTAATATCCTTTGTTTTGAGGGGGGCGTTTGGCTGGCAAAAGGCTTTGTATGGGTGTTCCCTTTAGGACAGGCGAATATTTCGATTCTTTGCTGAGCAAGGCAGTTTAGTATTGGATAATTAGTGTGAGCGAAACTTGACAAGACGGCGGCTTGATAGAGCTCTTTAAAACTGCGATGTTTAATCTCTGCTTGACTATGAGACCTAACTAGGGATTTGGTTAATTTCCAGTTCCTGTATCCATTGTGCTATATTTACTCGTATAAATCGGATCGGTATGTATGATATTGCGGAGTAATTACATTACTTAAAAGTAGGGGTCTCAATGCATGTCACTCGCCACCCAGGGGCAGCCAATCAGACACGAGTCCGACGCCGGGAAGGTAAAGCTTGGCTGTCATCGACATCGTCATCCGCGCCTCTACTACATCCTTCTATCCATCCCCCATACGCGGGGTACGAGTACACATTCACAACAGCTTGCACTGCAGGTTAACAGTGCTTTTAAAGATCTTAATCCATTCATATGCATGAGCCGGCTCTGCATAATCATTGATAAAAGCTCCCTTTACCTCGTACTTCTAATCTTCTTTTCACCATCATTCGTAGACGAACTTCCAGCTATCGATATAACCAACTGCAGAGCCTCTGTCGAACCCCTCGGCGCTTATGAATGGGAAACTCGGACATGGATATACATGAGAAAGAACCGCTGGTAGAACTGGAGAAGGGGGAGTCCCCGCGTGCTGTACGGTCTCGGGAAAGATGGATGCCATGGACGGATACGGGGTTGGCCATCTTTTATAAGGTCGGTGTTCATTGCAAAGAAAGATAAAGCTCGTAAACTGACTTGTATTTATAGATCATCCTCTCCGTTGCCGCTATCCTCCTCCTCGGGTACAATTTCTGCTGCACGACTCGCCCAAGACTCGTTGCGACTCAAGTAGAAGGAGTCCCTCAATTCGTCCTCGACTATGGTATATATCTCTAATCCCTCTCCATGGACTCTGCTAACAACCCCAGCACCATTAACCTACCTCGACACCGCCGAAGCTTACTTCCCCTCTGACATCTCCGCCCAAATAACCTATACCCACCCCGCCATAAACGGCAGCTCAATGCATGAAGACGAAGACGAGATTCCCACCCTAAATACCACCAACCTCCACATCCTAAACAAGTACGGTGAAAACGGCACAAACATCTACCTAACCTCCAACAGCGACATCACCAGCTCGCCCTCCTGGCTCACAGGCGTCGTTCCAAACTCCACAACCGGAAAAACATCCAACGCCATATCCTGCGCAATCATCATCTACCCCAAACCCTCCCTCTCCGTCACCGACGTATTCTACTTCTACTTCTACGCCTACAACCAAGGCAACACAGTCTTTGGCCGCGAACTAGGCGACCACATCGGTGACTGGGAGCACAACATGATCCGCTTCCAAGACGGGGTCCCCCAAGCAATGTGGTTCAGCCAACACAACAACGGCCAAGCCTTCACATACCCCTCACTCGAGAAACTCCACTCGGGTCCCGGAAGAGGCAAAAGACCAATAAACTATTCTGCCCGCGGCTCGCACGCAAACTACGCCACGACGGGCAAACACGACCACACGATCCCCGATCTAAATCTACCGAACGGTTTCATCATAGATTATACGTCTGAAGGCGCGTTATGGGATCCCGTGCTCAATGCGTATTTTTACAACTACAATGGCAGTACAAATACGTTTGAGGGCATAAATGGGGCTCCCGAAGGCGCTATGCACTACCGGGGTCATTGGGGCGATGAACAGTATCCGATTGAAGATCCGAGGCAGCCGGACTCGTTTTTCGGCTTCGTCAAGTATGTGAGCGGACCGACGGGCCCGCAGGACAAGTATCTGGAGAGGGGGGATGTTTGTCCAGGGAATGGAATCCCGTGTTTTGTTAGGGATAGGTTGGGTCCGTGAATGAAGAAGGGGTTAGGCGTATAGATAGCAATATGTGTAGAGCGTTTGTGTGGCATGGGTTGGGAACAGGAGTCTAGGCGTTGGAATTTTGATACCTTGGGATTAGGACTGGGACTAGGTTGGGTTAGAAGGGCTTGGATAGGTTGGGTGTGATTCCAAGATACCTTTTAGATTTTTGTCGCGTGGGGTAAATGGGGGCATGACCCAGGAGTACAACGTAAAACATATATACCTCAGCAATCGGAGATTTTTACCTTTAGGGCGAGTAGCCACTTCTTACCGTATAACTTCCCGAAATGCAAGGAACGCTAGCTTCCCTAAAACCCAGGTCTTCACCTGACAATCAACATTCTTCTCTCTTTCTATCTTGAATATTTGGCCCCTCCCTGTTTCCATGCTTATTCTACTTCCTGAAAATGTGGCTAGAGGCGAAGTGCATACTAGCGTATCACTGCATCCTGCGAGGTCATATAGCCCCAGATTCCAGACAGCAGCCAATAAAACTACCTACCTAGGTGGTCTAAAGCCTTCTATTCATCCTGAAACATGGGGGCTGGAGCTCCGCTCGCAGCTTTGGAGACAAGCAAGGAATTGATTGAGATAAATGCGCAGCGTATTCCTCTGTGGAGAGAGAGTGTGTTCGTTTTCCGTGTATAGTACCCCGCTATGTCTCGTGAGACAGTATCGTAGTTTGGAGAGGAGGACTGGAGAGTGGGTTGGGAGACCGATTGAATGGAGAGGGATCGAACGGAGGCTATGATAATGATATTCGTGTCGAGGCAGAGGAAACGAACGATATTCCAGTACAGTATCACCAATTGTGGACGAGAGGACTGTACAGTATGATTTGGTCGACCGATCTTCGAACAAAGGCTACGACAATGAAAATCGTAGCGAGTAAGTGAGAACATGCCGAGGGAATTGATGGATATGAAGATCCGGTATGCAGAGCTTGTTAGGCAGGATGATGAGATAGACAAGGGTGGTGTGAAGAGGGCTGGTTTTAGGACTGAAGATGAGGTTGTGGCTTGAAGGAAGAGGACGGTTTATGGGAGGTGATGGATTGGGATATGATTTGTAGGAATTTTATATGATACTTATGGCGCTGGACAGTGGATGTAGCTAGGCTCGACGGTGGCTTGTTTGGGTATGCACTGTAGGCACTGTAGCTCGTATGGAAGTTGGTATAGAATCATTTCATATATCTAACCTGTATATGCTTCATGGTAGCTAATACCATTACTCCTAAAAACAAGGATGATACCAACCAATTTGCCAATATAGGTAGCGTCTGCTTCTTCAACATTACCGTCTGCGATTATTCTTTCTAATCACAAGGGTCAATAAGTGGACTTCCCCACATGCCTAACTCCGACTCAAATGAAATTTTAGGATATAACGACCTCACGATTAACAAGAAAAGCTACCTAATCATACCACCCTAGTCTCCTTCCTCTCGGTACTGTATCGTCTTTTATCCGCCCAGTTGTCGGAATAGAGTTGGCTATTTGTAAGCTCGTCTCAAAAGGGGGGCTTCTCTCGGTTATCGCTTAGCTGAGCCCAACCAATCAATCTCACTGTAAGGAACGGCACCAGGTATTCTCGATATTTGAAATCAATACATGCCGATGCATCTTATTATAAATTTATGACACCATACTGATATGATCTCCGCGTGGTCGAATCTGGTTAGTCCGCATATTGTACTTAGGAACTGTATGTAGTATATCAAGACCATGTCCCCCTCAGATTCCCTAGCTATCAATCATCACTCTCTTCCATACTCAAATTCAAACCCAAATTCAAACTTTTAAATATGTCGTCTAAAGTTATCCTCATTCTTGGATCCGGCGCCAGAATCGGTGCGAATGTATCTCGCGCCTTCGCCGCCAAAGGCTACAAAGTAGCTCTCGCAGCCCGCTCCCTCACAGAAGCAGACAACACGTCCTCTGAAATCCACATCCAGGCCGATTTCTCCGATCCCAAATCCGTTATCAGCGCATTTGCGAAGACAAAGGAGTTATTAGGGACTCCTAGTGTTGTGGTATACAACGGTAAGTTTTATTTATTTAGTCAAGTCCATGTATTCCCCTCAGGTACCAATTCGTACGGGGTAAAAATACATATATATATATATATGATCAAAGACCCACGTAAAAGAAGAACGAGACACTTATCAGATAACCAACCAACTAACGCGTACGCTTGGTAACCACACACAGCCGCAGCAGCAACCATCGTCCCGTCCCAAGACCCCCTATCCCCCTCCCTCACCCTCTCAGCCTTCCAGTCCGACCTAAACATAAACACAACCAGCGCCTTCGTCGCGGCCCAGCAAGCTGCTCTCGCATTCGCCACTCTAGCTGAGCATACCGATGCCGCCAAGACGTTCATCTACACGGGCAATATCTTGAACGAGACTGTTATTGCGCCGCTGATGAGTTGTGGGGTGGGGAAGAACGCTAGTGCGCATTTTGTGAAGACGGCTGCTGGGGCGTATGGAGAGAGGGGATTCAAGTACGTATCCCAAATTCTTTGGCAATTACCTTCACCTTTGTGCTAGCTAGCTATTTGAGCGTTCTTGGATCGGTATGGAGAGAGAGAGAGACACTGACGCGTCTACAAAGGTTCTATTACGCGGATGAGAGGAATGCGGATGGGTCGCCGGCTTATGCTGTTGTTGATGGGGAGGCGCATGGGAATTTCTATGTCGAGCTTGCAGAGGGGCAGGGGCAGGGGCCTTGGCAGCAGACTTTTGTCAGCGGGGTGGGGTATAAGAAGTTTGCTGTTGCTTGATGTTTGGGAATGGAGGGGAGGTAGCAAGAGGGAAGGGTAGAAGGAGGGTACTTCCCTATTTCCCTTAGTAGGCAGCTAGGATAGTAGGCATGGATGCATTGAAATACTCGAGTAAAGGTTACAATGCAGAGGACACTTTTCAAGAGCTGCGTAGGTATAAGGAGGTGATTCGGTAAGATGTGGTGGGATAGCGAGGCCCAGCTGCGAAATGCACGAAAGATTTCTTGATACCAAAACGTTTTAAAAACCGACATATTCTCAGTATCGTTGACATTTACTTATTTCAAAATTCCATGTCTATTATCATGGATCTGGTTATAGACACTGATCACTCTGAACACCTTCTCACGCCAGAGAGACTTGAAGTCTATAATCCCCGCAAGAGAGTCACGAGAACTTCTATGCAAACTTGGACAGGGTCACAGGATATCTCATTGAGGCCATTGATTATCTGCATGAGATGAGAGTCAAACACAAGGATATCAAGCTAGTCAACATTCTATGCAGGGGTAAGTGATACTTGCTGATCTCGGGATATCGAAAGACTTGATCAACAAGGAGATAACTGTCTTGATGGCGGCAAATGGCGACATAAGAACGCGGATATATTGCGCCCCTGAAGTCCTTGGAGAAATGGTTAAAGGGGCCATGCGGTGGTATAGTGAAAACAGAGAGCATGGAACTGATGATAACAAAAACACAATGGAAAGTATCAAAGCCCCAGACTTGTATACTTATTATATTGTGGATCTGGGATATCATACATTACTATAATCTAATAATCATCCCACTGCCTCCTAATAACCGGCCTCGCTGGATCCCACGGCCCATGAATCTCATTCTTATACTTTTGCAACCCAATCAGCCACCAACTACACCCCCCCATCGCCAGCCCCGTCCCCACAACCCCAATCAACACCCCCAGCAGCCCACTCTTCCACGGAAAATCCAATAACCCCTCTCCATCCCCGCCCCTTCCCAAGATCAACCCTACTCCGCCCCCAGCACCGACCACAAGGAAAGAAGTCAGCGCTACGTGACCCCGCCAATCGCGCTGTCGCGCATAGCGCCGGAAGACTGGGAACAGCCCGAATACCTCGATACTGAACAGTGTCAGGCTAAACACTTGCCCCGTGCTTGGTAGTCGGGATGCAAGCACCGTACTTGCCATTAGCGCGGCGTTTGTGCTGAGACTCGCTGGTATGTTCTTGTTCCCTGTATTTATTGAAGAGGATGGGGCTGGAGTGCCGTAGTCGAAGAAGAATATATTGATTGTGAAGAGCATAAAGGACATTGCCCAGATACTGTCAGAGGAAGTAGAACGTGTAAGGGATTTGAGGATTGGCGAGAGGCCCAGGAGAGTAAAGTATATTAGCAGCGCTGATTTTGCGGTTGAGAGACGGAGAGAGGTACGGTGGCTCATGGGAGAGGAGGGTGGGAAGTTGGGGGCTCGTGGGGTTGAGTGGAGGGCTTGAGAATTGATTGAGGATGTGGAGGCGGACTTCGAGTGCCGGGAGAGCATGGGATTTCCATTCAAGTTCGATGTAGAGCTACCGGCTGAGATGGACGATGGTGGAGGAGGAGGAATTGCTGGGGCCAGAGGTTTGGAGGATTCTTCTTGCCCTACCCACCAATCCCATAACACCCAGCCTAGAATTGTCGCAACGCTACCCCAGCCTACTACTGCCTCTGGCGCGATGCGTCTATGGAAGATGCCAACAAAGCAGACGATGAAGATGATGACGGAGCAGACATGCTGGACTATGACGGTTGAGTCTGCGACCAAAGGCCAAAAATCGTACGGTTGGAGACGAGGATTTCGCTGGAGGTGCTCGAGGAAAGTGGCTTGATCGGTATAGTTGTCCGGATCTATTATAAATCAGCAGAGTCCCCTGAGCTATGCAGAATGAACCCACAAGATTGCTTCACCCACAACAGCTTCGACCATACTCTCTTGCCCCTTCTACTAGCACTCCGAATTCTATCCTTATTCCTACCCCTCCTTGGCATTCCCGAAGCATCCCCATTCTCTCCATTGGTCATCCGCAACTCTTTCTGCAGCTTATTCCCAGCAGCAGACTGCTTTCGCGGCGGGGACCCTTGGTACATGGCATCTTCGGGCGTGAGAAGCGTGCGATCTGTCGCGAGGTTTCGCGATACCGACGGTAGGGTCGTAGCTCGCGTCAACGGTGGAAATGTAGTCTTTAAAGAGCTGGGATTGGGCGCCTGGGTGGGCGCCATATCGCGCAGGGCGTCCTCATACGATATGTTGCGCTGTTACGAGGTGAAGTGTGGAATTGTCAGCCTCGCCATTAGGGAAGTGTTACAGTATAGTAGTATTTTCTGCCAAGGTAGCTAGTTAGGTTGCCGTACTTTCACTATAGCTCGAGGCTGAACGAAAATACCATCCCCTTTTTCCTGAAATCACATACAGTATGTATGCGGTCAGAAGGCGCAACGAGATTAAGAAGTTGTTTCCTACCCCAGACATCGATTTGTGTACTCCCATTTACGCAAATATGATACGGAAGTTTACTCTATGAAAAAGAGGGATGCGACTAGCTATAGAACCATTGATCAGTTTCCTCTTCCACTTGCTTCTCTGTTCTGGGTGATGGCATGGATAGCATGGCAGCAGCCATCTCTATTGCTTGTCATTTGCCTCGTCGTCCTGGTGATGTCCGTTTTGGATCATTAAAGCTTCAAAACTGCCTCGTTTCTATACCACCAGTACCGTCTATTATATGACAACTCTCTTCTTGCTATAATTATTCAGATTTATGCTTTCAGCAACTATATTTTCCTTTCGTTTTGCTTCCTCTGCTTGCTAATTTCCAGTATGAAGCTATTTAAACCTGGTAACCTTCTTGCCACTCTCTCATACGCCGGTTGTTCTAACAGGAATGCTCTTTCTTTTCACTCGTCACAAATACTTAGCCAAAATCACTAAACGAGTGTAAATTCTGGTTTCACCTCTTTTGCCATCCATTCTTCCTACCGTCGTTTGGATATTAATTTTGTTGTCCTCACTGCAAACAAATCAACTTTTTAAGACGGGTGGAGATAGGTTTGCTTCCGAGCGCCCCCTTTTTCCAAGAACAAACACATCACGTGCCTCCACCTGAAACGCACATCATGAAACCCTGCGTCGATAACAATGTTTCCCCCTTATCTTGGCAGTATCGAGTACGTCTCAAACATCCGCAATAACCGTCCCCACTATCGCATTCTCCATATTTCAGAAACTTTGCTGGCTTTGATCTAGGAAGTTGTGATAGGGGTACTGTAGCGAGCAGATTGTCTGATCGCTCCGCGCCGAGGCGGGTAGAGGTGGAGACTCAAGTTGCAAGTTGTAACGGTCCCGAGGTAATAGCCTCGAGATACCTTGCTGAGAAGAAAGATTTGTAAAGGGGGGGACAACACATCGGAAGGACCCCCCTAGATGTGCAAAAAGTGGATTCTCTTTCATGGATTTCCGGTCCGCGAGTACTTAAAAACATATATTTTATGATAACATTTACCCAGCAACTACTTAGCGGCTTGGTATATTCGACAGAAGAATAAACACGTTCTGCTCCGCGAAGAGGGCCAAGAGTGGTAATGTAGTAGTTGCATGGAGTAAATGTAACGTCGGAGAGATGCGAAAGTATTTTGCAACCGGTGGGCTTCAGTTCTTAGCTCAAGTGATGGTAAACGACAACAATACACGTCGAGCAGTTCTGGGGCTAGTTATATTTGTCCAAAGATAAGCACACGAGAAGTGCAAATGCATGTGCCACACAAACTGCAAAGTAAGAAGAAGCTGGTGTATCTCTGCTGTGCATCTCCAACTGGCAACTCTATCATCAGATATACTTCATCTCAGGTGAGCTCGTGCGATTCCAGTCGAGAACGCTCGGAAAATTCGAAAAGGGATAGGAAAGGAGAGGAACAAAACGTAGCACCGAGTTGATTCTCGATTAATCAATGGGACGACACTACCGTCGTCACACTTCGGGGAAAGAATCGGTTCCGAAGGCGGTATTATATCAAAATGGTTATTGACATATCATTTTGGTCAAGAGGCAGACGTTCCTGATATCCAGCGTTGCAATGAGATTTCTGCCTTGGCCTTGGAGACCGCAATCAGGAATGACGTAGAATGGAAGCTGCGAAATAAATGAATCCTGAGAGTCGCTTTTCGCTATCGTATTCGCTCCCTCGGATACTCAAGCCCTCGCCACAGAGTTCTTAAAACATCCTCGTTGATAGCTACAGATGCGAATTTTTGAAAAGCACTCCTTGGATCAAATACTGTATATCATTTACGAGATATAACCGTCAAAGCATAAGCTGGTGTTGGTTATGCGGCCGACAAAAATGTATGATCCTAAGTTCCTTCGCCAATTTCCAAATCAAGAATGCATATCGTGCTCGGTGGATGCAGTTGGTAAGCTCACGCGAGATTATACCCGGGACAACTAAGAAAGGGGGAAATAGCAGAACAGGAAACAACTTTTAAATATCGCAGAGCAATGATAACATTGAAAACCACACAAACAAATATGGAATAAGACTTCTTAGAATATGGAAAAGAGGAAAAATATGCGATATGGGCTTTCAAGAGTCTTGACATCTGCGACGGATATTGCTTTGCCGATAACTTCGACCTCACCACATACCAAGGACCCACAAAGTTGACGGATCTTGACATGACAGAGTTGAGGCAATTTATGTAGGCTTTACGGAATGGAGAAGCTCTTAAAGCCTGTCTAATCAACCAGCAGGATGCCGTATTGAATCCTCTGTGAGGCTGAGTGCAGATTAGGGCAGAAGCGATACCGAAGTAATCGCACCGAATGGCACCCTACAGATGAAATAAAATCCTACACTAATAGCTAGTCCCTTCCTACTAACTATTAATAAAGGTTATTTGAGACTTGCAATGCAATCCTCCTTGCTTACTTGAAGAACTTTCAGCGAGGACTGCATATAGTATTCTCGTGAAAAGAACTGCCGACAAGCTCCATTATTATTGTTCGACTTGGCAGTTTCGAGGTCGGGCAAGAGTCAAGAATAATTGACTTCTTAAAGAAGCTGCAGCCGGATCTGCAGCGATTTTAAGGGGCCGTGGGTTTGATCTGACACTAGGATTAAGCTTTCTCACAAGGATCTCACCCTGTCCCTGACGATCGATAATTGGAGGTTACTCCGTATATTTTTTAATTGCGGAGACAAGCCTATAAACTTAGTAAAAGCGTCTCAGCTTATATCTTTTCAGAACATATGTTTGTTTTTCTTGCTGATGATGATTCTTTTGAATCCCGTTGTTTATTTATCGGTGCGCTATACTTTTTGGTGTTTTGAGTGCCGAAAAACCACTCATCTGCTTAGTATTTCCAAGACGCTCGCGGCCCCCACACCGAGTCTGGATTTTGAAAGCTGTGCCTCACAGAGCCCTGAGATAGCGCTATTTTCCCTTGTCTGTAAATTACTCGAGTCCTCCGTACTGTATGATGACTGATTCTGTACGACGGGAATTCGCTCATTGGTTTGGGCGAGGGTAAGCACTATATTATTAAAAGAGGTTGCGGACCATGGTGCCGTGAACTTTAACTTAAAGACCACAAGGGATGAAGGATCAGGACATAGGCAATCATGCTTCGCCGCGAGGGCTTCGGAAGTCGTGTCAGCGTCAGCATTTCTTGTTCCGCAGGGCAATTTAATGGTGGACTGACGTGCTTTTGGATACATAGGTACTCAGATCAGAGTCTGTCATTTTAGAACGCCAAATACCCCATTATTGCCTAGGTAAGCCCAGAATCAGTGGTAGCGGCGGAAGCTTCAAGACTCTAGACGTTCTAAATACAGCCATAAATTTGGGTAAAATACTAAAATAAGCGCACCCCAGGCAAAGAGGAATTGACCCCAGCTTAGGTTCTCCGTAGCCATCGTCTGTGCATGACGCTATCTAACTCTAGAATTACAGTAACCCTGATGGATCGTCTCTCCGTACCACTAGGTAAGCTTTCCGCCAAGATCAGCCATGCGATATTGAGTTCAGCATTTCATCAACAGCCAATCCTCGTGCGAGGATATTGATGCGGATTGGTCAAACGGGGATCCAGAACAACAACGTTCCAGCCAAGGAGCATGCTGGAATAGGGGAACGTGTAAGGTTAGGGCTATCATCAGCCAGCCGCAGCTATGATTTAGTGACACCCGGTAAAGTACCTTTAAAGGTTGAATGGCCCCCCCGCTCTCCTCTCTTTGTATCCCGCTCAACTGAAAACCAATATCTCTCGTCATTGTTCCGCTTGCGTTGTTTTTGCTTTGATTTTCAAAAACAAAGAAACATCTTCAAGACAAGAACTCCCACTATCTTTAAAAAGCCTTGCATGCAAAGGATTGTACTTTCTATAACTACTTATCACCTCGACCAAGTGGAACCTTCGAACCTCACCTCGAACGACAATCCTTTGAAAACTATTCATCATGAAGCTCACATCACAACTCTCGCTGCTGCTCTTCCTTCAACTCACAAGCACCGCCGTTTCTCTTCCATTGATCTACGCCCACGGCGTTTCCAATAACGGACACACACCATCCACCAGGATACTCCTCGATCCCCATTTCCCACCCCACCAACTAGATTCCTCCGCCTCGCAAGAGGAAGAATTAATTGACAACACACCCTACACGCCCACCTCACACATTCCTACCTCTGAGGCTCTACTGGCAGAAAAACCACTCTCTTCATCCTACCTGAAGAAACTGGCAGACCAGATACCCCCTCTAGACAAAACACTAGACGCACTACCATCGAAACCCACCAGCGCGCTCCCAAATCTCCGAAAAGAAGACGCAGAACGGTATTGGGGTTCTCGGCACGACGCCAGCGAAGAGGATATTAAGACCACAACACCCTATCATAAAGAGGCTGGATCAGACCCAGAATCTGTCTACAGCGTGTACTTCATCCGTTCGAAAACTGCAAGCACCAGCTACGTGGTACGGGAATATAGCGATGTGATAGTGATAGGAATTGTGCTATGCTTCTTCGTCATCGTGCTGTTTCTCGAGGGCTTGGAGAGGATTGGTGATTTGTACGTCTTCCACATTTACAGCGCATCTAGACTTCAGAAATTGCGGAGACTAATTGTGGATTTTAGGCGCTCGGTCTTCACAGGTACATGCAGACGCAGACATGGCGAGATATTCCTCCAAGATGACGAGGCAGTCGCATGTGTTGTAAAGACGCCGTTTAAGCTGCAGCCTGCCCCGCCGTCAAAGTACAAGATTCGGGTTGAGAGCGAGAAAGGCTTTGAGAGTGAGGCATTTCATTATGACAGTGATGCTGCCGAGAGGGTATAAGCGAGAGGGCTCGACTTTCTTTTGGGCTGAATCAAGGAGTTAGGATAATGGGTAACAGCGGCATTGGGCAGGCGTTGACGGTTTTGAACGGACGGTACGTGCGTGTATACCCTATTATTTTATCAAAAAAGAACTCGATGAGGTGCGAGAAAAAAAATCAAATCAAATCAAATCAATCAAAGAATATCTGCTCTCCTTGTCTATCACATGCCGTCTTTCGCTTCATCCATCCCGTCTTTCACCTTTATCAATCATCAATGAATCGTAACCCCCCCGTCTCCCATAAAGAGAGTGGGATATGCAATGGCAAACGTCAATTTTCTCCTGCCTAGTAGCCGCTAGGCTTTTGTGGCTGGCTGCACCCCTTGAAGTTGCGAAGATGCCAAGATGGGCACGTACGCGCGGGACGGCTCAGAGCTAGAGCTGAGAGCATAATTTGATAAAGCGTAGAATTTGGGCGGACATGTCCTCCTGCCGCGGCGCGAACGGGAGACGGAGACTTCCAATCCAAATATTGGGGAAATCGAAGTCTTGTTCTGTTTGCCGGTTCAGCTACATGTTGTTTATGGCGATCCTTGATCGGCTTATGTGCGGGAGGGAAGTGCCTTCAAATACTTTTGCGGCTAGAAAGTCTTCGGGCGCAGCATGAGGAGTCTCGTGTAGTGTTATATACCGGTGAAATTGTACTTCGTGTCTGGCTTGGAGGAGCCGAGGTGCAAGGGAAAGTCAATATACATATAGTGGCGAAAACTGGTCAAGTAGATAGACCATTTCCAGTAAGCGTGATGAATAAATAGCTTTTCATTCACTTAACCTGAAGGACAAATACTAGTTTGCGTCATAGTCATCTCGTAGTAATAACCGAATGAATGGCAAATCAAAATCGAAGTTGGCAGAGTAGACACATGTGAGTAAGTTTCTCATCCACATTTATAGAGGCTTGGTACGCAGGGAAGGAATTCGCTCTAGACTCGTTTCCCTAAGTTGGTTTGAAAGCTTCTGGGCTTGGCTAGTGGTACAATTCTATCATTCACTATCAATCACATAATAAAGACTCTTCTGAGATATGTGTCTTGATTCTCATCGTGAGTCCTTTGACCGTGGAAATGTTTTGACAGCAGAAATTCATTTGACAACATCGGTCAACGGAGCTAAGAACCATAGCACACTTTTATACGGAGAGACACACGTATGGTGAACATCAGCTTTAGACGCTCTGCTTCTTTTTCTCCCTCCTGGCTCTCTCCCTCGTCGATGAAGCTGTACATCTGAACACTCCTTCACCTTAAGTCTTCTAGTTCGACTATTCGTCTGGCCTTTACTTGTAAAACCTGGGATATGTCCTGCATATATATTCATTAAGTCTGAAGATGGGTTTGAGTGTAGGCTGGGGTAAAGGAACATTGACTGGCTCTGGAGTGAAACTTAACTCGAATGAGGAAAATTGAAAAGAATTCTAGTTCTTGAAAAATCATCGCTTACTACGAATATCTAAGTAGGAGAGAGCAAGTAGCCACGGGCAGGCATGTTTTATTGGGAAGACATAATGATTCGGTCAACTTGACCACCATCTTGACGCGAGAGACAATACACTTTGCTATTTGTAAAGGGAATTTCATATAAATCATCTTTCATTTTCGGGGAAAGATCTGACCTAATCACTATCTAAAACCACCACCTCGGCCTCAGCTTCGCCGATACTCTCAATGCTCAACACATCTCCTGCATTAACACCCGAAACAAAAGCCCCATCACCCTCGCTCAGCACCGCGTCTTCCCTTCCATCCAATCTAATCTTCGAGCTCCCGTTTTTCGTCATAGGCAGATGAACATAAACATTCCTGTTCTGCGTCTTCCTGACCGCATCCGCACCAACAGTCCACTTAAACCGCTTATCAACGCCAATAATACCTGCCGCCATGACCATATCCGCATGTATAGGTATCGTATCTGCTAGCGTAGCTTCAGCGGCCTTCTCGTCTTCGGCTGACGCGCCAGGTCCAGCTTTCAAAGGTGAGAGGATGGGGAGAAAGCCAGAACGTTTGGCGTTTTCGGGAAATGTTCGTGTATGGTAGCGCGGGGTGAGACCTCTGCTCCAAGGAAGAGCCCATATTTGGAGGAAATGGACTTCTTTGTCGGCTTCGTTTTGTTCGGAGTGTGCGATTCCTGGGGGAGATAATGTTAGTATTTGCTTATTAAATTCAGAGACAGAGGATAGGTAGACCAACCAGTTCCACCAGTTGTAAATTGTACATCACCCCTCTTCATACGGAAAAAATCGTCGCCTTGTTGTCCCTCTAACCCCTTCTTGATCATGCTATCGCGGTGCGTCAATTCGCCGTTCAGGATGTAGGAGAAGATCTCGGCATCGCGGTGAGGATGTGTTGGGAAGCCATTGTGGGCATCTACGCGGTCTTCATTCAGGACTCGCAAACTGCCAAAGTTCTGGAATTTGGGGTCATAGTAGTTGGCGAAGCTGAATGTATGGTACGTGTTCAGCCATCCGTGATCAGCGTGACCCCTGTCGCCAGAGCGACGAGGGACGATCTTTGCGTGTGCGAGTGCTTTAGACATGGTGTTTTTGATGGTATTTACAGTGCTCATCGATTGACCTGAAGATATTTCTGTTGATTGACCTATGGTTGTGACTGCTGGGGTCGTAGGTGTTGTTTTGAAGTCTATGAAGCTGCTAAATAGTTGCTGTAGTGGGGTAGTGAAATAGAGTGAAATTGATGCTACGAAAATGGACGATAGGAGAATGAAGAGCTTCATATATAGACTTTTGGGAAAGATGCTAGAAGACAGGAGAGGATTGGAGAAGGAGAATAATTACATGAGAATTATAAAGGATTACCGGTTGCTTTGAATGAGCTTTGTTCACGATGTTGAAGCACCAGAAGCTTGCTGAGAGTGTTCTTGGTGATGGTTAATCAGCAAATTACTCAGCTTTTAGTCCGGTCCAAGCATGGTCTAGACACAAAGCTAGGCCGCTTTAGGGAAGTGAAGACCGGTCACGTGTTTTGGAGCCTCGACCTCGACTCGGCTTCTCCTTCTCCTTCTCCTTCTGCGCCTTCTTCCACCAAATAAACACACATCCTCAAAACCACATTGCTTCATCTCTATTGTACTCTCTGCTGCCGTAAAGCAAAAAACTGTTCCTGCTCCGTACTTTACCCATTGTTGCAAGCCAAGCTGCCAAGTTGTCAACTTCCCTGGTGCAAGCAAGTTCGAAAATTACAAATGTCTCTCGATATTGAACAATAGCCTCTTACCTGTTGTACCAGAAGAGTCTCAAAACTAAGCAAGCGAACATTTCTTGTACGAAAGCTCGAAATGTGCGGTTTGCGGGTAGTCCGTACTTGAAATGCGAGGAGCAGTCACTCTATCGTTTGAAGCACATCTCGTCCATCAATTGCTCTTTATGCATACCTGTCCTCTTTGTGATCACACCTACTTTGAAGCAATAGATGTTGGGTCTGATAGTTACAGCAGAAAGTTTATCCCCTGACTGTTGCACACGTGTACTAAACGATTGTGCTTTACCTTCAAGGCAAGTATAATAGGATCAAGTAGATTACATAAGATGCTGATTAGTATAAGCTCATCACCTCTTGTGCAATAATATCTCAATTCAATTGAACTTCGTCTGTATTATAAGCTTATATAATCCTTGGCAGTCACCTGCATATACGAGTTCTCACCTTCGCCTCCTTTTGACTAATCATAGGCTGTCAGCTCAGTATTAAGACTTGCATGAAAAGTATTCTTTACCCGGTGCTCCTGTAGGGGACAATAAATTGCGGATGTCACCAAGAGGTACTGAAATTCGAGCTGAATGCATGGGTCAACTTTGAGATGAGGCATTGCAAAGTTGGCGCTGAGAGTAGCGGCCGCCGCTAGTATTTGCCCCCACCGAAATACATAACAAACTACCATTAGATATATAACCACTTTGCAGAGGCTCCTTCTTCACTTCTTACGTTTTCTCTGTCCTTCAGTTTATTCTTCACATTTCACGCTAAAATCAGTTACCTTATCGCGATCATGTCCTCGAACGCAAACCGCCCGGCTCCTAAACCTCCAGTCAAAGCACCAGTAAGGCGCAATCCACCACCACCACATTTGTCAGCATCAGGCAGTAAAGTAAAGGTAAAAGCAAAGCCTACACCTGAACCTGAATCCGAATCCGATGAAGAAGCGGCCCCTGCTCCAGCAAAGAAATTACCAAAGAAGTCGGCAACGAAAGCATCAGGGAGCACTCTCGAGCCAAAGAAGACTACAACGAAGCCTGGGGGGTCCGAGGAAGAAACAGTCTCTGCTACAACAAAAGTACCGAAAAGAAAGGTACCCTTGAAGAAGAAAGCCCCACTACCAGGTTCTGAAAACGAGCTTTCCCCTTCTGGCAAACCGAAGATACCAGCGAGAAAGGTACCAATTAAACATAAAGCTCCGCAAATCCCAGCACGCGGAAAACCGAAAGCAAATGAAATCCCCAAAGTAGGATACAATAAACAAGGTCTGTCCGGCCCTCTCAACCACGAACAACGTCTAATGTCAGTAACAGAACCGAAATTTGGCGTGGAGCTAGAAACAACATCATTGCAGTTTGAGATTGCCTTGGAGAGTACACCTGATGCACGCCCTGTAGATGTTATAGAAGACAATCCCTTTACATCAAATGAAGAGAAAGCAATCAAGGGTTCTAACTGGTTATTTTTTGACGCAAATTTCAAACCGAAACCATCTCTGGAACTCGCAAAACCGAACCTGAGCGCAACGGCAGAGACGCTAGGTATAAATATGAGATTACTTACCATGGAAGTCATCTTTGGCGGCAAGACCGGGGAGCCGTGGAAAGCTGAGGGACTACAGGCTGAGCAAGTCGGCAAGGATGTGGTGAAGTATTTCGATGAATGGAAGAAGGTCAATGGAAAGATTGTTTATGGCAAGCCTGAGTGCGTGACAGATAAACCAGACATATTCTGGAAAATCAAAAAGGCAAAGAGAAGCGGTGCGCCGTCTCTGAGCCCACATTTCACGACCGCTCTCCCACTCTCAGGCATCGCATCAGTATTGGATCTTGTCGAACTTGCGAAAAAGGAAAACGAATCGTTGACGCAAAGTGCACTCGTTCCAAGTACGGAGCAAGCTAAGAAGCTAAGCCTGGTGACGCAAGAACAGATCGAGGAAGCGTGGCCGACTATGAAGGACGAGAAGACCTGGAAGACGCCGCAGTTGCAGCTATATGGCCAGGAGACTACGAGGGGATTCTTAATCATGGTTATGTCATATGTCAATCGGCTCAAAAGTGCGCCTCACAGCGGCGACATCAATCTGAAGACTATGACTTCGATTATGCCTAGAACGGACTTTGCTGCTATGTTGCATATCGCGTTGAACACTATGAGTTCGACTGGTGCAAAGGGTTTCAGGGCAAAACTGAAGGATATTGTGTTTCTGCTGGCGGGCAAGGTTGCGCTCGATACGTTGAACTTTCGATGGGTGGACGAGAAGCTCAAGAATACGGACCCTAAGCACCAGGTGCCACTGAGATCGGATACTTGGATTGATGGACTGGTCAAAGACACTGCGCCGATTGATCTAATTCGGGTCAATGATGTCAAGTTCCGAGAAGCGCAGGTTGGGGCGTTGGAGAATATCGTTTCGTCGGTTATTGGGGATGACCCGGAGACTGCGGAGCACTTCTGTCCGGTCTTTGAATTTAGGGATATAGGGGAGATTAGTACGGCTGATTTGCCGAAAGAGCTTAACAAATTGGAGGAGGATGTCAAGATGTACCATGATGAGGTTAAAGGTCTTTTGGCGGGGCATGATGATACGGAGGAAGAGGAGGAACCTGCAGAAGAGGATGGGGAGGAAACAGTAAGCGAGAACGAGGAAGAGGATAATGAGTAATACAGAGCCTAGAGTTGATATTCTTTCGAGGTCTTACACACGTTTTTGTTTAGTTTAGATATTCTTGGTATATTATACGAAAATCTGTCCTTTCTAAGTAACTCACTAACCACTATTTCGTGATATAACTACCATACGTGACATCCAAACAAGAAATAACGCTTTATCCACGTCCGATCAACATGCCAAATAACAACAAGCTCTTCTTCTATACCAAACGCCGCACTAACTTCAATCCCCCTCGAGCTTAGTCCAAAGCTCCTTACCAAGTAATCATAGCAATCTTGTTATCATAATTTGCATCCCTCTGCAAAATCAGCGACTCAGCAACCCACTTCCCCACATCCTCCCTCGAAATCGCATACCCAATAGCCTTGCTCTCCCTCCCCGTCTTCGGATCCTCAATGCCCACACGAATCTTCTTATCCGACGCCCCATTAACAAGCAGACTCGGCCGGATAATCGTAAACCCCTCCCCGCTCGCCACCAGCCGCTCCTCCATGATCGCCTTGTCCTGATGAGGCACCTTGAGCCCCACGTGATACAGCGGCACCATCGCGAGCGGGATATCGCGCCCGAATTTCGACATCCCCGTCGTGCTGCACACGATTACATGCGGAGCCCCCGCTACCCCAGTCCCCCGCAGCGAGTTAAGGGTTGAGACGAGCGTCGCCATGCCCTTTTGGCATACTTCCGGGTCGTCGATAGAGGGCAGCATGCCTTTCATAACGGGCGACGCGCCAATCGTGAACACGATTGTATCGACCAATTTCCCAGACGATGCGACTAGACACTTGGATACGGCGGCCTCGTCGTGGGCGTTGCCGGCCACGATGGTCAGGTTTGGTGTTGTGGAGGCGGGAAAGAGAGTGCTTAGTTTGGAGGGGACGCGGCATAGTGCAATGCAGTGGTGCCCGGCTGCGAGGGTGTGCTTGAGGGTTGCAAGGCCGACTCCTCCGCTTGCGCCAAAGAATGCAATGGTTTTGCTCATGATGATTGATGGTTTGTTGGTGTGGCTTTGGGGATAAGATGAGATGAGATGTGATGTTTGAGTGAGGAAGTGATTTGACTGTATCTTTTGAAAGAATAGTAAGAATGTAATGAGTTGTTTTTATTGTAAGTATGTCTGTGATTTGTGTCTCATCCAGAGCTGGATGAGACTCCTCCTTTATGTCTTCATTGATGCACCGAAAGTTGCCCGAATTGTGCCACCGACGACTCGCTATTTTCTCGCGGACTATCACGTGATATTAATCAGAATGGAGTCTCTCCGCATGGCTCAAAGGCTTCAGCCTCCATGCCCAAAATAGGATTCCGTGGACTAGAACTCGGTTTCTAGCACAGGACACGCGTATACCACTGCCTTTTGCTAGAGAGAAACTCAAAGCTCTGGTACAAATAGTCATCACGTGCTGCCATTCTGTAGGGAAATTAGCTTCATATTCGAGTAAGCAGGATCTACCACCTACAGTATCTTACATACGATCGACTATATCTGCCCACGTACGACGCGACGTCGCGGCATCTCTTGTAGAAGTCATTGGCTGCCTGAAGACTAGGCGCCCGTCAAAATAAAGAGCTGGCAAAGTATCGAGACGAGAGTGTTTCTTCCGCGTCCATGTCGGCTGTGATGGGACCGTCCGAGAAAAACGCGAGATTATACCCGCCACGTGATGAGAATAGGGGTAGCGAGACTCAGGGGACGGCCGACTCATCAATACCCGCATCCGCATCTGCTCCCATCCCGAAGAAACGCAGCTGCGTGGTCTGCCGGTCCCGAAAGGTCCGCTGTGACAAGTTATCGCCATGTTCTAATTGTCGTCGGGCCAATATCGCCTGCGTCTTCCCGTCCACGGACCGCCCTCCAAGATGGGCTCGTCGTCTGGCAGCATCGAACCCGCAGGTATCGGCTGTATCGCAAACCCCAGACCCTGCAGCTACTCAGGTTATGGAGAGATTGAGGAATCTTGAGAGCCTCGTCAAAGACCTGAGCGGCCAGTTAGAAGTAGCTAACGCTGCGGCTGCGGCTAATGCTGCGGCTAATTCGACGGCGGGTGGTTCCTCTGGGGTGAACTCTCCGGGTAGCTCCAGCCACGATCGTGATACAGGTCTCCAGAAAGAGGTATCACCTAGTACAAATACCGAAAATGTCGGTCTGCAAAAGCAATTCGGAAGGCTGGTCCTTCAGGATGCCAATCGAAGTCGGTATGTGAGCAGTGGATTCTGGTCACGAGTTAACGACGAGGTATGCTGGCTGTTCACATTCAAGCCATCACCTTAAATAGATGGCTGACCCAATTTCCACTATAGCTTGATGATCTGAAGATGGAGAGCCACGGTCTTGGGACCTATGATTCCGAGACCTCAGATGATGAGGCCTCACCTGGAAAGTCGCCCTCGTCCACACAAGAACTACAACGGACGCCTCTAGAACGCCATGCATTTTTGTTTCGACACAGCCTGAGTCCCTCTACTCCTGATCTACGCGAATTTCACCCACTACCCTCACAGATCCCCTTTCTTTTAGATATATTCTCTGAGAATGTCAATAGTATTATGCGCATTGTTCATGTTCCAACCATTACCAAGATGGTCCGCGATTTGCGGGGCAGTGACATGACAAGCTTGTCACCACCTAACGAGGCTTTGATGTTCTCCATCTACTACGCAGCGATAACTTCTATGGAGGAAGACGATGTAAGTTCGCACTTGAATGGAATTTGCACGGCAAGAGTAGAGCCGTACTAAATATCCCCTGCGTTCAGATAAAGATGAATTTTGGCGTTTCTAAAACCGACCTCAATCTCAAGTACCGCCTGGGTCTAGAGCTTGCACTTTCAAAGGCTGATTTCCTCAATGTCCCCGATCTGGTTCTGGTACAAGCATTCGCCATCTTCCTGAGTCTCGTTCGCCGCCATGACAGTCCGAGATTTGTGTGGATGATGACGGGACTTGTCATCAGGATGGGTCAGGCCCTAGGTTTGCAACGCGATGGCGCACAGTTCAAGAACTTGACTCCTTACGAAATCGAGATGCGAAGAAGGGCATGGGCAGTATTGTGTATGCTTGATATAAGAGCAGCTGAGGACCAAGGATCAGATTATACAATCACGCCCGGCAGCTACGACACGAAATTACCCCTAAACATCAACGACGCAGACATTGAGCCTGAAACAAACCAGATGCCAACAGGGCGTGGGGGATTGACCGATATGACAATTCCAATCGTCTCGTGTGAGATAAATGTAATCGTGAGGCAAATGATGCCTCAGAGTGCCAAGGAGGGTGCGCCGGGGATAGAAGAACAAACCCGTCTTCTAAACGAAATCTGGCAGAAAGTCGACCAAGGATACCTTCAGTATTCGGTAGAGGCAAACAACATTGTGTATTGGGTCCAAATCAATGTCATAAGGCTTGTGACAGCCAAGCTGACACTCTTCATCTACCTACCTGTCCTCTTCTCTCTACCGAGCGAACACCTCTCAGACCAGATTAGAAACAAGCTTCTAGTTGCAGCAATCGAGGTCGCGGAATACAACCATGCTCTCAACGCAGAGCACGAAGCTCGTCACTGGCGCTGGGTTTACCAGACCTACACTCATTGGCACGCCGTTGTCTACCTGTTGATCGAAATATCCCGACGCCCATTGTCGCCTGTCATTGAGAGGGCTTGGAATGCACTTCATAGCCCATGGCTAATCCCACCGCAGTCCACCATGGACAAAAACCAACGGGTCTGGGTTCCCCTGCGGAAGCTAACTGCCAAAGCCAAGAAACACCGCGCCGCGGAGATCGAACGGCTGAAAAGCGATCCGCAGGCTGCCAGACAGCTAGAGATGGAAGATGAAAAGATTCCTGTTTCTGGAAGTCCTGGGTTATTCCCAACTGGGGCGTCCAATCCCGTTGCTTTCTTTCGCGAGCGGTGGCGCGAGCTTTTGCAGGTTCCTGGACATCACACCAAGGAACTTGGCCTTGCACAGTCCAGCACCAGCCCACCCACACAATCCACCTACACAACCCCACCCTCCATACCGGCGTACTATGCCGGCGGCATGGGATCGAGTCCAGCCTTCGACCCAGTCTATCCGAGCGCTTATAGCTTTCGAACAACCCAGAACCAGAACCAGAACCAGAACCTACCAACAGCAAACCCGCCCTCGACGAATACTTCAAGCGACTTGACAATGGGACATACGACCGATTACAGAGATCCATTGACGTGGAACTCTGGCCTTGTGCCTTGGCTGTGGGCAGATGCAGATCCATCGATTGATGTTTTTGCCGGTGTGGATGTCGATGTGGATTTGGATTTCAATATGGATATAGATGGCGGGGATGTGGATTGGTATAATTGGGTTGAGTCGGCTAGGGGTATGGAGTGGGATGCTGGAAATGGGCAGGTGTAATAAATTTCAATTGTGTTATAACATATTTCAATTGAAAGTTCACTCGTCCATCTGTATGCCCTTCACGTGTACCCCCAGCCCTCGTCCGGCCTCGTGGATTAGTGGTCGAGAAACGATTTTCGTATCTTTCCAATGCAAAAACTGGGGTGCTTTTCTCATAGTGAAAACTATAGGGGTTCAAATCCCCTCCCTTCCAAAGATCGTTTTTTTCTTTTGGCCTTCTTATAGTATTCGCGCCTCCATTGCGTATAGATAGGTCCTGAGAACGCTAATAAGTCGGCTAGATCATATTTATGTGGGATCCTCTCGCTCCCTCCCGTAAGAATTAATTATAGTTTCTATATTCCTCGCATCACGACGTCTTTCTTTCAAGATGGTTTTTAATCGTATCAATCTACACTATAGAATATCAGCCTCAGCAATGAAGCGTTCTTTCAGATTCAAAGTCTCCCAGTTGAGCTGCTAGCAGAACGTCGACGCTCTACGCCCCTTCCGATAATAGCCCTTTAAAGACAGAGCGTGGGGTAGCAAGGTATTCATCCAGATCGCTTATAAGCATAGATCAGCGAGTCACTGGACGCCAGGAAACACTGTTCGATATGGAAAAGCAGGAGTCGGCCAAACCCCTGGGGCAGATAGCCTGCTTGCGCGCATGGTGATGCTCTGATATGCATCACAGACGAATAGACTCTCCTGGTTTCCTAACTCTCTTCCATATTGTGTGTATGTATGGTGGTCAGCCGGGCCTATAGTATCCTTGCTATCAGCCGCAGACAGGCAGGCAGCAGTTACCAGCAGCCAACATAAGAAAGACCCCGCACTCCACCGTTTCTATCCAGAAAGCCATCCTCGCGCAAAACCTCCAACAACGCTCTTGATTTTGTCTTCCAAGTCACTTTTGGTACCCTCCAAGATTAAGTACAATGGACTTTTCAAGTTCAGCTCTCAACACCAACCCGCCGTTACCGCCTGTCGGCCCGCCAAAACGACCCCGCCGTGAAACACATCGCGCGTTATTCGATTTCGTGGCACACAACCAGCATGAAGTTAGCATAAAAAAGGGCGATCTGCTTCTAGTCACAGAAGGCGACACACATGGTCTGTAGTTCTCTTGAACAATCCCCAGGAATTCTCTGTCACCTCAACTGACAATCTTCAGGTTGGAGTCTCGTTCAAACAGAAGCAGGCATAGGCTGGGTGCCTTCGGCTTACCTCGAAGTCTTCCCCGCACCACCCCCCTCTGGCCCCGGGGAACCACCCAACCCGCTTGTCGGCCAACCCTGTGATGCATGCAAGACAGCTGGCGTGGAATGCAAGCTCGATTCTGACGTCTGCGGTCGCTGTACCGAACACGGCCTCCTCTGCACATGCATGGTTGATGTCGGCAAAGCGCTATATGTAAAGGGTGGATGGGATAAACAGGGCATTTGCATTGCGTGCCGAGCGAAAGACATACACCCCAGCTCCGAGCCACTGTGCGATAGCTGCAAAAAGAACGGTATTGGATGCGTGGAGAGGTTCCCGAGGTTCTACTACAAGCCTGATTGGCGGCCACCGGGATTTATGGAGCGGGAAGATCTGGATCCTTCGACCGCCTGCATGCCGTGCAAATCGACCGAGACTAGATGTGACCAGGTTGAGGCAGTCTGTTCTTGTTGTCGGGAAAGGGGCGTTGAGTGCCTATATGGTACATCACGAGACATCGTCCGATTCACAGTGGGAAGAGAGCAGGACCGACTTCGACTCCCTACACCAGCCCTGGATATGCTTAAACCCTGCTCGTATGTATTTCCCTGCGCCGAAGGATGGCCTTGTACAAGCAACGCAGTATGTTATTATTGCCGAGAGAAAATATCTCTGGGAAGTCCAGCACCGGAAACACAGCACGAGCAAGTCCTGGAAGCATTGAATAGCCAAGTTGATGAATGGGAGATTGTCGATAGAGATGAGATTGAAGAAGAAATGAAGGATGCTGCAACATAGACAAGTCAGGTCAGGTCACTCACTTCCTCAAAATACCTCAATACTCAAAAATAATCGTCAAATTATCCCTACTTGCCAAGAATCCAAGAGCCCAATCCAATATCCCAACTCATTCGCATTCCCCCAATACCCGCTCTACAACAACCATATCATATTCCTTCTCCCCTTCATCATCCACCACACCTCTCATTAATGCCACCCATCTAATCATCCACCGGCCTGCTATACGCCGCGGTCCCCTCCGCTTGCACCCTAGCTGTCTCAGCAACAATAACTTTCGGCCTACCCTTCACTACCTTGCACCCTGCACAATCGCCAGCGAGATGCCGGGATGTCGTTTTCGCGGCGTTGCTGTTGTTATTGTAGATGCATGTCGCGCGCACTTCATTCAGGGTCGCGTGCGTGCAGGTAATCCATTCGGAGACGGTGTCACCACAGGCGTAGGTGCTGGTGTAGTGTTGGCACATGGTGAGCGAGTGGGACTGGGATGGGTGGTTGTGGAGGTGGAGGTGGGATGGGGATGTGGGGGAAAGGACGAAGAGGGAGGGCAATTTATAAGATGGTCAATTGAGGGGGCGTGAATCATCCATTAATTGAATGAATGAATGCTGGATAGGTGCATGGATGGACAGGTAAGTCATGTCAACCACCCTATAGCAATACAACGTCATTCACTTTATACTAATTGATTCTCGGAATTTCTAGACAATCGATTTGTTTTAATAACAACTTATACATGACGAAAGTGAAGAGAGCAAAGAAATGACTTTACTCATAGGCAATTCCTAGGTATTTTTATATAGGCATAAAGTCATTCTATCACCTATTCTACAGTCCCCTAATCTACAGTATCACTTCCTCCAACCAAACGCACCCAAATCATTCATAAAGCTCTCATAGCTTCATAACTACTGTTATTGGTCCCTCTCCCACCTTTATTAGCTTCCTGCGTCTTCGTTATCGGTCCTCTGAGTACCTATTTGAACTACTACTTACCATCAAGGGGCTCGCTTAGACATAGCAAGGGGCACAAGCGAGGAGATCAGAGCTTGTGCTTGTCTACTTGCGATTACTAGGGTATTCCTTTCTCGATTCTTCGGGTAGGTAGCAGTAAAGCGGGAAGTGAAGTTTTTAATAGATAGGATGTTCTAATTCTAGATATATTATAGGTTTTAGTAATTTGCTATGTGAGAAGGAAGGAGTGTATATAATCTATATTTGCATAATCGCTTGCTTGGCAAATTCAAACTTTTAAGACTCAGACACACTTATTAACTCTCCCATTGACGTGCTATACAGAGGTGAAGATGATGCTTATATGAAGAAGACCTCAGCAGAAGAGAATATATACTGTCACACAAGATGCAGGGTCTTGTTTACTCCGAACCACATGACCATTTCCCATTATGATCGACGCAACTCAACCTCAACTACTAAGCATTATCACAATCTAGAACTTATCGCCTTTTAAACCACCCTCTCTCGGTCTACTGAATGTGAATCGCAATGCCTCATCTACAAACTATTTTCTTGGCCCACTGGACTATCGCCCGGCAGGTGCTTCTTTACATGCAACTTGGAGCTACGATGACCCCTCATATCGGAGCTTCATTACCCTGCAAATGGTATAGTAATATGGCATAAATATTCCATAGTTATCATGAGGATTCCGATATAAGATCCACGCAGCGGTCAGACAGTACCAATCGCGTCACAGCTTTGCATCTAGAGCATGCTAACCCATCAAGTCTCTACGGAGCGTCTCGCTGCTTACCAGCCACGACGCTCAACGCTCAAGCCATTACTCTCAATCGACGATACTCGTGCATCTCCCTACAGCCCGCGCCAAACGGAACATAGAAGGACCCCTCATACTGCATGCTGCACAATTTCAACACATGGTTCAGCAACTGTGTTGGCTACGGAGTTATAATAGTATATATGATAGGAGAGAGAGAGAGAGAGAGAGAGAGAGTAGTGTTGAAAAAGTTAAGGCCCAACACCGTTGTTGACGGGCTGGAGGTGGTGGAATGAGGGTTTCTGGGCCGAGCTCACATTACAATGACTGGGACGCGTATCATTCTCGTAACCAACTGTGCCAGGTGTGCTAGTACGAATGTGGATTTTGAAAAGGACAAGATGCAAGAAGGGGACAGTTGGAAGTTGATATAGAAAACCATGCGGGGTCGGAGGATCCATGAAGGGAGTAAATGGAGTCATTGTTTTGAGCGGTATAGCTTTCCTTTAAGGGAGGCAGATATCAAGATTGGAAATAAAGTGGTAGTCAGTAGAAGGAACGATGAGCATACTTTCTAAAGTGAGTCCCGTTACTTGTCCGGGAAGTGTTCAACTAACCATTAGTAGATCAAGTGATATCCCACCCCCGACTTGCGAAGTTGGAGTGCCCGACTTCTCCATCTTTCTTCGAGACACTTTCTAACTCCATAGGCCGGATTTAGGATCTTCATCATCTATAGCTAATATAGAGATAGATACATATCAACTGCAATCCAAGCTTTCTCGACTCGAGTGTCAGAATACCTTTGCATCTTTTCCGACCCTGACGACAACATGCTACAGTAGGTGTAAAAACATTTAGGCTAGCACGAGGTCGAAACAATATCCTTCCCACTCTACTGACATGACAGATAACATGAGTAGCTAGAACAGAGGCAGTCTCCCTCTCCCTCCCTCTCCCTCATTCCTGCCCGCACGCCTAAGGCACCATCAATCCATCCATCCATCACGCCACGCCACGCCACGCCACGCCATAAGGCTGAGCACGTCGCGGTCCCCAGCATCTCCACCGTGTAATCCAAGATCACCTACGCTTGCAACCCCAAGGCTACCTTAGCTAGGTAGCTGTTACTGTAGTACCCCGTGGCACAGCACGCCATTATCAACCCAGGCTTCTGGACCGCCTTCCCATCCGTCCCTCCTCCCTCCCTTCCATCCCGCGTTCTAGAAACCCTTTACTCTACTTACCTAGATACCTACCTACCTACAGTAGTCTCGTG